GTGAGTCGCAGTCAGGTTAAAGCCCTTTAGCTCAAACCCTCTTCTCTCTACACTGTACAGCTACTTCCTAGGTTTTCCTAGTGTAGCCTACGAAAATCTCGCACCCCCCTTAGAGGTAGGGGTTTGAGAAAGGCTCCTCCCGCGGGGCATCCCGCAGTCAGAGGGTGAGACGCCCCTGGTAGGGCGGAGCGTCCCGCACACAGGGCTGGCAGCCGTAAGGCTCGCCCTGCGGTGCTACCCGCTAGGGGCCCCTTAGGGTGGAGGCACCCACTGGCGGGAGTTGTTCACTGCACTGCCGGGCTTGGTGCTCTGGTGCCCATTGCGGCAGTGGAGACACACCCTGTGTCTGATCGTTGCCCCTTCCATGAATGGGCAACCGTGCTGTTGGCCATGGTACCGGCGCACGACGCGGCCGGTAGCCACTTGAAAGGCGAACCCGGTCCAAAGGAACTCGGAGTTCTGCGGATCTGCTGCGCAATGGCAGCGAAAGCCGATCAGGATTTGATCCGGCGGGACAGAGCTTAGGCCATTGCAGTTGGTGAACAAGTGGATCTTGTCACCACGGGCCGTCTCATAGAGATGCTCGTCGTCCCCGGAGAGCTGTTCCGGTCCCCTACGCCTGCGCCGCACCCTTGGTGCTGCGGGCGGCCGTGGTGGTGGAGCGTCTGCCGCAGGGGGCGGACCTGGGGTCCGCTCGCCCTCAGGCTCTGGCTCTTGAGCCCCTGGGCTGCTGCCCACCTCCTCGTTGCTGCGCCTGGTTTGGCGCTTCTTCTTCTGGCCCTAGCCCGATCTCAGTGGCCCTTTGAGCTGCACGCGGCGGCTCTTTGGCACGCTCGGCGTGGTGCTCGATCTCATCCTCGGGCTCCGGCTCCTGCCTGTCACGTCTGCACCTGCAGAGCCAGGAGACAAAGCCCCAAAGCATCCACAGGAAGGCAAGGAAGCCTAGGGCCGCGAAGCCGAGCACCAGCTCTGCGAAGTCGTGCCCTTGGGCCTTGGCAGGTCGAACCTGCAGCGCCACGATTGTGGCCATGAGCGCCGAGCTCGTGAGCTTGGTCGGCGGTCTCATCTTCCAGGGGCTTGTGGATCGACTTGATCGTGCCCTTTTGGGCCAGAGCCTCGGTGGCACCTGCGACTGCATCGAGGTCCACCATGCCCATGGAGGGAGGGATTGCCGCACCTCCGGTCCAGTCTTCGCGTGCTTGGTAGCGAAGTTTGCCGGATTTTCGGTTCCTTTAACTTTTCTCAGTTCGAGAAGTTTGGCTCTGAGCGCACCTTGTACATAGAATTCTGCAACTTCCAGGTGTCTCAACTTAGACCCTGGTCCTATGCGTTTGGCGGCTCCGATCGAAGCTGCGAAGTCTGCCCATAGCCGCGGCACACCGCAGGCCAGGGCGAAGTCTTTCTCCGCAAGCTCTCGTAGGAAGACGGCCTCCCTTGCTGCTCGCGACACTCCCCGGATCTCCGCGTCTCCGCTGGAGGTTGCTGGGAGGCCGGGCTGTGTCTGGCAGCTTGTCTGGATGACCGCTCCCCCGAGACAGGCAACTATGTTGTCTGTGCTCCTTCTCGTTTCTGGGCACCCTGCCCAGTCGGAGTCGGAGTAGACCTCCAAGTTCAGAAGAGCTGTGCTCTTGGACGCGGGGTCCAGCACAACTACCCTTCCAAACCGCGGGGTTGCCCGCAGGTATCGCGCGAGGGTTTCCGCAGCGAGCCAGTCGCAGACCCTTGGGTTCTGCATCCTTCGCGCCAGCTCTTTCACGGCGAACTGTGTGTCTCGCCTGTCCGCCGACAGGTAGATAGCACTACCCACGGCGCACAGAGCCTCTGTGCGCACCTTGGTCCTTCCCAGGACCTCCACCGCTGTGCCCGGCTCTTCCAGTTCTCCCACCGTTATCTCACAGTGCGTCGGTAAGTCCACCTCAGTGAACTTCAGCACTGCGGCCTTGGGGCCTGCGACACGGATGTCGTCGATGTGGTGGAGAAGGATTAGGCCGGACCGGCGGTCTAGGTACGCGCACGGGTCCTTCACGCCACGCTGGAAGTCGTAGTCCTTGGCCAGCTTGCCAGGACTTCTTCCAGCTCTGTAGACGGACCCAGCCGTTCTTCGGCCGTAAAGGTTGCCGTCCACACGGAACACAAAGTCCCGGAAGTGGTCTCGGTACCACTGCTGGTCCTTTGCAGGCTGCTCCAAGACCCATTGGTCAAAGAGCTCGCGCCATTCCACAGGCGCGTGCATGTAGACCGGGCGGCCTTCCGCCGCACCGCGGTCCTTCCCTATGAGGAAGGCGGCCACAATATCCAGAGACCTTGTGACCCACCCTTCGTTGTGTAGCGCTGCTACCTCAAGTAGGGAGTGACTCTCGGGCGTTGGCGTTGGGACGAAAACGTCCAAGCCAGCTTCCTGTTCTGGGCTGTAGCGGGCCTTAACGTCGGCACAGGTACACCTTGACTTGTACCGTCCTTTGTCGCACTTGTCGACCCCACTTTGCCCTGAACAGCTGCGCCCCGCGCGGTACTTCAGACCGCAGCACAGGCGTGAAAGCGCCTCGGTCCCACAGCTTTCTCAGCTGCTCCTTGCGTGCTTGCTCTACCTCCTTGGGGTCGAGCATCCGGTCTAGCAGGTCCGTCACCTGCCCAACCCACGCATCCCGTTCGCCCTTGTGGTTGGTGAGCGGCGGGTCGGCTAAGGCAGCGATGTGCTGCCACACCTCGCGCTCTGTGAGCGCTCCTAGCCGTGGTGCCTTCTTGGGCTCCACCCGGCTCTTAGCTGCAGGCGGCTGCTGTGCTGCCGCTGCGCTCGCGGAGGAACCCGCAGAGTCGCGCTTCTGCCCCCCTTCACCTGAGCCGTCGTTGGCGGCTTGTGCGGGGCTTGCCGCTTGTTGCGGCAGCGCGCTTGCTGCGGAAGGTCCTGTCCACGTCTGACGGCTCGTAGTCAGGTATGTCTGCGTTGGCTAGCTGCTCGGTGGGGCTAGCGTCCGGGAGCCTGCTGGCCTGCTCGGCCCCTTCGACTAGGAGGGCCTCGTCGTCGGCCGCGGCTCGTCGTTGAAGAGCCAGGCTCACCGGGCGGTTCTAGCCGCTCCACTTCCTGGGCCGGCGTGGCCAGAGGGATTGGCACCATCATCGGCTCGCTGCGCTCTGCTGGCGCTGCGCGGCCAAATCTGGGGTTCCAAGGCAGGCCGCACGCTTTGAGGACGGCTGCCGGGTCTCCGGCGGGAGTCGCCTGACGCTCCTCACGTTGAGTGCGCCGGCTTCGGTTAGCACCACGTAGGAGTCGTCGCGCTCCAGCTTGCCGGCCCAGACCCCTTTGACCCAGCGCACTTGCGCTTTGTTCCCGGGCCTTGGGAGCTTCGCTAGAACGGTCTCTCCAAAGGAGCAAAGTGCTCCACCATAGTCGGTGCCAGTGGCTGGCCGATATGGTGTCACCCCGTCTGTTGACTTGGTCCCGAACCGGGCTTGCAGCCAGGCCACGTGCCTGACCAGCCACGGGAACAGGTTGGACGAGGTGTCCCACTCTAAGGCGGGGTAGTCCGCTCTTAGCTGCGAAAGCCAAGTGCGAACCTGCCAGGTGTGCGTTCCTTCCCTCCACGGATCCTTGGCTTTGGTGTGACCCGGGAGGGGTGTCCCGAAGACGCACCCTAGCAGCTCCAAGCCGGCGGTGAACCGCACGGGCCACAGAGGCTATGGCATTCTCCTGGTCGGCCTGTAGGGTAAACTTGTCGTACCCCAGCCGATCCACAAACTGCTCCACAAGCCCTGCGGCGTAAGCCGCGTGTCTGTGCCCTTTGTGCGCCACGGGAACCGACAGAGTCCAGCCAGTGGCCCTGTCTGTGAGGTTCAGCACCGTGGCGAGCGACGCTTCTTCCTCAACTTCTTTCCCGTCCCGGCCGGATCATCTGAGGGCTCACGGCGGCGGTGTGGGTCCTCGCGCGCCTTTCCCTCCACGCACTTCTCGCACCACGACTGGTAGGGCGTGTGAGTGAGCTCGTGCTCGGCGCGTTCCTGCGCCGTGGGGTTGCGCGGTGCCCTTAGGCCGCGTGGCCTGGAGTCAGGCTGCTCGGCCTGCTCCTCTAGAGGGGCGGGGTTACCCGCAGCCTCCTCCTCTTCAGCAGCTTCGGCCTCTTCGTGGGCTGCTGCTTCCATCGCCGCGTCCTCCACCTCTCGAGCTTCGAGGTCGTGCTCCGGGGTGTAGTCGTAGTGTCCCAGGTCCTTGCCTGGGCTCGGGGGCTCTGCCGCCACCGGTGCCACCCGGTTTGTTGACCCCCCGGCCGGAGCTCCCGCTCGTAGGGTAGGAGGAACTGTGACCCTCTCTTGAGGATCGAGGCTCGGACGCCGTCGAGCCACAAAATGTGGCTGTCCTCTGGAGCCAAATGCCCGCACCGGCCTCAACAGCACGGCTGATGCTGAGGATTTCGTCCTCTATGTCCTCGGTCACCTCAAGGAGGCTCGGCTGGACACGGCCCTTTGTTTTCAGGCGGCTGTTGTCCACCGAGTAAAGGCTCTTTGGTGGGCCCGCGGGCTGCAGGTCGGGAAACGCCTCGGGCCTGCACACGGACACACACGCCCCGGAGTCCACGAGAAGACTCCCCGACACCTTGAGGATTTTGTCCTCCTCTGCCTGGCGTACCTGGCCTTTGCCGCCAGAGCCGCCGGTGCTTCCTTCAGCTTGGGACGCGGAGGGACCCGCAGTCGCCAAGGAGGCTGTTGACAACGTCGTGGCCGCGTCGTCGGCCACTTGGGCCACCTGACCCTTGTTGCCTTTGCCTTTTCCCTTGGCGTTAAACCAGCACTCTTTTACGGTGTGTCCCGTTTTCCAGCAGATGGGGCATCTCTCTTTGCCGTCTCTGCCTCCTTGCTGGTTCCCCTTTTTGTCCCCTTTTCCTTTGCCTTTGTTGTCGTGGTCGCCCTTGCCCTTCTTGTGGTCTTTGTCCCCTTTCTTGCCTTTGTCGCCTTTGCCCTTCCCTTCTTTTCCGTCTCGGTCCCCTATTCTGCCAATGTCCATGGCGTTAGGGTCCCTTCGGGAAGAGGCGGCGTAGCCCGCACTCGGGGTCCAGACCCTTTTGGCTTGCAAGTAGCTCACCACTACTTCCCTCACCTCGGCGTAAGTCGAAAGACTCGCCGCGTGCATAGCGAGGTGTTGCCGAAGAGCGTTGGGGCTCTCGGTCACCAGCACTGCCCGCAGATCTTCGTCTGCTAGGGCGCCCTGCGCCATACTCGGAGGCGTAGCGGTCCACGTCTGCCTCCCATTCCTGCAGAGCCAAGGAGAAGTCGCTCTCCTTTGGCGGGAACTTCGGCATCAGCAGGGTCCGCCTCCAGGTGAGGTTCTTGGACTCGTTCTCTGGGTTGTGCTCCTGCCACAGGAGACGCCAGAGCTCGAACGAACCCATTCTGGCCCTTTACTCCGCGCGCCAGCTTTACAGCTGTGGCGGAGTCCTGGGTCCAGCTGCCCAGCATGCCGAAGAGGCGGACGCTACGGGTCCGCACTTCCTCGGTCATGGCTGCCATTTAAAGTGGCACCTTGCACTTTCGAGCTATTTCCAGCTCTGCTGGATACCTGGTGTCTACGACCGCCAGGTAGGTCTCTGCTTGAAAAGCAAAGCGCTCCCAGTCGTCCCGCCCCTTAAGGGAGGTAGGGCTCTTGAGCAAGTGCCCTCCACCGCTCGCCTGCGACGCAGGGGCGGGTGCCGCCGTGGCGACTGCCGCCGTAGCGGCTGCTGCAGCTAGGCCCTGTTGTCTTTGGGCCGACAGCTCGCCAATTGCAGCCTGCAGCTGCTGCGCTTGGCTCTCCAACAACCCCCTAAGGGTTGCCACTTCCCCGCGCAGGGCCTCGACCACGGGGTCGCCCTGCGGGGGCGGATAAGCCGGTTGCTGGCTCGTCTCTTGAAGCGTCGAAGCTGGCTGATCTCGTCCAGCAAGGTCAGGGCTTCTCCGTACTGCTCCGCCAGCTCGGGGTTTCCTTCCCAGGGGGCTCTCGGCCTGTTGCGCGCTGCGTGCCTCAGTCCGTTGAGGAACTGGCACGGCCCTTGGCCCTCGGAGCTCTCTTCGGACTCCTCCCTCTTCCTCACCGCGAGGTGGGCTCTAGCTCCTCCTCTGGAGCTTCCTCCCGAGGCGCGGGAGGTACCGCAGTGTCGGGCTCTGCTGGCCCTGGCTGTGCGGCCTTGGGTTCCTCCCTAAGCGGAGGCGGTGGCCCAAGGCAAGGCGGCGCCTTTACCGTTGGAGCCTTTGCTGCTGGAGCGCTTCTTGGCGTGGCCTCCCGCTCTGCCTCCGGGGCGGCCAGTGGGTCCGCTCACCGGGGCTGCTTGCTCCTGCCCAGCCTCGAGAGCTCTCTTCCTTCGCCTCCGTTCCTTCTTAGCAGGGGCGACCCCGCTAGATAGAGGAAAGCTGCAGCAGCAGCGGGCGGGGCTTCCCGCCCCGAAGTCTGGAGTGTCTTCGCCAGGCGCGGGGCCTGTGAAGACTGGCGCCTTGGGCACCGCCGCGGTGTCCAAGGAGGATTCCGAGCTCGGGCTCTGAATCTCCTGGCCGGCACCCGCAGGAGCTTGCTCCGGGGTGCGCGGCTCTGGGATATCAGTCGCCGGGCCCTCTACGAGGACGACCGGGTCTGTACCTTCTCTTTCGCGCCTTTCGGCGCCTCTGGCCTCGCGAGTGGCGCGGGCCGCTTCCGAACGACCACCTCGGTGGTTCTTCTTTTTCCCAGAGCCTTGGGCAGGCTCCTGGGCCGCAGGCTTTCCTTTTCCGGACTTGCCTGCTGGAGCTGGCTTGCCCTTTGCGGGCTGCTCTGCTCCCTTAGCTTGGGCTGCCTTGCCCTTGGCGGGCTGCGCAGCTCCCTTGGCAGGCTTGCTTTTGGTGGGCTTCCCTGCTCCCTTTTCCCCGCGTCGGGGGGTTCGGCTCCCCGACTCCGAGGCGGGGCGACCCTAGGAGCGTCGGTGCCTACCGAACCAGCTCCGCTGCCATGCGCGTCTCACTATTTTCACTCTGCAAAAGAGGGCTGCGGTGAGTCGCAGTCAGGTTAAAGCCTTTTAGCTCAAACCCTCTTCTCTCTACACTGTACAGCTACTTCCTAGGTTTTCCTAGTGTAGCCTACGAAAATCTTGCAGGTAGGCCTAGGGCGAGGGTAGGGGTAGGCCTAGGAGTAGGCCTACAGCCAGGCTAGGGGTAGGCCTAGGGGTACTATTATTACGATTACTACCAATTACTATTATTTCCATTGTTGTTGTTCTTATTGTTATTACAATGATTGCTGTTCGTTGTTACGATTAGTACTATTATCACTATGATTACTAATTCTCACTATCAAAAGAAACCGAGCCGATAGTGCAGGGGTGGGGGGGATCAATTCTTCCGGACTATTAACCCCCTGCTGGGTGGGGGGGGGAAAGATTATGAGGGGGGGGTTAATAGTCCAGAAGTATTGAGGGGGAGTCAATACTCGAAGAGCATTGAGGGGGGGTAAGGGGGATTCCCGTCCGCGGCCTAAACGTGTTCGCCAACAAACAACAAGGAGAGAGTCGCACAAAAACGCCTCAGGGGGGACAGTTTCAACTGGGGAGGCTGCGCCCCCCCAACCCCCCCGTGTTTCTTAGACTAAACTTCCCACTTTGTGAAACCGCAAAAAAAGGAATTAAAAACGTGTTCGCCAACACACAAGAATGAGAAAGCCACGTCTTCTCCAATAGGAGAGAAAGAAAATATAATGACATGTGACATATGTGGAAAATCGAAACACGAATAAAGGATAAAGAAAATCAACCGCGAAGGATTTGCAAGATTTGCAAATTGGGAGGGCTGCGCCCCCCCCCCCCCCAGCGCCCCGCCGCTTTGCTTGTCCTCTTCCAAAAAGCACTAAATGTGAAAAAAAACTAGAATTCAGAGCAGCTTGTCCTTTTCCGAAAAGGACAAGCGCGACTAAGTGTAAAAATCTAGAACTTAGAGTTGCTTGCGTTCTGCCGAAACGGACAAGCGCGACTAAATGTAGAAATCTAAAGTTTAGAGCTGCCTGTCCTTGTCACGGCAAGTCAAATGTAGAAAACCTAGAATTTAGAGCTGCGTGCGAAGGCTTGGAAGGGCGAGGAAGGAGAGATTCCAAACGTTTTTTCAACATACAAGAAGGAGCAAACCAAACGAAATCCGCTTTACGGGGGCTAAAAGCGAACAGAAAGGACTGTTGCGGCGTGTATACATAAGCAGTCTTTACAGGTTCAAGAATAGCAATACCAGCCACAACAGTCCCATCTGAAGTACGCGACTTACTTTACTAACTGCACCACTCAGGTTTGAAAACAAAGCCCATGTTCTAGAGCGAAGTCTTCCGTTCTGTACAATCAGCAAAGCAAGAAGTGATAAGCACTGCTGCGTCCTGGAGTTTTTTTGGGCGGCCCTATGCAACTCGCTCAGCAACGACTCCGTAAGAACTCAAGTCTGTGAGAGAACTACGTAGGAGTGTGCTTCTAGGAGTGTCTTGCACGTTGGCAACCTCACTAGCGTACTCCAAAAGTGGCGGTCTACAGCTGTTCTGTGAGCTTGTAGATAGGAGTACGGGAAGGTAGGGCTGTGAGTGGCTGGGGGTCTTGAGGACTTTAAAAGCCAGTGCCAAAGTAGCTTGGTGCACTGTTCTGTCCAGTGGACCCTTCGCCTACCTGGCCTAAGGCCTGCTCCTACCGTTCCCCCTCTGTACTGAAATGACCTAGTAAAACAGCAGTTCCGTTCTACACTGTTCGGATGGGATCTCAGAATGTGAACAAGTTCCCACACTTTTCAACCTCACTCTGAGCCTGTTCGAGCAACGCGGAGCGAAAGGTCTTTCAACGTGAAAACTAGAGTCAAAAGCTACTACTGTACACGTGTGCAAATACCGATACCAAATCATACCAAACATGTATACTGCTGGGGTGTCAAAGTTGTTCACCCCGCCTGATTCACCTTGCTCGGCTGGCATGATGAATCACCCAACTTTGTAACTTCAGAAACAGCTTGCAACTGCGATCACAATGCACACACTGTAGCAACTCACAACTAGGCTCACTCCTCTTTACACTAGTGGCCCTCTCATGAAGCATGAAAAGCTTCTCACACTGAGCACTAAAAGGCTCGCATATGGGTGTTATCAACCCGCAATACCATTCGGCACGCCAGGCCGTTGCAACATCCATGAAAGAAACACCAAGCTCGAATACACAGTAGTCGAGACTCCAAACCTCGGCACCTCAGTAAACGTTGGTTGCAAACTTAGCCCGGCACTCCTGGCAAGGATAATACGCACGAAAAGTACTGTTCCGGATTGTATGGCATTGGCGCTGATGGAAGCACCGGCCATGGGCAGATACACATATCTCCTGTGGAATCCTCGAAACCACACGCGCTTCAGTGCCTCTGCTGTGGTCGAGCTCATAGTAAGCTCGCTGTGCCAAAGCATTCTCTGTACTCAGCCTTCGGGCTTCATCTCGAAGCTCCTTCAGCTGATTGCGGTCATTGCTGCGATCATCTAAAAGCGCTTTGCATCTGCGCTCAAGCTCTCCAAGCCTTCGCGCCTGCACCATGTATTGCCAAAGCAACCACATAAGCAAAGCAGAAACGCAGCATGAGAAAATTGTAAGCTTCGTAGCGCTCGTTGTGTCACGTGTCTCCGCATCGCATGCGCAGTAGCATTCAACACTGCTCTGTTCAAGCATTGCATGTACACTCATCGCTGAAGCAATAGTCGTTATGGGCTCATCTCCAAACCATAGCACTGACCCAAGGCTCAAGAGGTAAAATCCCAAAGTGAAAAGCATGAGCAGGCCAATACAGGCCCACATGGTCACCATGGCAGCTCGTCCAGGCCGCCACGGGTGGCTGCCAACAAACAGCCAATCATCATCGTCTGCGCTCGCACTGTCCCCGAGCTCCGCACTGACCGAAGCTGAGCATGCAGCCTTCGGAGTCGCACATGAATCCCAGACTCGCTCAAGAGATCACCCCACTCATCAAGGCCTACTGCAACGTCTGAGTTTGCCGTGTCAACGAAATTCTGAGCACCAAGCATCGCTCGAAATCGTCGTTCCGATAACACCTTTGTTCCCAAATCAGAAGGGTTGATGTGGCCAGAGATGGGCATGTACGACAACACCTTGTTCTGAACCTTTTCTTGTACCCAGAAAAGTCTGGCGTCAATGTGACGCGTCTTCGAACTAGGGCCGCTCCTATGTGCAAGTTGGCGGGCGGCTTGGTTATCCAATCTGATAGTAATTCGCGGCTTCTGACCCAGAATGAAGGTCAAGCATTGGCTCAGGTAAAGGCCGTCGCAAGCAGCCGTCACAGAGGCGTAATGTTCCGCCTCACACGAGGAAAGGGACACAACCTTCTGTCCCCTGCACGAGCTGAAGACGGTAGCACCGTCTAGGAAGTGGACGGCAGATGACATCGACCTGCGGCTCACCTGTGAGCCGCTCCAATCGCTGACCGAACACACCTCCAGAAGATGTTCATGCTGATCCCTCGACGGTCCTTGATCAAGAAAGCTGTAGCCTTTCTCGCGGGGCACAATGTGGATTCCAAAACCTGCGGCGCGGCGAAGGTATGCTGCAAGCTTCCGCGCTGCTTTCAAGTCGTCCTCGGTCGGTGCCGTGAGCCGCGGCGCCAAGGTGCGGATCGGGAAGGCACAGTCTACCCTATCATTTGACAAGTACATCGCTATGCCTATGGCGGTTCTGAAAGTACTTCCACCCTCAGCATCAAGCAGCTTACTCCCAGACACCTTGAGGATGTCTTTCGAACATGGAACAGCTGAAGTCTTGCGTTCATGCAACCCAAGCACCTCGCACATCTTGTGGATCAAATCACTCTGTGCTTGAACAATCACGCCACTCTCGGTAACGCGATGTGTGCGCTTCAAGAAACTGACACTCTCTCCTTCCTCAGAGGCGATCGTCCATGAGCATTCAAACTCCTTCTCAAGTGCTGGCACAAAGTGTTTGAGCAGCCACGATCGCTTGCCCACAATGAACAAATCGTCCACATGAAGAAGGCAGTTCTGCCCATCAATCGAGATCAACGCTGGGCAGGCTTCGCACACTTTCACTTCAAACTTGGTACGCAAATAGTTGATCAGACGCTCTCTCCAGCGCAAAGCCCCGTCCCGCTGTCCCGGGATGCACATCTCGAAATCATACTCAAACTGATCACTGTAATCACGGGGCATGGATGCTCGGACCTTCTCAGCCTGCGGCACCGTCAAGTATGCATCCTTGACATCAAGCGTAAGCATCGATGGTTTGTCGTCACCAGGGGCTCATTCTTCATCCGAGCAAACAGCCACGGCAAAAGCTTCGACACGGCAGTGTTGCTGGCAGGACTGAAAATGTCAAGGCGGTCGGCCTCTAGCCATTTGTATTCCCGTGCACATAACCTTGACCGTCTCAACACCATTTCAACACCGCCTTTAACCTTCTTGCGCCATGTCCTCACGAATTTCGTTGACAAGCGCTTGAAACCTTCCTCGGACACTTCACCTCGCAACCCGGCACACTTGAGAACTCGCTTGCGAATCAACCTTTGCACCTCAAACCTGTCTGCAATGGCATCAACTTGGCTTGTTCGTTCTTCAGGAAACCACAGCTGGGCCTCCAAAGCCTTCAGTTCATCATCAGACAAAATGCCTGCTTGCTGGGCAGCTTCAAGAGGCAATGGGCTCACATCCCACGCATATTCAACTGTGTTGGCCGTCTGGCCTACACTGAGACCACCGTTTGCTGCTACAGCATCGCCCTTGGAAGAAAAGTCCAAATCATCCCATTCACTAGGCACTTCAAGTTCTTCATCATTCACAGCTAAATGCTCATTTGCAACACGGCGTAGCCTAGCAGTCTTAAAAAGGACTTTCCTCCCCGCCGTCACCTGTCCCCGCCGACCTTTTCGGCAAGAATATCTGGCACTCGGAGCAGTGGCGACTCATGCCGGCTCTCCCGTGCCACCGACTGCACTTCCAATATCACCTTTGGTCGTTCTGGCTCGGTGTAACTGGCGTTCGATCGCCACGCGAAAGCAACAAAGAAGCACGCTTGGAAACTGGCGCGGGTCCTGGCTCCTCATCTGCAGCATGCCTCAGCATTCAAAGGGGCACTCGGAAGTGGCAACGGCAACTCAGGTGCCGAGACATCGACCACAGCTGCCTGCTCGGCCGGATTTGGCGCTTGGATTCTCTGTGGGACGTCTTCAAGCCAAGTGAACCTAACTGGAATTCCATGAGCACCTGCAATCGCCTCGAGACGAGAGATCTGCCTCGTGTGAGGCGAAGTTCAGCCTTCGTGCTGCAAACCCAGCTTTAGGGCACCTGAGCCAGTGAGACCTTCTCTCGCACTGTGGGCGGCTTGAACTCTCCGACTTTGCGAAATGGAGTCTTGAACAGATTAATATGTGGTACCCGGATCGCTACCTGATGGGAGACATACAGTGACCGGCCGCTTTGCGGAGATCGTTCGGCGAGACTTTGCCGATGCACCAATGGGCCTTCGCATTGACTACGCGTCGTGCACACTTGGGGAACTGGCCGCAGCGCGTTTGTTCCGGGCGTAGGGGAGGACTTGCAGGCGGCCTCAGCCACCAGTTCTTGGGCTACACGCTGGTTAAACAGTTGGGTGAATGGACTTTTATGTGCATGAGGAACATATAGAATCCGGGGCACTTCCGCCAGACCTGACAGTTACCTTTCGAATGTGACTTTGCGGCGAGAGATTCAGGGGCCTTGCAGGCTTCGGCGTTCTTGATGCAGTCTGGCACGCGCCGCGCTTTGCTGCGCCCACCAGCCCTAGCCATTCGACTTTGCGGCGTGTACCGGAGATTGCTCTCGTGAAAGGCCGCTGACCTGTCGATGCGCGTGTCTCTGCGCTGACCGGACACCTGTCTGCCCAGGCCTCCGGCTTCCAGGCGGACCTGGACAGCCGCCCGGGCTGGTCCAGAGGGAGAGGTTGGAACCCAGGTTAAACCTGGGTTCCAAACTATTTCTCTAAGTATTAACTAAAAAAAAAAACACGGCGAGCGCGCCGCCAGCAAACAGAAAACGCGTTTTCCACTTTTTTGCTTTCCAACCTCACTCAAACCTGCTTTTCCACCAAAGTCTTTTTCAGTCGAGCGTGACAACATCCCACATTTCGCCTGCCAGCTCTACCTGTACACGAGGTGGGGCAGGGCTTACAAAAGGCTCTTAAAAGCAGACATGTCTTCCCCGTCTCTTTGGACTTGCGAACTGCCAAGTTTGAAGCATCCAGGTTCAACCCAGATTAAACCCAGGTTGAAACCCAGGTTAAATCCAGGAGGGCTTCAAGGCAGCTGGCTGGTTTAAGAACGTGTTTCTTCTTGGCACAGCGCACTTTTTAGGCAAGTCTGGAAGAGCATGAGTGACCCTGGACAGCTGATACTCAGAGGCGGTCGATGAAATCAAACTGTAATCTAGAAAGACTCTAGAGGACAAAGCGGTAAAACAGAAAGTGAAGCTCTTCAAATGGGTAGCGCACGGACTTTACCTGTGTTGGCCGTTCAGCGCTAATTACGGAGCCTCGAGCGACCGAGACCTGTCCTTTTTCTCTACGGAGCTGTTGGACGACCTCCCGCTTACGCATCTGCGACCGTCTCTACCGGTCTGTGCCCTAAGACCCACCAAGCTGTGAAACTGGACGTGGCAATTTTGCAACTCCGTCATTCTGTGGCTCCGCCTTCTTGACTCTTGCAATACCCACACATGGGAAGCTGGGTCTGAAGACATGCGTCGTTGTGTCGTTACTTCCCCTGAGCTCTCCGCACGGTGGGTCCTTGCCGCTATCCGATTCAGGACGCGATAGTGCAGACTCGAGTACCGAAGCGGCTTGGTTGTGACGGACCTCTCAAGGTAAGTCGCTTCTTCATAGAGTCTTGCAACCGACAACAAACGTCGTTGAGGTTCTTTCCACCCTTCATGCCACCTCTACTCCGGTGGTTTCCACTGCCACTTGAGTCTTGTCTGGGTCCGATGTGCCCGAAATGAATAGCAAGAAACTGGCTTGTGCTGCTCTTTGAGGTTGTACTCGCTCCATCAACACTGCAAGTACAGACTTGGTTGTGCACTTTGCAATTGGATTGAGTGGCCGGGTTTAACGGACATATCTGGTTAAAGTCGCTTTTCTTCGTGGAAGCACTGTAACCGACGACATACGTCGCTTGCTTCCACAATCTGTATCGCTCGCCCGGCCACCTGTGTGTGTGACGGGCGACTTGTTGTCGCTGGACCCCGGCGTCCGCGACGTCCACGCTTTGCACGCCAGGTTCTGTTCTTGGATGTGGAAGATTCGCTGGCTGGCAATGAGTTGCTCTTCTCTGGCCGTCACAGTGGGCTTTGTACTTTTGGATTTTGTGTGTACGATCGACGGAACAAAACACAGGGACTGTCCGTTCTCGCAAGAGTAGAACGGCTGCTGGAGCCTGGTTTTTGGCTCCACCTGTTTGGGCAGCTCAGAGCGACGGCTCTTTGTTGCTCCGGACCGGTCGCTGAGGCTCCGTAGTTAGCGCTGAACGGCCAACACAGGTGAAGCCCGTGCGCCGCAGCCCATTTGTAGAGCTTCGCTTTCTGTTTCACCGCTTTGTTGTAGTTTTGTTAGTTTGTTGCTTTGCTTGTTTGTAGGGACCGAGTGCTACAGCCGTAGTCGACGAGGTCCAGTCAAGCCAAAAAAACATGGGAAGCTGGGCCTGGTTTGCAAGCGGGGCCAAGACCTGGCTGGTTAGCCAACATGGCTGTTACCAGGCGGTATTGTGGTTGAATTGCGCTCGTACTGTGCTGCCCTTGCGAGACCACACTATGTTGGGAAGCTGGACCTGGACCGAAGTGCTGGTGCTTGCTGGTTGGTGACATTGGCACGCGCCCCTTGGGCGAATTCAACCCAATGCCTGAAATGTATGCTTGTTCTCCTGGGATACTCCTTTGCGGGCCACAACGGTTTTTATACCTTCGCTCAGGAGCTTGTACACAGCTGATGGCTCCGCGCGACGGGCACACGGCAGCAGCATGCTTTACTGTTAATTGCTACATGCCCTTGCGCGACCCACGATACTGGGAAGCTGGGCCATTTTATCGCTACGCACTTGCCAATGGAACATGCTGCTTTGTGGATGCTCGCATAAAACCGCTCCACCCTGGCTAACAGAGACACCTGAGAGAAGCTACGCTCTGAAAGGCCGAACGATCCCTGCTGGCTTAGTCTGCAAGTCGTGGCCCGTCTCACCTTACACGATTCTCTTGTACAGCTCTTTATTGTATTCTTGTAGTTCTTGTAGTTCTTACTGGGACCGAGTGCAGCAACTGCTGTCTTTGAGGCCCGCCCACGCCAAAAAAAATGTTTGTAAAAGCGTTTTATAGACCAGTGTTGGAACCAGTGTTCGAACTCGAGGTTCGAACACTGGTGTTCGATTCTACTGGTTCGAACACTGGCGTTTGAACTCCGGGTTCGAACACTGGTGTTCGAACTTAGGGTTCGAACACTAGTGTTCCAACTGGAGTTCGAACACCAGTGTTTGAACTCGGAGTTCAAACACTGGTGAATGTTCCTTCTCTCTTTTTCTTTTCTTCGCAAAAAGCTCCATAAAGCGTGTGGCTTCTCTTCTTCTGTGTTCATGAAAGCGTTTTATAGACCAGTGCTCGAACCCGGAAATCGAACACCAGTGTTTGAACTCTGGGTTCGAACACCAGTGTTTGAACTCGAGGATCGAACACTGGTGTTCGAACCTGGGGTTCGAACACCAGTGTTTGAACTCCGGGTTCGAACACCAGTGTTCGAACTCGGAGTTTGAACGCTGTGTTCGAACCCGGAGTTCAACTCCGGTTCCAGGTGTTCGAGCTTGGGGTGCAACCCTAAGTTCTAGTGTTATGTTCTCAGCCCCCCCCCCGGCCCTCCCAAGTGTTCGAACCCAGGGTTCCGGAACACTTCCAAAACCTATGCTCGGTGTGCTCTGTAAAGAAAAGCGAACAAACGAAAGTAACACAATCTCGTTGCGAAAGCACAGAAACAGAAGACGTTGAAGGTCCATCACACATGAAAAAAATGCTGTACAACTGGGCGATAGACCAGGAGTTTCCAATTAGCAGCAAGATGGCCATGTTTCAGAAGCGGAGCGAGCTTCTTGGAAGCTTTCATTGCTCTTGACCTTCGGGTGGAGATTTTTGTGATTTGTGGATCCAAATATTCCCCGAGGTACTTAATCGTGTCGGAGAGGGACTTCTAATTCCTCGACTGGGGCAAGGAGAAGTTCGGGATTAAGATGCGATGGGAGGAGTTGACGGAAAGGTGCTCACACTTGTCATTGAGACAGGCCACGCCGGGCTCCTTCTTTTTGTACCAAGTGAAGGAAGATTTGTGCTTGGAAAAGGATCAGAGGACCGTGTCGTCTGCTTTTCCAAATCCCATAATAGGCGCAGGACGGACGCCAGTTCCATGCTCGGCCGTATGCTGTCTTTCGACATCCTCAAAAATAAGAAGGGGGAGAGGGAGCAGCCCTTGCGTGCTTGTTCGGAGCGCTGGTTACTGTCACGAACAATGAAGGTGGGAATATTGTATGAGGAAATGGCCTGCCGAAATGGAGCCGGTCCACCCATGTACTGGTGCCTGTATGGGGAGAACGTAACAGAATCAAAGGCCTTGGCCAATCAAGGAAAATGGCATGAAATGGTTCTGTTTGCCTTTCATGAACCTCCAGAAGGCGGCGCAAAATATGTAGAGGCTGAGGGGCCGGAACGAAACCCAAATTGGGTATGGCGGACTCGGTGATCAAGCACCGCCAGGCGTTTCTGAAGGAGCGAAGCATATATCTTATACATTGTATTGGAGAGAGAAATGGGTCGATAGTTGGAAAGGAGCTTAGTATCTTTCTGGTAGTTTTTGACCAACATGACAACCTCTGAATGGAGCCAGGAGGCCGGGGCCTCTCCTGTCATGAAACAATGATTGTAATGGTCTAATAAATAGAGACGAACAATATAGGGGGCGTTTTCAAGCAACTCGGCTGGAACACCGTCGGGGCCGGGAGCTTTGCGCTTACCTCGGGCGCGGAGGACAATATTAAGTTCCTCCATGTTGAATTAATGGGCGGGAAGCCTCTGGGATTTCGGGAAAAGAGGGAGTATTTGGAAAGGTTTCGGGAGAAGGAGCCTTCCAAACTTGGTTGGCTAAATAGTCTGCGAATGATTCTGCCCGGCGCGATTTGGAGACCAATTTGCCTTGAGAATTGATTAAATTGGTAGGGGAAGGGCGAAAATCCTTTCTCATGGAGCGTGCGGTACGCCACTGTTGTATGGCGGAACCATGAAAATCCTCCTGGAGGTTAGCCAAGATAAACTGTTTCTTGTCGCGCCTGGCGAGTTTCTTAATGCAATTTCGATGTTGTTTGACCTCCTGTTCGGTGAGATCAGTCTTATATTGGAAAGAGGAAATACATTCCAAAGTAGCCGGAGAGATCCAGGGCTTCTTCGGCGAAACAGGGAGCGTTGGAATAAGAGGGGTGTGTTTTTGTATGAGTTCTAGTAAGTAGGCGTTTTGGGCGTCGGGGGAAAGAGACAACCACGCCTCAGAGGAGTAACCAATGTCGGGAGGAGAGAGCGCAGCAGTGCGGGAGCTTGAAAATCTACCCAGAGAGCCGTATTCAGTATAACGCTCTTTTTTGCAAGGGAGTCCGCTAACTCATTGCCGATAACGCCGGAGTGTCCGGCAACTTTGGCGAGCGTCACATAATGGAGAGTGCGCAGAGCAGTATAGTACTGCTGCGCAAGAGTAACGAGTTGTTGATGCGTATTAGGAAGGGAGTCACCCAAAATCACCCGGAGGGCATACTCAGAATCCGTATAAATGGTAATATCGGAAAAGGAGGGAAGATTGGAATAATAGAGAAGATAATCAAAGAGTTCGATGAGGGCTTTGAGTTCGCCGGTATTATTGGACCCCAAATTTCGGGCAGTACATGAGTATCTGTAGGCGTAGTTTTAACCGGGCCAAAGGAGAGGTCCCATTGTGTGTCCTGAGTGGCTTCTTCCTTAACCAAAGAGCTGGTGACCGCAAATCCCCATCCAGCGGGATTCTCAGGAGAGACTACTTTATTATTCGGACATGCGCCGTCAGTATAGGCTGTCACATATATCTGCGGAGGCGTAGCCGGGTGGTCCGGATCAGGAAGCTGATTATCGGTAGAAAAGAGAAGATCGGCCTCGAGGGCCTTGTAAAAAGATTTGGTTTGCGAAAAGTCAAGTTTATCCGTAGAGTCGGGTTGGGGTCGTTCCGGATAGTGACATGATAAAGTCCCGTAGGTGGGGTGGTGGCGTGTGTTTATGAGCTGTTGGAAAATGGAGCCATGAAAGGTAAAAGAATTGACGAGGGGAGTAGTGAGTAAAGTATGGTCCAGCGCTGCCCAATCTTCGACCGTAGGGTTAGTAAGGAGGGGGTCAGCGCACGTCATTTCTTTGCTTGGGAAAGGAGATATTATGCTGGGAAGGAGCGTGGAGAAGCGAGTGTGAGTTCATAAATTCAATGAGATACTCAGCATTGTCCCTATCGGGGTCAACGAGAGCTTGGCGCCTGCCCCGCACGTGTGGGCCGAGGCCCGGGGCATCTTTTGCCATGGAGGCGGAAAGTCGGGCGTTGAAGTCTCCCAATACGACTAAGTGATCTGCATTGGAATGAGAAGAGATTAAGTGGTCCAGGGAGTCCCAAAAGCCTTGTCTCCGTTTGAGATCCTCAGCGGAATCCTCAACTTGACTGGGAGCATATACACACATAATAGTGACGGGGTGGGGAATAATATGAATAGTGAGTTCACAAAAGGCGGGGGCCGTGGGCTAAAAAATTGGAGACGTATGGCCGTAGAAATGGGGAAGCGAAGAAGCCCACGCCATGGTGTTTACCAGCGGGAGTGCTGGAGTGTAAGATCTCCCACCCTGATTTACAAAAACTGTGGCTGGAGTCGGCCTTGGTTTCTTGAACAGCTAATAGGTGAAAATGATGTTGCTTAGCAAAAAGGAGAATCTGATCATATTTGGCGACCTCTTTAAGGCCTTCTATATTCCAAGTGGCGATATTGAGTCTAGTATGCGGTTTGAGGGGAAAAGGGGAAGAGTGCTGATGATATCGCCAATTTGTGGGCGTGCTTTGGGTCTTTCGAACCTTGGACTGGAGGCGGCGGTAATCGGTCGGTCGTGGACTAGACGGGGGTACAGGGATAGGTGCACCGTGAGTCCGCAGGATGGTCCCTTTATTAGCGGTTTTCCAGGCTCTATAATCCTGGCGCCGAGATCTTTTATTCTGAGTCCACTGTTGAAAACGGCGTGCCTTAGCCTGAGTGGATCTAGTTCCGCGAGAGGTTCCCCCGATGGTGTCGCGGTTTTGGTAGCCGCTTGGATCAGGTTTGGTGCGAGTGTTTCCTGGGGTTTTGGGGTCAGAGCAGACCTGCTTCCTCGGCAGTGCGGAGCCACCTGATTTGATGTGAGATCCGTAGCCGGATTCCACGAGAAATCCGGAGTGGTGTCCTCGTCCTCTGGCTTCTGCCCAATGCTGGGCTTGCCTGTCTGAATCCCCAGACTTTTCCAGAGCCTTCTTTCGGAAGGTTGTGTCCAGCAGCTTCCCGGCTCGCCTCCCTTGGAGGCAACCGCTCGACTTAGCAGCCCTCCACGAGAGAACTCAAGTTCTTTGGTAATGCCTCTTCTATAATACCGGAGCGGACGCTCTAGACTCTAGACATGCTTTCCTTGGCCAGACTGCATGACAAAAGACCTGCAAGGGCTCTATCGACGCACTGTGCCTTTTGGTGGCTCTGCTACACTCCATGTACTGCTTGAGCGGCAACCTTCGTGCTTTTGCCGCAGGCTGGTTTCCTGCAAACATGCAGTGTTGGCGCAAGGAAGCGACAGTCCAGAGGCTTGATGTCCTGCTATCGAACTCTTCGTTGGCAACGATCCACTCGCCGTCCGGGGACGGCTGGACTTCTTCGACGCTCGCGTAACCTTCAAGCGTGCCAGCGATGTTCGTACGGCCGCCGAGTCTCTCACAACGCGAAGGCTGGTGAAGGGGCGCTCGGGGGTTGCTGCTTTTGCATGCTCTTGCCGCTGTCCGCCTGTCAGGTGGAGTCTTCAAGACCTGTTGCGCCAGCGTTTTATTTCTTGCTGGAAAGCCCGCGATCCCATCCAATGGCGGGCCTGCTGCGTTCTTTGATAACTTTCGCGGAGGCCAGTGGCGGGTCTACGAGCTGGACGAGGCTGCCCGGCGCTCCTTCCACGAGCTCAACGACAAGCGCACGGAGGGCCAGCGACAGGCCCGCCTCGTCGACCAGAACAACTCTCGCTGGCAATCCAAAGTCGAACCGAAGCATCTTCGCCACGCCTTCGCCGTGCATCTCTGCGAGTAAACACAACTCGGCGGTGCAGGCGAAGCTTGGAGTTGCCGTCTGCCGGTCAAGGCCCTCAAATTTGGAGCTCTGCTTAGCGACATGGACTCCGTCGACAAGAAAGTCGCGCAGTTCTTCACAGAGACTCTGGAAGGGAGTGCTACGGCGGATGGTCACCCAACCGCTGGGGGCGCTCCTGGTGCCGGTAAAGTGCGAGTTCGTGATGCCTTAACTCAGATACTGCGTGTCTCTGCCTCTCATTTGACAACGCAAACTCCGGCGATGCGCTGTGCCGTCCTCGCCATTCCTTCTGAGTCGAGCGTCCTGCTCAAAGAGAAAGACATCAAAACTGAATCAAAACCGCCTTTACCTCGCTGCCCGACACTCAGAAAGGCCTTCCTGCGCTTTGCCTTGCCATGCGAGCGATCCTACGCGAACTACGTCAACATGCTCACAGCCATCGACTTTCGCGTGGTCAGCTACCAGGCTTTGCTTCCCCTTCTCCCACTTCCCCAACTTGACACTTTCCACTGTGCCCACGGAAGCCGATGCAGTCGCTGGCGCAGCTCTTCTGCGCGGTTTGAAGCAAGCCCTTGCAGGGGGGGAGGGGAACATGTCAACTCAGGTCGAATCCTGGGTAACTTCGTGAACTCAAGTCAACTTGGAGTTCGAACTTTGGGTTCGGGGAGCATGCTCCATCCTAATTCGGCACGCTCCGCAGCGCTCACACAAGCAGCAGGCTGCGGCCGTTGTCTTTTCCACGCGACAGCCAGCATCCAGATGCTCGCGTCGCCGGAGGCAACGGCGCCAGAGCCACCGATACCGTTTTTAGGTGCACTCCGCATTCCGCGACACAGCCACTACTCAGGGACTCGCCCCCCGAGCTCAAGAAAATATAGAAGCCGCAGCAGGAAAATTTCATTCTAACGCCAGCCTCTGACCATTGTTCAGAAGTGCGACAAGACCTAGAAGCCGACACAAGGCAGCAATGGACTGTTCCGGACTATATATGGGCTCCCCTCCCCCCCTGGAGTTCGAATCCAGGGTTCGGAAACACTCCAAAAACCAATGCTCGCTTCTTTCAGTTTTTCGGAGTCTTAGAAAAGGCAAAGAACTTGAAAGATAATGCACCTATTAGGTTTCAGGAAAGGCTAAAAAGTTGTAGATTTAACTTAGACTTAGAAGTTTTGAAAGTGTAGTGTGTTTTGACAACACACGAAAGTAGGATGTGATTGTAATGCAGGAATTTGGTTGTAGATTCCATTCTTCAGAAATCCGGTGAAAATTCCTAAAACTAAATTCCTTGCATGGTAAAGTTAGGCCCAGTTAGGCGTAGCTGATGATCTAGAATCCTGTTGTATCCCAGAGAATGATAGCGGTCTTGCTCCTGCGTTCGTGTGTTCTGAAAGCGAGACAGATGCACAGTGGAGAAAGTGAGAACGGTGTTACCTGTTGCGGTGACGCTTAGATCCACCGATTGCACGCCTTGTTCAAGCTGTTGTGTCACTTCTGTGGCATTGTACAGCGGTGAGTCCGTTGTCCGATGGGACTGGAACTGCAGGCAGGGTGTCGATTTTTGGATTCCACTCTCGTGCCGGCCGGTCTGGAGCGAGCTCTTTCCAACTTGCTGCCGAGGCTGTCCGAAGGAGAGTCGCTGGACGGCTGTTGTTGTCTACAGGCCGCAGCTCTTTGTCACTTTGGTTTTTCACTTTTTGTTGTTTTGGCCCGTGATTCGTGAATTGACTGAGCGCAGTAGCCGCTGTCATCGAAGCCCGCCCACGCCAAAAAAAAATTCTCAAGAGCCTTGTGGACTAAGTGAAAAAAGTTCCGCTTGGATGTTATCATTGGAAAATTTGGCTTGCAGTAACCCGTATTTTTGTTTTGATTTGGAGCGTTTTCTTAGTGACGTGTTACGCTTGCTGTGGCCTCGCCGCTGTCTTGTGTTTGTTTGTTTCGTGGAGTCAAGGGACTGAGAGCAGCTGAGGCTGTCGACGAAGCCCGCACAAGCCAGAAAAAGATCGAGACCAGTGCCAGTGATTTGAACAGACAAACCTTTGCACGTTGCTCCGCTGCGAAGACATCCCAGCATTGAGCTCTGTGATAGAATTGTTTCTGGAATCCTTTTGGATCTATGGAAATCTGCAAAAAAACAAAATGTGTGTATCTGCCTGTGATTGCAAGTCTGGTTCTGGTTGTTTGCAAAAGCACTTTGCATGACTTTTTGGTTATGTTAATTTCTAATATTTGTGCAGTGAAGGGACAATGTCTTCTTGGAAAGCTCGGTAAAACAGCCCCGCGATAAAAGCTTGGCCAAGCAGCTCAACTGCAGCTCAGCCGTTTGCACACAGTCACCATAATTATCCGCTTCTGCATGATTTGAAGCGGTTTGAAAATGAGGTTGGGCCAAAAGCCAAGATTCCATTGCTTTTGGGTGTAATCGGCCATCGTTTGATTCCATATTTTGTACTTGGAGTCTTCAAACGGGTTCACATGTAATTCAACCATGTGCTCCTGGAACTTGTGTTTTGACATGTAATGTGGTTTGATTGTCAAGAACCGTGTACAAGCACATACCTAGTGTCCGCAATGCTTTCTCTCGTTTCTTTCACACGGCCCAACATTCGTGTTGTAGTGCCCAGTTGTTGGTGGATTGTTTGCACAGTCTTTAGAGTTTTTTGTTTTGAGGACGTAGTGACAGACACTTCACGTGACTGCTTCGCGACTCCCCATGATGAAGTAGTTTGCATGGTTTTTTGTGCGAAGCTCGCTATCATATGTTGATTATGTGATGATGTTTTTGCTGGACATCTTCTGGTTCAAGAAATCACGTCTTCAGATTTTCCAATTAGAACAACTTTCCCGGTAGTGAAGAGCATTGACCGTTTGCCTGTGGTTGCTCTGGATGGCAGTGTGATGTTAGCCAAGAAGCAATCCTTCAATGATCGGTGTTGAGACCGTTTGAGTTTGGTTTCGGCCGCAGAATCCCGAGAGCAAGCACAGGATCCACGGTATACATAGGGCCGAAGATCCTGCGGCCCCCAACTCAGGCCCTTCTACACGAGTGGGGATCTGTCATTTCTCCACTTGATAGCAACGCTTGGGGCAAGATGTCACCAAGCCCGGCACGTAGCTCACACGGGGGTGGGGTTGATGAGTCGAGTTTGCCGCCAGTGCACTGCGTTCGTTAAACAGCTTCCGATACGTTTTGCTGGAGGGTTTGGTTCGAGGTATTGCTTGCTTTCATGCAGTGGCCACTTCGCCTCTCTTCTTCAAAGCCCTCCTTTCGGGATATTTGGCAGGATACCATGATTCACGTGTTCACCATCGTCGCCGCATCCACGTTATCAACCCTGGTGGCGCAATCCGCGCATGCTGGCTGTGTGGCTCCCGTGCTGCTGCAGATGCAAGCTTCGCAGCTCAGCTGGAAACCCTGTGATGATGCTGCATCCTGTGGAGTTTCTTTCTTGTAAGGTGTTGAACTTTCGCATTTAGACATGTTCGTCCGGAATATGCTGCAAAAACCTGGTAGCCATGTCAGCCGGACAATGTACAAATCAGGTCGACTAACGTTGTGAGAGGTGAATGCACCTTGCATGCAGGAGCGACCATGTGTCCTTGCCTTCAGCAGCGAAGGTCTCTTTGCTTGGTTGTTTTTTCTGCATTGAAATGGTGGCAGTCTAGCAGTCTAGCAGCACGTGTGCCGTGATTTTTGTGTCTACGCGGCCGTGGAAGGTTGCTGTACATGCAGTCGGGAAACACAGACGAGCATGTATGCGTGCAGGTGTGTGTTGGCGTCCCTCTGTGTTTGACATGGCAAAGAAGGATGTTTTGTCAAAGCTTGGCGCGATCGTATCCCTGACGAAGCCACGATGATTATGGCAGCTATGCTGTTGAACTAAGGAGCCAAGGCCTGAAAAGAAGGAGGTCAGCGCGACTTCCAGTGCGAATCAAGCACCCGCGAAAGAAAATACGACACAGGCCTTCTTGTATCGTGACTAACATCATCCATGCACCATCTGCCGCAGGTGACCTACGCAAGTCTCCAAGGTGTCTTTGCGAATTTTATGATCTTTCGCAGCTCCGAACAAGCCATGTCGTAGGTTCTGAAATCTATGCTATGCAATTGCTTGATGTAGACAAGTCAGACAGTTTCTTGAAGGATACATCTTCTGTGAGTCAGCTTCCCCCGTTTAATCTTGTGATGAGGTGGCTCGAACCCTGCCGATGGATACAACAAATGGAGACAGGTGCTTCGCTTCCCTGAGTGACACTGCTGTCTTCCTTGTATATTGGGGAGGTTTCTGGATAGTTTAAGCCGCTCCGTGGGTCCTGTCCAGGACGCCGACAATTCGCAAGATCGGCTCAAGGACACTTAGTGGTTTTGTCGGCCGGGATTTTTACACAGCATCACAGCAGGACATGGTCAGTGATTGCTTTCAAATGACTGTTTGTTTCCGATGACTTTGCTCCGACATAGTTCGGCTGCTGGCATGTGTTTGGGTGTGTGTGTGTGTGTGTGTGTGTCCGTGTGTGTCTGTATGAGCATGTTCCATTCCGGGCACTCGCACCGCCCGCCCGCGCCGCCTCAGCGGCACCTCCGGCACACAATTACTTGCTGCTACCACCGCGACTGCTGCTGACGCTGCCACTGCCACCTCTACTTGCTATCACCGCTACTACTATTATTAATTACTGCTACGGCTACTACAGTTACTGCGGCCACTACGGCTACAACCACTACTACTACTACTAGTACTACTACTACTACTACTACTACTACTACTACTACTACTACTACTACTACTCCTACTCCTACTCCTACTCCTACTCCTGTTCCTACTACTACTACTACTACTACTACTACTACTACTACTACTACTACTACTACTACTACTACTACTACTACTACTACTACTACTACTACTACTAACTGCAGCTGCTGCCACTGCCACTGCTACTGGCACTGTCACTGCTATCGCTTCTGCTCCTGCTCGTGCTCTTTTCGGTCTTGGGTTCGGGAGGGCTTGGGGTTTGGCGAGTTTGGGTGTTTTGGTTTGAGAGTTTTGGGGTTTGGGTGTGGGGGTGTAGAGGTTCCAGATGTGCCATAGGGTTCGGGATTCAGATCAGAGGGAATTTAGCATTTGTTTGGTGTTTATCCTGGGTTGGGGCTTTCGGTGTTTTGGGGTTTGGGGTTATGCTTGGAAGACTTTGGGGCTGTAAGTTTGGTTTTGCTTTCAATGCGTTGTAAGGTTTCGTATCTGGAGCGTTTGAACGTCTGCAGTTGGCCGTCGTTGTTTTTGGGTTGTGGGGTTTGCTGTCCATAACTTCTTGGAGACTGTTCTTTGCCACCAATGATGATGTCTTGTGCTCCGTCCTCAATCGGATGTCCAAGAGCAGAGTTGAGGTTGAAGCGTGGATTGCTCATTGAACAGTGGCACCGAGCCAACCAAGCAAGCCCACCAAGAGTAGCCGTTACGTGATGGCAGATTGTGTCCCTTTCTTCAGGGTCGCATTGTGCTCAGCAGGACGAGCTGGGCAAGGAAGAAGATGCATGCCAATCTAGCACAGCGCTCAGTTGTAAATCTCACATTTGGCCAGTGGTCTGATGGGGCACCGCGGATTTGGATGTGTCGGCGACAATGATAGTTGTTGTGGTGCTGCCAGCAGCATCCGCGGTTGCACTGTGTAGAGGCTCGAAAATCCACAAAAGGCTCTCGTTTTGCTGATCTTGTGGCGGTGTGATTTTGCTAAACAGCACATGTGTGAGTCATGAGTGTGGTCTGCGTGGAACTCAGGATCTGCAAGCGCCTTCGTAGATGTCCTGCAGGTGCATCGAGAAATTGTATCCACTGACGCACAACCTTTGGGCAAACGCAGTGCCGTTGAATGAAGGGCAGTGGCATCAGCATCGACACCCTTTCTCTGGACATGACGAATGCCTTTTCCGGTGGCGAGGCCGGGTGGATTACATTGGAGTCAGTGCTCGACGCGTTCGCGCTCATACAGCAGCAATCCTCTCGGCCACGGGCATCGCCGGTTCTTGACACCTCACCGCCACTACTGTGGGTGCAAAGCTCCCCAAACAAGTCCTTGAGCAAAGGCCGGCTTGTGTTGCGCAGTGGTGGGCAAGCCAACACATGCAGTCGCGATATCTTCGATAATCGCAGGATGTTGCTGAAGCTGTGTTCATGCTCGTGTGAGAACGCATGGCGGCATCGATTTGGGCACCGGGAGGGTATAGAGTGGGCATAATGGCTGTCTGCAGACGGAAATCGCAGGTGTTGGAAATCCTGGTGACTGCCATAACCATGAACGGTGCCTACGTTGAAGGCCGTGGAACGAATCCGGCTTTCTATGAGCTCGTGCTTTGCAGTCCCTGCGTGTTCTGCAGGCTCCGGCTTCTGGACCGCCCTAGGAGAGAACACGGCAACTCACCTCGTTCTCCAGCTTGATCGGGTCCGGCAGCACGGCCCGACTCAAAAGCACACGGTGGTTCCTTTCCAGTCTTCCAGGGCCTTCATGAGCCGAGGTCGGTGATTGATGTTTACCAGCCTCCAACGAGCTTCCGTACAAGTGACCGCCAGAGTCAGGACTGGCAAAAGATGCACTTCAGGGTTGTTCTAAAGGCCCGTGTCAACGGTTTAGAACCGGCCGTGTGACAGGGTTTCAACAGTCCGCGAAAGCAGGCGCGAAAGGAGAACAGTTTTACACGAAAGTTGTATCAACGAGCAAGAACATACTACGTCCTGCCCTAGCAGCCTAGCATCTTCAATCGACTGAGACTCAAACAACATAGGCGTGGAGAGTGTAGGTTTGTCCGCAGGAAGAGGTTGTCCTTGGAGTCGGAGATGGATGGCTGGATGTGCTCACTTTGTTTGCAGCTCAGTCCAAACAGCCAGCCTTCGCTCTGTGGGGCCGTGTCTGTCTCTGGTGTCTGAGGCAGCCTTGTGCTCCGCCGATGAGTCACAAGGTCGAAGCGGATTGACACTCGCCACTTTCAGCCTCACACAGTGTTCGACTTGCAGGTGATTGTCGATGCGGCACAAATGGTCATTGCCTCAGTTGTGCAACCTGGAACTGATACCGCTTGACAAAGCCACGCACATTTCTTATCCGAGCAGCAGGCATTTGCCGTTTCAACGTCCAGTCCTTGTCCACTATGCTTCTTACGAGCGAGGTGTCGCGGATGTTCTACACTTATTCGCTGGAGAGTGTGACGAGCTACCGTATCGTCACGGCAGAGGCCAGGAGCCTGGCGTTGTGTGAAACGCCTGTTGCTAGCTCCATGGGTGTGAAGGCTTATCCTCAGAACTTCGACGTGAGCGTGGAATATCTGAGCTCTCCGGCCCCCTTGATTCTGGGGTTCTCAGTGGCCGCTGGGATACTTTGGCTCTTAATCGTCCCATCTCTGTGCCCAGCTAGTGCAGCAAAAGCACCCCTAGCGTTCTTCCAGTGTAGGTCATGTTGCCAACAACTCCGATGAAGCCTCGAGTCGCTGATGACCGGTTGCTGTACTTCACGACAGACGCTCGGAGCAAGGTGCCGTGGATCCTTTTTGCGCAAAACCCCTGTCAAGCACCAAGGATTTCGTGGACGTGGGCTATCACCAAGCGGATATGCACACGCTGCCAAGTGAGGTGTGTACACGTGGTGGGTGGTTGTAGGGTTGTACATTACTTGGGAGCCCGATGGCCTTATACCCGACTCTGATTCTGACTGCGCCTCGTCAGGCAGTGGACCGGCAGATCTCGTTGATGTGGCGCTGGGATCTGGCGAAGCTGCCCAATCGGACAATCAGGATCGTCCTTCGTAGATTGTCATGCCATGCTCTGCTCTATGCGACAAGTCGTGGCTCACGGGATGCAAACTGGTCGTGTCTGCATTGCAGGATACACGTCGACCCGACCGTACCGCTGCGCTGGCAAGCCTGGGTCAAAGAAGGTGTTGAGGCATCATGGGGCTGCACTGGGCCTGTTTTCCGCATGGGTTTCCATATCCGTGTAGTGCCACTTTAACAGCCTCTCAGACAGTCGGCCTGAGTGCGTAAGCGTCCTGTGATTTAGTGAGTTTAGTGACGGGTCCCTGCGTCGCGACACAGCGGTGAGTCCGGATGGTGGAGGCTTGGAATGCGGCCTTCGCAACACTGCGAATGCCATCGGCGGTGAGAGCAACGACCTTACAGATTCCGCATACCGAGCCTTGCGGAGCGCACAGCATGCGTAGCGGCCTAGCGTAGGGAGTAGGCGTCCGACTCCAGGCCGTTCTGCCTTCGGACGATGATTGGCCGCAGGACTACAGCATGGTCCGGGGACTCGGCCGGACGACTCGACTCAGGGAGCCGACTTCGGCCTCAGCTTTCCATCGGCGCTGAGGCCGATGCACGGTACAACACGATCTACTGGTCGCTGTCTGATGACATCTCCAGCGAAGGTGATGCTCAGGCCGAGTGCTCAGAATGGTCACTCAATCGGGTGGTGGTGCTTGTTGTGCCGCCATATTGTGCCGACAGCTGGTGGTGTTGCGATGTATGGGGCGGTGGTGATGGGCGCCAGCACAAGTTCCGATCCAGCATTCCGCGTTAGAAGTTCGGCATCAGGGCCGGCATCGCCGGCAGCTGCTGCACCTGCAGAAGCAGCGCGAAGCAGCAGCCGGACCAGGACAGCAACAACAGACATCACCCCGACGAAAGAACAGCCATAACGACGCCAACTGTCATGGCCACCACTGCCGTTGAAAGCACGGCAACTCCCCACAACTTTCTCAAGCACCACTGCCGCCATCGCTACCGCCAGCACCACACCTCCGGCATCACCGGCAGTAGTAAGTAGTTACAAGACGAAGAGTAATGAGAGGAACTGTGAGAGGAGTACGAAAAGAACAGCAAAGGCTCTGTTAAAACTAACAGCACTTAGTAGTAATGAAAAGCAAGAGGAAGAGTAGGAAGAGTAAGCATAAGTAAAGCAACCACAGCACCACCAATACTGCTACTACCACGAGTACTACCACTACTCCTACTGCTACTGCTACTTCCGATGGCAGCCGGTGAAGCCAACGTTGAACTTGTCGCACCGTGCGGCTTCGGGATTCCTAGCACTCCGGGCTGCTTTTTGTGGGTCCTTAGCTTCCTAAGTCTCCCCTGTTTCTCCGAGTGTTTGTTCACCAAGGTCGATCCCAGGACCGGTGAGATCATCAAAGCTGACATCCGCATGGGCAGCGGCCGGAAGACTCGGAGCAGTCTTTGGCTTCTTTGGAGCGGTTGAGCAGTGGAGCTGCATTGAGGTTGGGTGTGGGCTTGGCTTTCTGAACTGGATCTCCTGGCGGCCAACGCTACCCGAGAGGATCGCCTAGCGCTCTTGGGCCAAGGCCACATCTTACCAAGGAGTGCTTGGGTTTTGCTGGTTGGAGTTTTTTCTCGAGGTTGGGGAAGCCAAAGCAGTGGGAAGCAAAAGCCACAAGCACGCTTTTATCGTCACGATGGGCCCATCTAACTATAACCTGGACTCACTGCATGTTGTCAATGCATCATTCGCCCCACTCCCCAGTGCATACTCGAGTCTTCATGCATCACGGAAAAGCTCGAGAGAGGAAGAGCTGAAGAGTCTCTGAGGCGGACACGGCCATTGTGGAAGAGCGTTCGTAGCTCCAGCATGCCAAAGCGTCACGCAAGCAGAAATCAAGCGCAGTCGAGATTACCTGCTTTCCGGTGACCTACCCGGGCTTCGGCCCCTCTCGGTATTTTCTCTTGGTAACCACGTCGGCGCCGACAGTCTCTGCTAGGTTTCCGGACTTTTCCGGACCGTCTCGTGTTGGTTCATAGGTTAGGTCTCTCACCCTCACTCTGGTCCTGAGTGGATGCATTGTTTTTGGGTTTCATCTTGGCGTTCATCGGAAACTCACCTTGCTTCTGAGTCAAGGACCAGGATGGCCGAACAGATGCCACTTCGGAAGCCGTTGTATTTGCGATTGCGCGCTTTCGGTGCACTTCTAGCATTGCCATGCGCAGCATCTCGGTCGTTGCCTCGTGCTTAGCGCGGCGGTCCAAGAAACATAGCGTCTACGCCTGAGCATATGTTGAGCCTGCTTCAGTCTCGGCGAGATGAACAGGTTCGTTGGGGTGTGCAAAGCCTTCAGGTTGCTGCAATGCTGTCTGTTGTTCACGGACTTGCGATAGCTTCTTCATGAATGCCGTCTGCAGGTGTTGTGAGTGGGACGCAGCTGTCGAAGCGTTCAAGAAGGCAAAGGTTTCTGGAGGGTTGCTTGGGTCCTGGTCACTGGACGTAGCGTGTAACCCTGAGACAATCTTGCCCCCTCTTCCTGCAATAGACCCCAGCAGGTTGCAGACTGCCCCTGACGGGCCCCTCCCTCGTGACCTGAGAGGCCTGGGAGGTCAGCTGGGCGGCCGACACGCTCCACGTCACTCAGAAAGTGTTTTCTTGGGTCTGCGGCGAACGAACCGGTCCAAGCTCCGAGGCATGCACAACAGTCGCGGCACACGAAGATCCCTCGCGACATCGGCGAGTCTGCCGAGACCTCCGAGGCTTGGCATGTGTGCTGGTGGCAGGCAGGCGACAGGTGATGACCATCAGGACAAGCGGCAAGCGTTAATTGTGGGCCCTGTGCAGCTGCCACGACATGGTGTTCACGCTGGGCCGCTGCTGCTCTCTGCAGGGCAGCCGTTGACCACACTGCAGCTCGAGGCGTAGCGGGTTGTTTGGCGAGGCGGCTAGAAGTAGTCTTTCGGGTTTGCTTGTCGGTGCCGAGTCGCTGAAGTCATGTGTCATCCATTGCTGCATCCTGTAGTGTGGGCTGTGCGGTAGCTTTGGAGCAGAAGCATCGGTTCCCCTCCAGCTTGCGTGACAGGTCTTGATGGGAGAAGGCCTGAAGAGCGTTGTGATGCACGAAATGGGGCACATCCTCGGCTTGAGGCGGGTGCATGTGAGATGTTGAAACGATGTGCAATCGAAGCTGAGTGCTTTGAGGCACAACTTCAAGGGGAGCACCTTCGTCGCTGAGAATTGCTTGGAGAATCGGAGCTGAGCCTCGCTGAAGATGTGAAGCAGTCGAGACAGTACCGAAGTGGAGAGAGTCCTCTCGAGTACAGCAACAGCTCTCAATCGTGTTGAGGCACCGCCGTCCACGGGCTCTCTGCGAGTGCTTCGGTGCAAGTCCTGAGATAAGAATCCACTTTCGAGAGCTGTGGATGCGTTTTCCCGGAACTTTGCTGCACCCAGCATCTCCCCAACCCCTGCAAGAGGCCCAGGCCCCATCCGCCAGGCATCATGGACTATTTGCCCATGAACTTGCCGGAGCCGGGGCGCGAGCCCAACTCCGTTCACATCTTCCCCCCAACCATCGGCGCTTACGACTCCAGGGCTGCGTTTCATGTGTGGGGTTGGAGCTTCGTTAGTCTCGCAACCTGGCCTGGTTGAAGCAAAAGCTTCGTCCAAAACGGCACAACCTCAGACGACCGTGCCAATTCCAACTTGACCTACAGTGAACCGATGCCTCGCTGGCTGCAACCGCTTCCTCCATGCAAAGCTTCGTAGATGAGGGGGCAGGGGCTCGTCTGCTGGTCTCTACTCGGCTGCGGGAACCATTCGAAGCGGGCTCCTGGGCTCCTCTGCTTTGACGAATCTCAGGACAAGCTTGCTATCCGCTACGGGTACTCCGAGCCCTCCGAGTCGCCCACAGAGGCTTTCTATGGGCTGCCCGGAGGAAGCTGAAGAGCCATGGGCAATGCCTAGCTCCAGCGATTGGTCCATCTCAGGCTCGCGGCTCTCTTGGAGGAAGCGAAGGCTTTCGATGTCTGCTACGATGCAGACGAGGAGTTGGGTGAGGACCCCTTCTGCATGACCGAAGATCTTGGCGAGGACCCGAGAAGGAAGCGCCTGCAGTGTTTCAAATCCGTTCAACCTCGAGCATTGCCAGGACCCCGTGGCCTTCCACGAGAAGCGCCTGACTCGAATTGCACGAGTGCAGGGCGAGCTGCACAAGCGCTACGTGCAGGCTACGCAGCTCTCTGAGATTGCTGTTTGTGAGATCCAAACGAAACCTGAATGCTGATTACGACATCACTGGCCTCATGGCAGGTTAATACCTGGTCTGCTTCGATGTTGTAACAGAGCAATTTGCTGCGAGAAATGTTGCGAGGCTGATGGACCCTGGCGCAATTACGGCAAATCATTGGGCTCTCTGCTGAGGCCTGGCCGGGTGAGAACCAGCCAAGTTGATTTTGAAGTTCTCCGGCTTTGTAACTTCGTCTGGGTGCGTCGGTTATCGTTTGGTGTGAGCAATCAAGCTGCGCAAGGTTGCACGGCAGCTTTTCCAAACAGAGCTGCCACATACAATCGCTTACCTTCCAAGTTCTGAGTAACGGCAAGGGATCCATGCGAGGTTCTCGAAAATCTGGATGCAGGCTTATGTGGACAAAAGTGTTCGAGTGATGAGTGATGCTGTGAGCGACTGCTATGTTGAGCGGCTACGGTTTTATCATGTCTCATCCCGTATCCCGTGTCTGTTTGTGACTGCCGGAACACTGCCTGTCAGGGAAGCAGAGGTCGTCGGTCTCAGATGCTTGGCTGCATAGCTGGCATGTCGACCAGCCGTTTGGCTTGACTCGTCTGAGGCCTTATTCCCTGGGTGGGCGGAATTCGGAACAGCTATGCCCACCGCGGTCCAGTGTGGAATGCATCCAAGGCAAGAATGAAGTTGCCTTGACCATCTTCGGGGATTGTTGTTGCGGCCTGCCAAACAAACGCAGTGAGGCCCGCCGGCCGGTGCCCCTTCAAATGCAGCGTCGGGCACTGGAGGCTTGTACGAAAGTGCATCAAACCGTGCGCAGCATGCGGAAGCGAGGGAGGTGTAGTTGTTCCTCGTTGTGAAGAGTCTGCAGAAGACTTCCTTTAAACCAAGCATAGGGACTGCCCCCTCTCTGCAAGACTTGACCGAGCATGTTTTTGCCATCGTGCCGTCCGCTCGAGTACGAAGAAGATGATTCTCCTTGATCAGCTTCATCCACTTACAAGGTGGCCTGTGTCCTCTTGTGTGATGTGGTAAGTTCCAGGTATAGTCATGGAGGTAAACCACCACACCTGCAATCTTGACCCACCCCTCCAGTCGAAACAAACGACTTCCCACTGCCATATTGCGCGTGAGCAGTCAAGAATCCGGAAGCACGAACGCAGGGGGTTGTCGTTTCGATTGGAGGACGGATATCGGCTGTTGGTGGAGATGGGGGGCTGCCCTTTTTTGCTTTCCCACCCTGCGCGCGTCGGAAGAAAAGCCCAGATGGGACTGGGACTGAGAGGTCAGACTTCGGTGATGCGAGTCTCTGAGAGTGGGATCGAGCAGGTTGAGAGGTGAGCATCAGCCGCGTGACACATGTTTCTGGCGCAGGCAGTGCTGAAGCTGCTTCGACCCGATGCTGCTGGCCTACTGCCACCAGCAGAGGCCGGACAAGCAGGGTGCTGGCTACTAAGAGTCTCTGCGGCCTCTCTGCCAAGGCGCTGCCGTTTGCAGTGACTGGAGAGGTGCGTCTTGGTGCGTCCTGTGCAGACAAAGAGCTGACAAGTCGAACTCTCGCACTCTCGCAGGAGGATTCTCTCGAAAGCCTCGATCTTGTACGTCTCTCTGAGAAACTCGGCCGGAGTTCGAGAGCAGGCTAGCTTTGCTCGGTTGCTCCTTCGCCGTGGCTCTACGTGTGAGTGTTTCCAGCTTCTTGCCCTTCTGGATTTTATCTCTGACCCCCTCTGTCAGCCGTTCTTGATTTCTTTATATCAGCCTCTCCCACCTGTCTATCAATCTTCCCGTCACTCTCTCGATCGATTCTGTGCTTTCGCTGATCTGCCCGTGAGGAGCCTTATCAAAAAGCTCTTGGCCAAGCTGTTGTCGTCCAAGCGCTTGCTGCAGGTCAGGAAGCAGGCGCCGTAAAGAGCCGTAGTAGGCAGTGCCTGGAGAGCGCCTCTCTCCCCAAAGCGCCTCAGCCCTGAGGAGCTCCTCATGGCCTCCTCGACCCCGCCAAGCGCAGCTCGGCGGGGCAGAGACAGCGGGCAATTCGCATCCGCAGCCTGTGGCCAAGAGCTTGCTGCTCTCCTGCCTCTGCTGTGATGAGAAAGGAGAGAAGGCGAACGCACGCCGATAATTTTTGCCCTTCATTCAGTCGAATGGTCACAGTCGTTTGTGTTTGCCACGAGTCAGAGCGATGCAAGTGCCGCACAACTGTTCCCAGTTACAGGCAAAAGTCGTGGTATTATTGCAATGTTCAATCCCTCAAGCTCCGATATAACTGAACCAACGATGGTTCCGAAACATGACAACCCTCAGGTGCGCCAGCACCAGCACGCATTCGTCTGGATGGGTAGAGAACTGAATCAACTCGCAAACGTCCAACAGTCGAACAGCTTCAGACTTTTCCAGCCTTTCGCGCTTTTCCACGCTTTCCGATTTTTTTTGTAGTGTTCGGTTTCTTTTCTGCTTTTCGACTTTCAGCGTGATTCTGCGCTTCTCGAACTCTTTTCGCCTTTTGTGTGTGTGTGTGTCTTCATCTTTCAGGGTTTTCATTCAAGAGTGCTGACTGACCCAGCCTACGACCTAAGTCTTGGGCCAGGGTAGTGCTGGCCTGGAGACAGACAGGGCTTCAAGGTGGAGGGCTAGAGTTGGCCCAAGCCAGGGGCAGGCGTGGGGGGATGGGAGGTCGGGTGGGGTCTCGTGGGGTTTAGTGGGGTTCTGGTTAGGCCAAACGGCCGGTTCGGTTCGGTTTCGGTTTCATAAGAACGGTTCGGTTCATCGGTTCGGTTTCAAGCATGCGGTTCACCGGTTCGGTTCGCGGTTCGGGCGGTTCGCAAGAGACACCGTACGGTTCGTTTGGATTGGGGAGGTCGCTAATTGGTGATGTGCGTGTTGAGCTTGCTCAGCTCTGAATATGCTAATGCTCAAGAAGATGACCATATTGCGCTGTACAATCCTATGACCAGCCAAATCAATCACTCTCCCGAGCAATCCACACTCCCCTCCCCACCAACATGCCTGGGAGAGTGCGCTTTTCGCAAGCTTCAGGCCCCAAATTACCGAATTGTGTATTCCCCCGCGTGGCTCTGGGCCCCTCCCCACCAACATGCGCGGGAGTACGCTTTTCGCTTCAGGCCTCAAATTGCCGCATGGCTCTGGGCTCCGCCCGGGGTGCAGGGATGAGCGATTGTGCCTGGTTTTTGGGCTCGCGGCGGCCGGCAAGCCCAAAAACCTGGCACCTTTGGTCTTCCAGTGGTTTTCAGCCGACAAGATAAACGAACCGAAAACGGTTCGGTTTAGCTTGCGGTTCGGTTCTCGGTTCGCTATGCAATTTTCGGCGCGGTTGTTCCGATTCAATTGAGCCGGTTCCTGGCTTCCGGATGGCTTCCTCCGTTTACTGTAAAGAGGCTTCAGGCAAGGCAAGGGGCAGGCCTGAGATAGTAGTCGACAGTAAAGTGCAGTAATCGTTGTAGTGCTCGCGGGTGTAGGTTGCAGCAGAATCGAGCTTGGCGCACATTTGTAATCAATCTTGGGTTCTGCCCAAACAGACAATAAGCAGACAAATGATGTATGTTTTTGTGGAGTTTTTGAGCAAGGCAAACTCTTCGAGTGGGTTCTTCCTCTGATTTTTGACCGTTTGGGTTTTTCCAACAAAGAGGAAAGCAGCCAAAACATAGGGAATACAGAGCCGGCCAGCTGCATGTGTCAAGATGTGTTTTCCAGCTTGGTTGTCCGGAGCATCCAGAAGGCAAACATTTTGGATTGCTGGCTTTCGAGCATTTCGTGTGTCTGAAAGCATTAAGACTAACATGTGAGCAAGACGCAGTTTGATGTTCTGGTTTGGGGAACCCTTAACGGCAGCTTTCAATGATGTTGTCAATTCCTTTTCACGAGATGTGCGTCTTGCCAGGTGCCCTCCAACAAGTTGTGCCTTTCCTTGCTTGCCACATCAGAACGACACCAAAGCCTGTGTGTTGTCTTGTGCAAGTCCAAGTCCTTCGCAGTTTTCTGGCTTGCCCATCCTGCACTCCTGTATTATTGTTCTGTTCAGGCTCTACGGGTTTTCCCGCTATCCGTTCCCCTACACCTGAGGGCTTGCTGAGCGCAATTTTTCCTTGGCTTTCTAGGTTCGGTTTCTGTTTTCCCCCCCCCGCTTCGTTTGTGAAATGCTCGCCAGTCTACAGCCTGTGCCATGGTTCATTCATATAAACATTAGTGTCGGCCACTTGCCAACTTAGTTTTCGGGTTTAGGGCTTGAAGCTGGCAGTTTGTCGTTTCCCACTTGCAGCTTGCCATCCCCAAGTCTTTTCGTGGCTGCGTGTTTGTCCTGCTCTCAGGGCTTCAAATTCCAAATGTCTGTCGGGTCTAGTACTTGCTACTCCGAGCCCTTGCTCGATTTTTGGGCTTCTCACCAGCGTTGCACGGTTCACGCTCCTTTCTATTGTAATGCTAGTCTCTATCCACACCTCCTGCATTTTAGGGCTTGTCACTCCCCACTGTTTCGCAGGGGGGATGTGGCACGCACCACTCACATTCTGCTGCGTGTTTGGGGTCTACCATGCTTCAACTCGGTGACCACTGGACGAGTTGACCGACGTCTCCCTATTTCCTCTATCTATCTGCCAACAGGGTTTGATTTGACGTGCTGGTTTCCCTAAGTGGGGAAGCTTTGGGGATCAAGATCTGCGAAAATCACTTGATGCCACATTGTAACAGGCCATGCGAGTATTCGTTCCGTTTTGTGATGCGTTCTGCATGCCACATGTCCAAGCATCGGATGTCAAAGATGATTGCCTGCCTGCGTGCCATCCGTACATACCCAGCTGCCTTCCACCCACCAATCCGGCCCCAACTCAAGCAAAGACCGGAGAGGCAGGCAAGTGACGATGAAGGAACCAAGAAAGAACGTGTAAGACAAGTAGGTAGTCGACAGATGAGCGCCGAACCCGTAAAGACTGCTGGCGCTAGCACACACATTTACATGCATGGAGCCGATTAAATGAAGGTTGAGAGATTTAAAATTGCGGCATCCGGGGGCAAGAAGGAGAGCCAGTGTTTAGAGTGGGGGGGGGGGACGGTTATAGGTTTGTTTAGTGGTTGCAGCCTTGTGGTTTTAAGGTTTAGGCCTGGAAGATTTTGTTTTCAGGGTTTATGGTTGCTTACAAGTTTGGTATCTCAACGGTGGTTTGGGTTGTTCAAAACACCACTTCCGCAGAAGTCCGGCGCCATGACGGAAAGTCAAGTCGGAAGCCAGTAGTGGGCTTGCCAGCGATTCGAGTTTGGGTTTACGTGAATGAGTTTTTGTTGCAATCACTTTTTGGGTTTTCGGCAATCGGCAGGTCCTCCGAGGATCGAGTTTTCCCTACCATTCACGCCTTAGGCTTTTGACTTCTTTGGAAAACTTAGTTCAATCGCATCGTTTTTGGGCCCGGGTTTCTGGGGGGATTCTGCAACACTCATTCATGTATGTGGTTTGCCACCTTTCGGTCGGGGTTTTCTGCAAGCGCTCACTCCCGAATTAAAGCCAAGCGGTCTAGCGTCGAGTTTAGAGCCCCGTCCTGTGCCCTTGGAACAGTGTCTACGGCCTCGGCTTGGTGTACAAAGGGAGGGCGAAGGGCAGGGCGCGATGCCGTGAGTTCGCGAAGACATGGTGATCTGACCTCCGGGCCAGTGGGCGAGTGCTCGGTGCACGAATCTGCCGCAGTGGTGCGGGCGTTTCGGGCAAGCCAACCCGGGGCCACAGAACGCGTGCGCGAATCCCTTCCCCCCACGTGTGAATCGGCGGTTTTTGCAGTGTATGAGGGGGCCTTGCACCTGTTCAAAATCTGCTGGCATATTCCGATGCACAGGAATGTCATGTGACGCACCGAGGCCCTTCATTCGACTTTCAGAACATGCAAAGCATCCACAGGCATGTTCTACCGTGTTGCAGGGCCGGGCCGCTTCTTTGGCTTTTTCTGCCCTTCGAAGCAACCGCCGAGTGCAGGGTATAAATTCAAGTATCTGTGAGCAAACTTGACAGATGAGTGTCGCCTAGACTCAGGGACTTAGGCCTTCGCTGCATATGCAGGTAGAAAGGAAGTCACTGTGAACATACTGACTCCCAATGAACTCAAAGCTACGTTTGAAAATGATCCTTCTTTGATTCTGCGGGAGATGCTTTGCAGACATTCCCTGTGATTTAGCTACGTGGACTCGTGGATGCGAAGCGTCGTAGCCAAAAAATAGAGAGTAGCAAGAGTACGAGGGAAGAGTCCTGCCGTTGTCCTCCAGCAAAGGCATTGGACGGGGCTGATGCGCTGACTGTGGAGGAGTTCCTTACCAGGCGCGATGAGTTATGAGATGTTGCCGAGCGGGGTCGTCCTCCTGATCTGGTCGGCAGGATGAGCGATGGAATCTTGGGAGGTTTCCACTTGGACAGCCATCCAGAAGCTTCGGCCTCGCTGACAGCAGCGCCTGGGATGCTCTTGTGTAGCGGTTTGCTGTAGCTTATTGTAGCTTTCTTTGTTGTGTGAAGCCTGTAGCGTGACTTGTGTCAAACTGACATTTTCTACTTTTGTTGTTCCTGCCAGGAAATGACGCTTCAGCTGGAGTTTGTTCGGAGCATGACCGCACTGTACCACGAGAAGGCCGCCAGCTACGTCTGTTTCGGGTTTTTGGGTTTGAGGTGTTGGAGTTTAGGGTTTTGGGGTTAGCGTTTTGGGGTTTAGGCCCTTTAGGCATTGGGATCAAGCGGACAATTCCTGCCATGTGGCCTGAAGCGGAAGACTGCAGTCGGCCCCATGCTGAGCAGATGAGTCCCCGTCTCACCCTTTGGTCTCGTGCAGTCTTGGGTTTGGCACCGCCGAGCAGCAGTGTTCTCTCATTTCCTTCTCTTGCGGTATGGTTCTCCTGCAAGCTTCCACGAAGGCGGTGCTCGCATAGACTGTGTTATTCACGCAAATGTTTGTGAGTGTTTCTGGGACTGGCCCTCCTAGCCTGGTGCTAGATGTAGAAAACGGGTCTGTCATCCATTAGACCTCAGGCTTCTGCTTCGTTCGACACTCCCCTTGCCTCACCTCGCCCCCGCTCCTAGCCACGCCCAAACTGAGACAACTTCAACAGCCACGACGTCTGCAGCTTACTTTTACACAGTTTTACACCCCCCCCCCCAATACTACGTCCGATGTTGCTTGTGGGTTGCGTCAACGTGACGTTCCTACAGGGATCGGGTGTTTTCAGAAGCGAGCTGCTCAGGACCTCCCTGCTTCGCTCGAGGCGCAGCTCTTGCCTCTTCCCTGCATAAGATCAAACAAGGGCGCAGGGCTGGCGGCGCTTATGCCCTGGAGAGAGTGATAGCCAGAGACATAGAGAGACAGAGACTTGTGATTCGTTGTAACTCTGAGGCTGAGTAGTTTCCACATGGTCCAGTCATCCTTACGCGAATGAGTGTGTATCCGAAAGAAGCCGTGCAGACCGACCTGCAGACCACAAACCCATGTTCATCATGATGTTGTGCTCAGGGCTTCTCGGTGCATGAGTGCCCCGTTGAGCAGGGCTTCAGTGTCAGTGCACAGGCTTCCGGGGCGGGTGGGCAGGTGCAGGCAGCGCTGAGGTTCTGTTCGGTTTGGGAGGCGGGTCGGTGTCAGTGCAGAACCGCATGGCTACATGGGGGTCCGGGGAGTGGAGCTCCTGCTGGACCAGAAGTGGAACGCACTAAAAAGTCTGATGTGTGCGCAGTGGGTTTGGCGCTCCGCTTACATACTTGCAGTTGCGGAGTTTTTGGACGACCTGAACGGAGCCTGATCATGTCATGGTAAGAGTTGAGGAGGTTTTTTTTGGTGGAAGGGGTTCAACAAGAACATTGGAGGAAGAGGAGGCAGCTCCCATATCCGGAAGGGGCCCCACAGACTTGTCAGACACGAACTGTGGTGGAGGCCTCGGGCCAGGGGGCCCACAAGGCCTCCACACTCCTAGCAGGTAAGCAAGCAAGCAGGAGACGGAAAGGCGGAGAGAAGGAGAGAACAGGAGAGGAGGAGAGAAGCAGATGAAGAAGGAAACTCGCAGTCACTGTTCCCTTATACACGGCCTGGGTAGTGGCCACATTTTGCGGTTGTGGTTCCGGAATGTTCCGGAGTGTGAAGTTCCTGGTCTGTGGTTGCGGTTTCGGGGTTGCATCTTACGACCTCCAACGACGAAGGGCGTGGCCCGCATTTGGTGTTCACCATAAAGGAAAGAAGGTGAGAAGGAGAGCCCATGCACGGAGCCACGGCCCTGGAGACCAAGGCTTCAGCTGCACCAGCTACGCCGGGACATCGCGGCAGAGGAGCGGCGGCTTCGGAAGGCAACTCTGAGCTCATTTGGCCAACTTAGTTTCGTGCGTGGTGTGTAGCTCACCGCACGGCGGCCGCTTTTCTGAGCAGGCCGCGGATGATTCGCTCGCGGGAGAGAGGCCAACGCTTCTGGAGGCGTCGCGGCAGCAAAGCAGCAAGCCGACAGCTGCCTCCGTGCATCAAACATTTCTAGTTCATTGGGCAGTCAAGAGCCGAACGAGTGTGTCGGTGCGAGTATGCACGAACGAGTGATTTGGAGGTGCATGTGACACTGCTCAAGCGTGTCGTGGCTGCAAGAAAACCTTAGCATCCAATTTGTCGACAACCCCCCGTCATACTTGCCAGCCGAGACAAGGTGAGCTCGTTTCAGCACTTTGTGGCAAAGGTGACAAAGAGGACTGCAAGGCACGGTCCGGCACGTTGTGAGAGTCCAGTTTCGGTTCGATTCCAACTCGCACGGAGCCGGGCGGTCGTTAGCATATCGAACTGGCGGAAGGCCTCACCACAGTTCTCTTGCTGGTTGAAGACACATCATTCTGGACGTGTGGGCGAGAGTTCATGGCATGGCGACAGGATAATGGAGGGATATTGTTTTGACTGCGGCAATGCCAGAGGCGACGTCGACGGGCGGTCAGTGGTCATCGTTTGAATTTTCATGCTATCGTTCCGTCTAGCTAGCGTATTCTCGCTTTACAATATTTTTTTCAATGTCTTGTCGCTTGAAACAGTAGCTGAATTGCAATCTGTAGCTCGCTTTGGAATCAAACCGACAGGCTGAGTTGTCCTGCAATCCCTGCGTCCGCAAGAATCAACTGCATTTCCTTCGTCGTCATCTGGCGTGCCAGGAAGCCAAGTCTGACGGGCACCAAGTCAAGTCCGTGATCTGGACAATCGCAGCAGGGACGGCAACAAGTTTGGTGATTGGAGAAGACATGCTCGATGCCGGAGTGCCGAGGCATTGTCTGCCTGTTTGTGCTGGCCATGGTAGAGTCGCAGTCCCCCGGTGACGGATCGCAGCCTGTCTGCAAGATGAGGTTTCATTTCAGCAGACAGCCCCCCTGACTGGCTTAACCTTGGAGAAGGTACAGGGGGCTTGGAGGTCTTGTCGCCATAATTCTCGCCCGGAGTTCTTCAATACCGGGTTGATGTTCCTCCTTTCGGGCTTGCCGTAGAATGCTGCTGCATGCAGCAAGGTTTGACGCGCACCTGCTGCAACCACTACAGCCGGTGCTGATGCTCCGCCAGTGCGCGGGCCATTCAAAAGGTTTCACAGGGTCGATGCCACCAGAGCAAGCCAGATCCGAATCTCGCGATTCTCGAGCAGAGAAGAGAAGCGCCTGCAGCGGATCTTTGGTGTTGAGCAGTTCTTATGGAGCTGTAATGGTGGGCTAGGATGCTTGGCAGGCTTGGTCGTCTTGTGGACGTTCTGCAACAAGAGGCTTGCTCATCTCTGTGTCTGTGTTGCAGGATGTTGCAGGCATGTCAAGCCCATGGCTCAACAACATGTTGAAAGTGCCCAACTCTTCAAGTTTCACGATGCACTGATTGTCTGAACTGCTTGGACTATGCTGGTTTTCTAGTCACAGTTTCCACGTTCATTGCACCTTCCCGGAGCATCCGGGAGCCGGGACATTGCGAAACTCCTCTGAAGATGTAGGCCTCCAGCTTTGCATGCACCGGAGTCCTTTTTTTCTCTTTCCCAGCCAGTGCAATCCATGTTGCAACTAACAAATTTTTCCCTACCTTGGAGTGCGGGCCGTGCTCCCAGCTTGCTGAGCTTTCCTCGCTGCGTCTGCTGGCAAGTTCGCTGAAGTCGACGGCCCTTGAGGTAGCCTGATGCGCTTGCGAATCATTGCGCTGTGCCTTGAGCGGAAATTCAGTTGTTTCGAGCCTCAGTGTAGCCACGGCTAGATTACAAACCGTCTTGCCGTGAAGTTGTCACCAGCCGTAGCACCGTAGCTGGCCTCAAGGTCTGGCACAGAGCTGAAACATGTTTTGTCTTCGATGCAGATTGGGCCACACTCATTTTACAGTTAAAGGGTGGTAGCGTCTTGTTGGGCTACGGCTGCTGACATCACAGGCGGTCCTTCTTGCAACCCGTCTCTTTGCTGGTGCTGATCTCTGCTGCGTGCGATGGCTATGGTTTCTTTCAGTTGAGGACACTCTGCTGCCTTTCCTTGGCAGAGCCCGACGTGCAGGCCTCTGCCATTCGCTGTCTAGTCTAGCAGCCTAGAGCTGCTTCGAATTCAGCACTGCGCAGCTCTCAATGGCTTTGTCACTGGCATGCCGTTGCTCGACGAGGTCGGCAAGCTTGCAAACGGGGAGTCCGTCAACTGGTGCGCCTGAACGAAACCAGATTGCCTGGCTGTCCTAGCTGTCTTGTTGAGTTTGACACACCCGGCAGCTCCACGCGGACCGAATGCCTGGCCCTCCTGCGCGATGTCACTGCGATGCGACACCAGAAGGAGGCCCGTCCCTTTCTTCTGAGCGTCGACACGATTTGTTTGATGTCCTTGCTTCAGGCCGAGGCTTATTCCATGCTTGGCTATGCCGACAAGGCCTTGCGCCAGGCATCTTCGGCGGAGGCCCCTGGAATCAGATGCAACTGGAACTCAACGGCAGAGGCATTCAAAAAGCATCAGACAAGATGATAGGCAAAACTGTGATGCCTAGAGCCGGGAATGAGACGAAGCGAGACAAGAGGGAGCCGAGGGCCCACTGAGCGGTACTTTTGCACATCCTGCGCGGTGAAAACATGGAGCTTCTGTTGCACTACTTCGAGTAGTGCAAGGTTAGGCATAACCGTAGCTTTTGGGCGTTCGCGAAGTCGCTACGACCCGAGTGCCGTTTTGGTTTCAGTGAGGTGTGTAGGGCTCCATGCCACATGCCGTTCGGCTTCTGATCTCCCTGGCTGCTGTCGCGCAGCAGGGCGGCGGGTGGTGGCTGCACAGCAACGTCACCAACCAGACTGGGGCGGATGCCGGGCCTCGAGACGAGTCCAAGTGGGCGCAGCTCCGTGAGTGGGTTGTGTCCCACGCGAATGTTGGCAGCGATTGGGCTGCTTGGCTCACATGGCCCGACGCTCAGGGTGTACCGGAGCGGATGTGGTCGTGGGACAGCGGTTTGTGCATGGTCCTCGACACTGCAGTGAGTTTCATCGGCTGGATGCTGTTCGGGAACTCGTGGCCAGGCGTGAGGACGGGCTGCCAGCGCATCTTCCGACTCTTGGCATTGCTGCTGCTGTGCATGGGTGCCCACTACCTGTGGGCTTTGTGCTGGCCGGTGCTGTCGCTGATCTCTGTGGTCGTGATGGGGGTCGTATGGCTAGTGAGGGCCATCGTCCGCAAGCTTGGGACGTTGGTCTACTGGGCTCAGCAGGCGGCTGGGGGCGTGCCTGAAGCCTCTGACGCCGAGTTCTTGGGCCCGGGTACGGGAAGGATTCCCGAAACCGCGGACCTCCGAGCCTTCAAGAAAGTCGGTGGCGCTGACAAGTGGATCCTGATTCGTCGCGGCGGGCATGTGGCGGTCTTCAAGGCGGGCAGCGACTCCCAGACAATCAGAACGCCCGGCCTGTTTGTCCCTGTCGAGCCGGACACGATGCGGGGCGACAAGGAGATTGTGGAGGCGTGCCAGGGTTACGACAAGATTCATCTTTGCCGCAACCTGGTGTGCAACGAGGAGGGCCAGCACTTCAAGGAGTACGGCGTGGCTCGCGATTTCGACGGCGAGCGCTTCCATCTCAAGAACGCGGAGCTCGGCGCAGCCAAAGCGGGTCGAGCTTTGTGGTCATGGTTGTGGGCGTCACCGGCCAGGCCCCCTAAACCGCTGAAGGAGTTCGGATCCGAGTCGGAGACCGAGCCAGCCAAGGCGTGTGGTGCTCACCGTGTTGCCTGGGCCGATCTTGCCGGGGATTGCAGCTTAGCGACCCAGCCTTGCCGGATGCCGGGCACCACCTTCTGTGACCTGCTCTTTGAGGACCGGTTTGATGATTTGGGTCGTGTAGATCTTTGCCCTCAGCATGCTTTGGACTACGAACGACGGCGGCGACCTCAGCAGTGCCATCACAACGGTTGTGCTCATGTGGGAATTCTGGGCGAGTCTGGCGATGGTGTTCGTCGGTGCCGCCTCCACACTTTGGGCGAGGTCCGAAAGCCGAGCTCTCGCAGACGCTCGCCGGCTCGCCCTCCTCAGCCTGTACAAGACGATCCGGAGGAACCTGAGCTACCGCCACGAGGTCATGACGGTGCCGAAGGGCTTCGTGATCTTAAGCGCCTCCTCGCGGAGGTAAAGTCAGAAGGCGGTGAGCCAGAGAAGCGAGTGAGGGGAAGTTCGCCGGGCCGCACGCCGCGGTCGAGCATCCAGAAGAATTTGGCGAAGTTGGGCTTGCTGGACTCACCGGCCAAGGAACATCCCCTTCCTGTGCTTGAGGAGTTCTTCAACCAGTATGCTGAGGGGCGCGATGCTGGGCTATCAGAGGAGGACGTGAGAGTGAGCATCGCCGCTGAGCGGGGCCAGACGCTGAAGGAGGTGACCAAGGAGCTGGTGCGGGCGGCCATTGTGGAGCAGGAGAAGGGGCAGCGTGGCCTCACCAAGTTCTTGAAGGCCTGGCAGAAGCCCTCATCGACACGGGGCTCTTCGCCAGCCAGCGTGGCGCGGGGCAGCTCGGCTCCATCTTGGGACTTGGTGGAAACGTCCCCTGAGAAGCCACCGAGCCTGCAGGACCGTGCTCCCGGGCCTCTTCGAATCGGAAATCCGGGCATCTTTGGTGTGGAGGATCGCAAAGCAGGGGCGACGGACTCAGGCGCCTTCGACGAGATCGCTCGAGCCATCCAGTCGCAGACGGCGGAGATTGCCTCCCTGGTGAAGAGTCACACGGAGAACACCGCGGTTCCCCCCGGCACCATCAAAGGGCTGAACAGGACGTCCGAGGAGTTGGTCTTCTTGCTCCGGGCCTGCAACCAGTACCAGGTCACGGTCGGTGCAGGCGAACAAGGTCAAGCGCTGGCGAACGCGCTCCTATCGGCACAGGTGGGAGCATCGACCAAGCTGCGCCGGGCGGGCTTCAAGCAGAAGGTCACTTCGAGGCTGGCGATCGGCTTGGCGGGTCCATACTGGGGCACTCAGGAGAAGCACGCATTGAACGCCACGGATTTCGTCGCTCACACCGACGCGGAGTTGGACGCCTTCGTGCAGGAGCTCAGGTCCAGTAAAGCCGGCCCAGATCAGAGGCCGCAGCCCCCAAGCAAGCTCGAGGACTGGGAGGGTCGCGTCAGGCGCCAGAACGATGTTTGGGCCCTCGTCTACGGCAGCGAGTGGAAGCCGGTGCGCACCCATGCGTTGGAGCGGCTTTTGGAATGGCACCAAGCCGAGCCCCACAAGTGGCCCCTCACCGTGCTCATGGATGTGTGGGAGGAGCTGCATTGGCGTTTCTTCGAGGAGCTTAAAGAGACCCTCAGGCTGCTCAAGAAGGAGGCGGGGCGGGAGACCATGTCGTTGCCGGATATCAAGTTCTACGCCTTAATGCCGAATGCTTCGGGTACTGCGTGGCTAGAGCTCCCTGGCACCTTCGACCTTCGTTTCCCGGATGGTTGGTTCATGACGGAGGTCCTCCCGCGTATCGAGAGGAAGCAGGAGCGGATGCTGTGGCGACTCACTTGGGAGGGCACTCGCAGCGCGAAGCCATCAACTCACGCTGGAGGGGAGCAGAAGCCTGACTCGCCAGCCAAGCCGACGGTGAAGGTGCTATGGGGCCCGAAGCTCTCTACTGAGGAGGTGAACAAAGCCAAGGAGCGTGCTCCCCTGGACCAGGACGGGCTGCTGTTGTGCTGGGGTGCCCTTACGCACATGGGTTGCAGCAACACCGCGTGTGGCCGGTCGCATTCTGAGCTTCGGGGCAAGTTTGAGGCCCTCGACCCGTGCGTCCAGATGCAGTTGCTTCGTCGAGGTGGTCTGAGGCGGATGAGGCCGGAGACGAAGGACTCCGTCACCGAGAAGATCAAGGCTCTGAGAGTGGCGGTCGTCAAGGACAAGGCCGCAAAGACCACGGATCGCAAGTCGGGCCAAGGTGATGATGTCCAGGCGCCCGGTGAGACCAGAGCGGGCGGCGAGAAGGTCGTGCAGTTCGAGGAGATTCCCGACGAGTTCGGAGCGGTCGACTACACGGCGGCGGAGGAGGACCTACGCGAGGCACTCAAGGGGCCCGACCGTGCATGGCTGCAAGGAGGGGGCGAGGCCAACCTCACGGCGGCCGAGGTTACTGGAGAGTCAGCTCCTCAGGAAGCGAAGGACTTGGTGGCGCGGGCTGAGGCCCTCGCGAACGGGCCAGTGTTAGGCCAACTTCGGACTGCCTCAGATGACTTGTTTGCTTGGGCCGCCACACGGGTCGCGATGAACCCTCACGCCAGCTTGGAGGAGATTTTGGGCGAGATGGCCACCTACGGCATGGGCGAGATGGCGGCGGAGGCCACGGACATCCTGGAGGCACAATGCGGCGCCCGCGCGGGCTCTACAGGGGGCATCCAGGTGACGGAGGTTGTTTGGGAGCCTGGCCGCCCCGGGAGGGCGACAGCGACCATAGAAGGAGCCACGTGGACGATTTGGGACTACCGGGAGGAGGTTCGCATGTCGGAGGAGTTGGCCAGTATGCTCCAGCAGCCTGAGGAGGGTGCTGAGAAGCGTCAGTGTGTCACCAAGGCGATTGCGGCAGGCATCATGTGGCGGCAGCGCGCTAGGCAACCGAGCCCACGAGAGGTGGAGGAGAAGGCCCTTGAGCTACGGCTGGAACAGACGAGGCTCGCTTTGGAGGCCCAGGCAGTCATGGGCGAGCCGGCCCAGAAGGTAGCTCCCATTGAGGCCGAGATCCGCATTTACACCCACGACACCGTCCGCGCGAACCACGACAAGGATTTCCGGTCGCTGGCGGTGTTTCCTTTGGCCGAGCTCGAGGACTGCAAGTTGGTGGTGATCAGGGCCGACTACAAGGGCGATGTTGTGGTGGAAACGGTCACGGGGCCGCTGTGGCGGGATGGTGGTTGGACTCTTTGGACCTTGATCTGGAGGGGCCACATGGTTTTCCTTGAACCCCCACCGGGCATGCAGGCCGAAGTTTTCTTGGACCGCTGGCAGCCGTACGACACCCCCGCACTGGGCTTCCTGTTCTTCTGGCACACTCGTCACGATCAGGAGCGCACTTCACCCGGTGTTGTTCAGTGCAGACTGTGCCGAGGCCGCAAAGCAGGCGAGGCGGTGGTCCACGTTAGGCGGGAGAGCAATCTGGCAGCGGCGGCCATTGTGGGCTGCATCCGCGCGGGCTCCAGACCCAACTTCGACAAGGTCTCTGTTCGGGGTGCTTCGTTGTGCTTTCAGGAGGTCTTCGCCGGCGCCGCCGTCATGACAGCAGCTTGGGCCGCCGCGGGGATCAAGGTGCTGGAGCCTGTTGAGTTGTGGGCGGATCCAGTCAATCGCGTCGGCTATCGCCCGGACCATGACTTGACCAAAGGGGAGGTGCAGAAACGCCTCCTTTATCTTGCAGGCAGCGGCGACGCAAACGTCTGGTGGATTGCCTCCCCTTGCACAAGTTTCTGCGATTGGTGCGCTCAAAATGGGGGCACTCGCACCTTTCAGTGCCCATGGGGTGGCCAAGGCGACCGACCCCATAAGGAGGTAGAGCTTCAGGGCAATACGCTGAGCAAGGTCGGTGCGGAGCTCTTCCTCAACGCCCTGCGCAACGGCGCCTTTCCCATTGCCGAGTCCTCGGGCAAGTCTGGTCGTTATCCCAAAATGTGGGATTTGCCTTGGTGGCGGGAGATCCTTCGCCGCCCCGACGTGCAATTTGTGGAGTTTCCCATGTGCGCCTTTGGCTTGGGGCCGCCTGACGGTGAAGGCTACTATCATCATCGCACGCGGCTGGTTTTCCCACGATGTGAGGCTTTTGCGGCCGCCCTGTCGCGGTGTTGCCCGGGCGTTGGAGCAGCTCATCGGCACGTTCCTCTGGCTGGCGCTCGACCGGGGGCCGCACAGTCCAGGTGCGCAGAGGCGGGCGTCTACCCCCAGGAGTTTGTGCGCACCGTGGTGTCCACCTTGCAGCAGGTGCTGGTCGCGGGGGGTGAGGACAGCAGGCCACAGTGGCCGGTGGCGGAGGAGACGCGAGCGGGCTCCGATGAGTGTGACGTTGGGCCGTGGGCCCCCCACTGGGCAAGTAGGGCCGGTGGCGATGTTTCAGGCCGGTGCGGTGGCCGCAGTGGTTGGCTGCACGAGCTCGACGATGACTACGTCGAGGGCTGCGAGGGCACGATCGGCTTCGCGGGCGACTTCCCCACGGGTGGCTGGGTGGTGAACGGCGAGGACACGAGGGCGGGCAGTGCCGAACGCTACGAGGCCCCGACCGAAGAGGCGAAGATCGCGGCCCAGACTTACATCGAGCTCACTGGAAAAGGGGGCCCCGGGTGTCCCGAGGCCTGGAAGCGGGTCTGTGATGGAGGTGCACGTCTGGTCCAGGAGGCTGGGTCGGTCAAGCTTGCCGCTGAGAGTCTGTGGGCGGTGCGCGAGGAGAAGGGGCTCAACAACTTGAAAGGCGTCGACGATTCCCGATTGGACACCGTCCTGCACCCGGACCTCCTGGAGTACCTTCGCGACGTTCGCAGGCGGGGCTTGGCTGCACGGTTCGTGGGAGAGCGCAAGCGGTGCCAGGCGAAGGTCCACCCAAATGGGCGGCGGAATCTGGCTCAAGTGTACCGCCAGATTTGGAAGGACGTGTGCAAGCTTCGTGTCTTGGTCGTGCCGGCAGGGTTGGAGATGGGCCCGGTGATTTCGAGCCCCTTTGATGCTGTTGACAAGATGCTGCCGGACCGCTCCATCGCCCCCGACAAGCGCATTGTGCACGACCAGAGGGTGATCAACGAGGGCACTCACAAAGAATGGCATCCCCCCTCTGTCCAACCACGGCATGAGCAGATCGCGAGGCTAGTGCTGTTTGCGAAATGCCAGCTGCCGGGCGTCGAGGTCTTGATGAGCAAGAAAGATGTGGCGGGGGCCTTTCGGCTGCTGTGGGTCGATCCCAGGGATGCCGAGCTGTTTGCGGGTGACCTCCCATGGGTTCCAGAGGAGATGGAAGAGGGCGACACGGCGACCGGGGAGGGCATGACCATAGTCTACCTAGTCAGCTCCTTTGGCTTTTCTGGCTCGCCGGGTGAGTGGACGATGTGGGGCAAAGCTACCGAGGAGTTCCTACGACGTCATTGCCCCGCGAAACCCCGACGAGACCTGGCCTGGGCGTTTGAGAGCCGCATCCTCGTCGACGACAACGTGCTGGTTGAGCCCCTGGTGGGCCTGAGGCCTTGGGTGGCGAGTGAAGTGTACGAGCTCGGGGTGAAGACGCTCCTCGGCGATGCGGCAGTGAATCGGGAGAAGGACCTCGTGGAAGGCCCGTTTCGGACGTTCCAGACGGTGTGGGGCTTGGACATGGACACTGCGACGGAGGAGATCCACCTGCCGGAGAGACGAATCCTCAAAGGGGCCCACCTTCTTAGCGACGGGGCCTTCGAGTACGGCTGCAAGGATCTAACGGTGCGTGCGGTGCAGAGGTTCCGTGGTCTGGCGACTGGTTGGACCGTGATCGTCCGGGGGCTCAAGAACGAGCTCAAGGCGGCCGACCGATTCTTGGGTGGTGGAGGCGATGGCGGCGCAAAAGTGTGCCCGAAGCTGGCGGTTCCTGGGGATGCCGAGGAGTGTGAACAGGCTTGGCGTGACCTTTGGGAGCTGTTCGAGGAGTCGCGATGGCTGTGTGCACGACCGGAGACGTGGCCTACGAAGTTCGGAGCCAGCATGCGCGAGCTCCTTCCGATCCGTGAGCGTCTCGCTCTCCCAGGCGAGTGGGATGCTGGGACTGTCTTTGTGTCTTCCGATGCCACCAAGGTCATGATCGCTGCCATCGACTGGACCAGCGGTTCCGTGATGAGGATGAAGGCCAAAGCGGCAGCTGAGTGGGTTCAACGGTGTGGCGAGGAGGACGAGGTCGCCATCCATGTCGCCGAGATGCTGTCGTTCCTGGCTTTTGCGTGCCAGGTCGGGGAGTCGTGGCAGGGCAAGATCGTTCTCTACGGCGGGGACAACAAGATCGTGAAGGAATGGATCGTCGGCAGGAAGGCGGGCACGAGGGTGGGACGTCTTCTCGTGCGCGTGATCAACCTGCTGGAGATGCGCTTTCGCTTCGCACTTGTGGCCACGTGGTGGAGGACCTTTCACAATGTCCACGCCGACCTGCTCACCCGGTGCTCTGATGAGGAGTTCGACGCGATCGTGAAGGACAAGGGTTGGGAGGTCGTCGACGTTACGGATGCCCTCCGGCAGGCGATGATCGACTCGGAGCGCTTTGGGCCCTGTTTGCGGTGCTCATGCAGCTCAAGGAACGAAGGCTGAAGCGGGCGGTGCCACACACGATCGCACCCAAATGGAGCGACTTCCGCGCGGTGGAGCTGTGTGGTCCGGACCGGGTCGTCAAGGACTTTGTCGAGGCCGCCATCGCGGCGGGTGGCCAGGGACGCTCATCGTCTTGGTCGGGGCCGGTGTTCCCAGCTGAGGTGGTCTTTGCCTCTTTACCGCCCGACCTGCACGCCAAGGTGATCTTGACGGCCAGCAGGACCGCCATTGAGGGGAAGGCGCAGCTCGTGATCTTCGAGGGCCCGCGGCAAGTGCCCTGGGAGAAGGCGGCGAGGCTCTTCGAACGGGCCATGTGGGACACTGAGGTTTGCGAGTTTCTCACCACGGAGTTTGGCGAGCTTGCTGCGAGGAGGCGGAAATGCATGGTGGCGGCTCCACATGGATCTGTCCAGGGTCTGTTCGTTGCCAACACGTCGAGGGGGACACTGGCACCGCCGATGAGTGCTGTGCTGGGTGATGCGCGTTCGACGTCGGTGAGCCAGTGGATCTACCCGGACACGATCCTCGTCGACTCTGGCATTCCCCGTGAGCCCCTTTTGCCTCTCCTGAAGGGCCACTACTGGGTGAAGGGCGAGAGGCACGTGCTGATGAGCACGAGCGGGCCGCTGCGCTGGCCGCTGTGTGAGAACGGCAAGATCCAGCAGTGTGTTGTTTGGGAACCCAGGGGCCCACCTGGTGCAGTGCGGCTTCTCACGGAGGCAGAAGTGTGGCTATGTCAAGGGAGGCGGCCGACGGCTTGGGATCAACTTCGCGGCGAAGGACATGAGCCCGGGTTTCTCTTGAGAGAAGGAAGTAAGGCCACCGGGGGGCAAACCGCAGCGGCACTTGTGCTCATGGCGGGCTACTCCGTTTCTTCCGACGCTCGAGCCGGAGGAGTATGGGATAGCTGGGACGATGCGAACCTCGCAAAGGTGTTGGAGTGGCTGCGACGGTGGAAGCGTGGACTACTTTCCCGAGCAGCTGGACAAGAAGACGATCGGCGGGCCGGAGGGTGCGAGCCTCGAGTTCATGAAGGCGGCCGAGCGGGCGAGAAGGACGGCGACTCGGGCAGCTACATCAAGAAAGTCACCGTGTGGAGATGGGGCGATGTGCTGTGGCTGCCCGCTTCCAGCAGCGAGGACGAGGCAGAGGACGATCCCAGGCGGGCCGGAGCTCCAAGAGGGGGCACTCGTCGTGGAAAGGCTGAAGCGGCACATGGGGCCGCGCAGGTGCATATCGAACCGGGCCCGGTCAGACCGTTCACCGGTGAAGTCGGGGCTCATGTCGAGGAGTGCGTCGAGGACAACTTGTGTGGCTACCTCGCTGACAGCACGGCGAAGCAGTACGCGGGCATCTACAGCAAATGGAGGGCCTGGAGTGCGAGACAAGGGTGGCCTACGGAGTTCCTCGACAAGTCGGAGCCGGTCGAGGCGAACGAGAACAAGTTGCTCGGATTCCTCGGGTACCTGGGCTGGCTGGGAAACTCAGTGGCTTCGCTCAAGCAGGCAGTGTTCGCGATCAAGGACGGGCACAAACGTGGAGGCCAAGGTGATCCCACTGAGAAGATGCACCGTCTATGGATGCTACTGGGTGCTTTGGACAAAAGAGCACCAAAAAGGCCCAGGCGACTGGGCGTTACGCCGGGGATGCTCAAATGGATCGCTGAGGAAATGGGCCCCCATCTGGCGGCTACGGCGGAGGAGCGCTTCGACTCAATCATGGTTTTGGCGGCCCTCAACACGGCATGGTTTTTCATGCTGCGGGCGAAGGAGTATTGCGAGTCCAACGGGGTCGACTATGCCATGATCATGCGAGGCGTCGACCTCAAGATCGAATGCGATGAGAAGGGCGAGGCCTTTGTCACCCTCCAGTTCCGCAAGACGAAGACGGATCAGGAGGCCTTCGGCACGTGCAAGACGATGTACGCCTCGGGTGTCAAAGATCTGTGTGTGGTGGAGGCCCTGCTACGCTTCCGAGGGATTGCCCCCCAACGCTTCGGGCACGGAGGCGAGGCTCTGAAGCCACTTTTCCGGTGGGCCAATGGGCAGATGCTGAAGAGGACACAGGTCCAGTACCTTCTGCAGCAAGCCGCAGCTGGTGTGGGCCTGCCTCCCGGGAGGTTCATGTCCCATTCTCTCCGCATTGGCGGAGCATCGGCGCTCTTCCAGGCCACGGGCGAGATCGAGGTGGTGAAGCGAACGGGACGGTGGTCGTCATCGGCTGTTCAACGCTACCTTCATGATGGCGAGACGGCCTTGAAGCAGGCTGCGAGCAAGATGGCTTCTGTGGAACAGCGAGTTCATTACACTTGAGCCGAGTTTTGAAATGTTTGTTGGGGCCGAAGGGCGCTGTGCCATAGTTTTCGGTGTGCAGCCTTTCGCTTGATGGTGCATGTGACCGCAAAAGGAGTCGTCAGTGCGCCGTGTATGCACTAAAGTGCAAGGTTAGGCATAACCGTAGCTTTTGGGCGTTCGCGAAGTCGCTACGACCCGAGGGCCGTTTTGGTTTCAGTGAGCCCACCCTCCCACACCGGGGGCCGAAGGGCGCTGTGCCATAGTTTTCGGTGTGCAGCCTTTCGCTTGATGGTGCATGTGACCGCAAAAGGAGTCGTCAGTGCGCCGTGTATGCACTAAAGAGAAACTTGGCATGCAGTGGAAAGGTGGCCGAGCCCTTTGTGTCACGAGCTGGAACCAAGACAAGAATGGACGATGTAGGGGTCTGACGACACCAACGTCAACAACCACAATGATCACAACAACAATTCGCGGACATGGATGCAGTTCTGGACTGGAGCTTCAAGGATCTTTTGCAACGCTCAGTCGAAGTTCAAAGCTCGACAATGTAGTTTGCCGTAGGCAACGTTGATGTACCGTGCTCGAGAAGCTGAGTCATACAGCGCCTTTAAGCCAAATCCACGTTGTAGATCCCAGAATATGCCTTTGCCAGGACCAACTCTCTACTTGGCGGCGGAGAACAGCCAGTAAGAACAAGTTTCACGCCTACCGCAGCCAAACGACTAAATATGACCCACTGGGCATGCTGCAACGGCGGGCTTGTATGGAGGAGTCACTTATAAGGCAGGTGCGTGCGAGGTCAGTCCAGCGGCCTTAGCCGAAAAACGACACAGAGAGATTCCTTGTCTGTTAAGACTGGCGAAAGCAAGACATCGAGACGCAGAGAGCGAGCGAGGGAGAGGGAGATGGAACCCCTGGCCACACACGAAAAAGCAAGGCAGAGGTAGATAGAACGTCGGAGAGGTACATGTGTGTATACCATGTGCGTTTTAACAGCGAATGCACATTGACAGACATTTACATGGTTGCATTGGTAGCATGTTCCGCGGAGTGATCACGAGCGAACCCTGAAGCCAAAACGGCGCGATTTCAATTAAATGGCGTGATGGCTAGGCATCAGTTTGAACTTGCATGCCTTTTGCACGGATGGTGAAGCATTTGAATTATGGCGGTTCAACATTGTGCATCTCAACCGCTGCTGACACACTCGTTTGCCCTCAGCACCCACGATTGGGGTGGAATGCGAGTCCGAAAGGTCTTCCGATTCTGCCGGGTCTGCTACGATGCATTGACACTCAATGCTGCTGGAACTCCTGTGTCATCTGGTTTGGGTGCATTTTTTGGGCACACCTCAAACTCAGAGAGAAGCAGCGAGGCGAAGTTGACAACGTTAGTCCTGGAGGCTGCTTAATCGACACACACACACACACAGGGACGCGATGCCGCCCCGCCCACCCTGATCCTCTGATTGTGGCTTGAGCTTCGGCTATCTTCTGCTGTCCTCATACTGTAACTTCAGCTGGTCGGTTCCTCTCCACCCCACCGCAGGGGCTGGCAAAAGCCTCCCTCGCTGAGACGGAAGATGCGGAGGCCGAGGCCGCAGGGAGCCCAAGGAGAAGATCGATCTGTCCATCTGTGGCTTTAGATTACGATTGTTGGTTCAAAAGGTTCTTCCGGTTTGCGCGGGTTTCTTGGGATTAGAGTCTAGAGTGCTTGTTTAGATCTTCGAGGGTCTATCCGGGTCGCTATGTCACATTATGGGGTTTCTTGGCTATGTCAACTTCAGCTTCCCTTCGTAGAAAGCGGTCTTGGGGTTTTCGTTGCCAACTGTCCTGCGGGGCCAGGCCTAGCTCAAGTTGATAGCGCTTTGGGTTGTTTCTTTCGGGAGATTTAGATAAGATGCAGATAACATCAGATAACTACGTATACACATAAAAATATATAGGTATAGATAGAGATATTTAGATTCAGATACGGCTACAGAGATAGAGATAGATAGGTTAGATAGATCGTGTAGACAGCCAGAGATAGTTGGCTGGATGGATCGATAGGTAGACAGACAGAAATAAAGCTAGGCATATACATACAAATGATATATACATATACACGTTATGTATACGTATTGTATATGTGTATGGTGTGTATACCTGCATATCTACACAGAGTTTACATTGTTAAAACCAGGCGTGCATATAAATAAATAAGTATATATATATATATATGTATGTATGTGTGTGTATATGTATATGTATACGTGGATGTAGTAGCACGTGCTTCTATGGATGGATTCGCGGGAAGCAGTCTATTCCTCGTGGGAAGAGCATTCGGAATGCTTAAGGTGATTACGGGTGGGTACGACTGCAGAGTCCCCGTCGCAGACAGCGAAAGCCCGGACATGATCGGTCATTTGAGAAAAAGCTTTTCTTTTCCACCCTGGCGGTTTTAGGTTTTTAGTTCGGGACCAGAACGGATGAAGTGTTCGGGGTTGTGTTTTTACAAAGCGTTGCATGCTCAACCGAAGATTCAGTTTTGCGCTTACGAGGTCCAAAACCATCCGGTTTGCGGAAAAGGCAGCGACAACGAATTTTTTTATATATTTAAGAACGACTGTAATCACATGTACTACATACAAGAACTAGACAAGAGAAAGTAATGAGTTAGATTGACATACATCGAGCAACTGAGTATATTAAACCTAAGTTGCTTCGAATAGCTAAAGAGGTATGTAAGTTACTCGCGGCAGCTTGATTGAATAATCGAAGTGTGTTACTATCAACATGTTTCACGAAATGAACTCCTGCACAAGTTCAGCGAGTTAGATGACCTTAATGTGATAATGATAAGGCAATAACTTACTTAGGCACTCTGGTCAGCTTAACTACTAAACTTATTAAGTTAAGCTGACTCCACGGATATGTGCGGCTGATTTACATACACCTGAATTCAGAGAAACCAGTCAAACTGACTGGCTTAAGTAAACGAGTCGAGGTGAATAAGTAACTAAACGTTCCTGAACTAATAATGATCGCAAATTCGATGCAATGCACTTCAGCAACCGTCTTGATTTAATTTGATGAGAGAAATCGATTTAATTGAATCTTGCATGAGATAAACTCATTGAAATGACTAAACTCCTTCGGTTCAGTGAACAGCAATCAGATTTGGTCAAGCATATATGTTGTTCGTATGAAACGAGCTACTTAGCTGTGTTGATCTTGCTGATGCAGCTATATAATGTTAATGAACCAGTTCGATTTTCAACTACGCAAACTAAGTTGTTGGAAAGCCAAAGTTTTAATGAATGTATCCTGGCTTAACTACTATACATGTTGGCATCAATCCAAGGGGTCTGCTCAGGTTGACAGACCATGTTAATGTAGCTCACGGAATTAATAAGTGAAGCCCTTTGTAGCTTGGTTGATTGCTTGCTTAGGTTTGCCAGTTTGTTCCATTTACGTATAGTGACCAGTCAGTAGAAATTCGTTGATGTTAAGTTGTTGTTGCTGTCGTAATCATGTTTAGACACGACAGCAGGGTCGTGCGATACTGGAAGAGAATAGGTGCATTTGTTTAGGTATTCGTTTCGAATATGCATGTAGCACAGCATTTTTCTGTGACCGATTAGCTTGCATGTCTGATTGGTCGTCTAATGATTCCCACTGGAGCCATGCAATTATTAAGCGTCTGCAACGCAGTGCAATGCTGCATGTTCGTTTTTGCACGTGAGTGGGTTTTTACGTGCAATGATCGTATGTGCGATGTTATATAGTCTGCTTCCATGTGATTTCCGTTGTCCACGGCGTGTAGCACCTTGCAGCGCATGACTGTAACCGTGGCCATGACTTCCATCCGAGGTGCGCTGGTCGACGAAGGTTCAGGAGCTGGAGGATCGGTTGAGGCCAGCGTCTTGAGGGAAATACGGGCAGGTTTTCATGTTTATCACGGTGCCTATTCCTTTTGCAGTGTCCACCCGCACAATAACGGGTGTCGGAGCGAACACAACATGAATCTGGCCGTGCCCTAACAGCAAACGCCGAGAAGACCCAGGTTTGTAGTAGTGCACATGTACTGGTGTATCCATGAAACGATATTTTCACAAAGCTGTCGAGTGTCGTCCGTGTCTTCGGGCCGTGCCATTGTCTGAGATAGCATGCTGAGTTTCCTGGCCTGCTTTGCAACCTGAAGTATCCTGTCCACAATCTGTTGCATTGCGTCTGCAAATGTTGCTATATTCACCATGCTGCGTGTCACAAGTTCTGGTCTGTGGTCTTCTGTGTTAGTGCGTCAGCAGCTTGCTGCTATGCCTTTGCCAGCTCCAACCGAGTATGTTGGGTACTGCCAAAGCCACCTCCTAGTTCACTTTGGCAGCCCGAATGAAACCTGCCGGGAGTGCCACGCATGGTGGTAGAAGTGAAAGATAAGGGGCATGCACGCTTGGTTATTTTCGGTGTTGCCAGTGTGTCTTTCCTTTTACCATTCACCGAGGCTCTTCAGATCTTTGAGCACTTCAACTCAGCCAACAGATTTGCAAGGCATTGTGTCGGCCAGGTCGGCCCAACAGGATGTTGCGAAGTCGGCGGCGGCGGCACAGGCGAAAGTGTCCGTATGGTCTCGTCTGCCCGTGCGTGACATCTTAAACGTTGTAATCGGTTTTCAAGTGCTTCAGCTGCATCGACAGTCCAGTCATAGGCCAGAGCCACAGTTGCCTTCAGAGCCACATCCTGTCGTTGCATCGGTAGGATGCCAAGACAGCTGAGAAGCGAGCAGAAGCCGTGGGTGACCTAGGAGAACCGCAGTCTGCACGGCAATCCATATTTCTTGCTGGCCTGCCAGCGAAGCTTCGCAAGTTGTAAGCTGAGGCCCAAGCCGAAGCGATCCGAGAGAAGAAGCACCAGTCTGCCTCACACTTACCTGCCGTTTGTTCTGTTTCTATACCTGGAATCGGTCAGGTGAACCAGGTCACCCGGCAAGCATCTTCTGCAAAACCCTAAACCCAAATCTCTGACAGTTCGGTGAGGTTTGCCGCGGATCAGGGACTGAAAGGCTTCATGTGTATACATACATATATATATATATATAAGTATATATATATATAGGGTTTCGGAACGAGGCCACAACAAGGTTTGTGGTCATTGCCGGCGACCCCAGTGCCGAAGGATAGATCGGGTAGCTGCAGCCATTGGGAAACGGGCGCAGCCGACTTCGCCTGCGTGGCACAGGCGACAAAGGGCTGCACGTTCGCGGGCCCGACTTTCCATCCGAAAGGCACGATTGCAGTGCCAGGGCCCTTCACGACGGGCCATTGCACTCCTACGAGCCCACCACAGCCAACCCCTCTACAGAGAGGACCCTATGGGCCGCGGCCAGGATCAATGGGGAGCTTGGAGTGGCCAGCAAACCGAGTACGATGGGTGGTACTCGCAGCCGTGGCGTGGCAAGGGCTATGGCAAGGACCAGGGCAAGGACAAGTCTGGACAGCAGCCCAGGAAGGCCAAGGATGCCAAGGGCGAGAAGCCTCATTTCCCGACCTTCGAGGATGTCGAACTCCCGGCCAAGGACCGACCCTCGCAGTCCAGGCGTGGTCGGGAAGTGGAAACCGAAGCACGGGACGAGGACATCCCGGACTTTGCCAAGACCTTCCAGAAGATCCTCAATGGGCTCCGCAAAGCAGAAGGACGCCTCCGCCGTGGTGGCGAGGAAAAGGAGGCACTGGATGCCAAATGGGCCAAGTTCCAGCAGGACCTCAAGAAAAACTTCATGCAGGAGCGCACGAAGTACATGGACAGGGTTGCCAAGCTGCAGGAGGAGGCCACTCAATGCCAACAACAGCGGGTCGAGGCTATCAGAGACCTTCAGATTATCCTGGGTGGAGGCACGGTGGAGCCCAGCAAACCTGTGGAAGCCCCGACCGACAAGGAGGCGGAAGCCGAGTGGGACAAGCTGCTCACGGAAAAGAGCGAGGAGGAGAACCTGGGCGACTTCCTTGCGGATGCCATGGCTGGAGGACACCAGCCAGGCGAAGCAGTCAGAACCGCCATGCTCAAGGTCCTGGCCAAGACCCTGCACGACGATGGGCCTCCCGGAACACCGGCCAGGCGTCGGACGGATGCCGCGGCAATGACCCCACCGGCGGCCTCCCGAGCTGCCCGTCGGGCAGACAAAACTCGGGTCACGGAGATGGAGATCGAAGAGCCCTACGTTGGCGAGACTACGAAAGACCCCTACATGGCTTCCCCGTCGGCGGCTACGGGCTTTATGGCGTCCCCGGCCCCGAAGACGCGGAGCCGCAATGGCCCGAGGGTATCGATCAAGGAGGCCAGCAAGGCGCCGGTTACCCCACCAACCGGCAAGACATCCCTCGCAGACAAGCTCGAGGCTGCCCGGGCCGAAGAACTTGCAAAGACCCTGGAGGAGTCCATCGATGTCTCAGACGAGGACGAGCTGGTTGGCAACCTGGGCAATGCAAGCGAGGGCCAAGTGGCCGAGTGACCAACCCTGACCCTGGAGGTCGCCACTCGAGGCCGGCAGCCATATGCCACTGGCGCCAGTTGGAACTGAGCGCTGGACTTATGAATCAGGGACTACTTCCTGGTGATGGTCCCTGGGTGACACCCTCTTGCGGCTTTTTCGGTCAGTCCGCAGTGCAGCATCGCTGCACCAATCCTTTTGCCTATGAGGCCTCGGAGCAGGCCGGCAAGATATACGATGTCATTGACCTGCAGGAATGGGCCTTCGGCAAGATCCTGGCAGGACTGGACTTCCTTCTGCCCTCAACTACGCAGCTCTGCGAGGCCCTTGGCAACACATTTCGAATGCTTGTGCTGATGGTGTTGATCCTTTGGCTCTCTGCGCATGTTCGATGGCAGCGGCCCTTTGCTGCGACTGCCAAGCCTGCGCCAATACTCTTGAAGGTGGTCCTAGCGGCGGTTATCATCAATGGTGGCTCCGCTACCAAGTCCAACGCAGATGACCCATTGGGGAGAGGAGCTGCAAGTGCAAGACTTGACGATGTAGCCCTGTGGATGGCCGGACAGCCCACGGTTGCAGAACAACTTCAAGCGTGCCTGACGAGATTCGCCCTGCAGACCCCGCTGCAAAGTGGTGCTACTGCTCCGGCACAACTACATGGACCTGGGCCGCCGGTCGTTGGGCGACTACCGCCGGAGCCGATTGTCCCAGAGCACCTTGAAGAATGGGACCCCGAGGAACCGGAAGAGGAAGCAGTCCACATATCCTTTTGGGTCACCTCACCGGACATGGAGGCAACGTCTGTGGACATGTCCCTGCCCTTCCCCTTGGACACCGATGATGTTAAGGACCGGGTGAAACGGGCTGTGCGCGGCTTCGGCACAGACTGGCTTGATGAGATAGTCATGCTCCGGCCCCAGCTCGAGGAGGAGTTCTGCAGTTGTGTTATGATACCCCACTGGAACCTGCTCACAGAAAAATGGGCTGTTGTGGTTGATGCGGCAGAACTGGAGAAAGGCGTCTTCGCCTTTTACATCCACAGCCCTATCACTCGATTCGCAGTGCTAGGGCAACTGGGCCTGGATATGGACGCCGAGGTCGACGTCTATGTGGCGGGAGGCCTGGTACCGCTGCAAACCGCGGACTGCATCCCCCCAACCAACGGCTGCCTCATCAAAGTGGTCCCGGAGGGCATGGATATCCAGTGGGCGAGCAACTTCGATGACCGCCTAACTGACCCACTTTGTTGGGACCCTGACTATCCTCACCCTAGCCTTTTGCCAGGGCGATTCATTGAGTTTCAGACGAAGAACAACATTTACCTCCACCGCACCAACCATGCTGATGTGAGGCACCCGCGCAGTGTCGCCCGCGAGGCCTTTGGCCTTCGCGACGAGGACTTCTGGCTCAGAGCCCCTACTGACCGACCGCTGGGTATGTGCAGAAGGGCCAGGAGAACCCATTCGATCATTGCGGTCGTCCACGAGACCGAGGTGCCGAAAGAGGACCACCACATCGTCTTCTTTGACCTGAGGGCAGTCGGATTGTGGGTCCATTGGACCCCCGCGCAGCATGGCATTGTCCACCCAGGGAGGTACATCCAAACTTTCCGCCTCCCACGTATCGACGGCTACTCGGTGATTGTCAAAGGTGGCAAAAAATATGGCGATCAGGGGCTCTTACAGGTCGACGACGGCGAGGTGCTGGAGGTAGTCCTTCGACGACAAGGGGATATCTCCTCCCCCGAGCCACAGGACTCTGATGACCAGGAGAGCGATGACAGTGATTGGAGACACAACCTCCCCAGCTCATCCGACCTCACCCCACCGGGACATCAGGAAGGAGAAGGTCCCTTCGGCCCACCTCCACCACAACCGGTCAACCGCGAAAGAAGCCGAAGCCCCCATGCAGGGAATGGCAGGACAAGAGTCCTCGAGCTCAGCCGCCACGTTTCCCCAGTGCAGTATGACCTTGAAGAGGAGCTGATAGAGCTACCACATGGCCGTGAAGATGTGAAACAAATTCTTCGCACATGGCCAGCAGACTGGCTCAATTATAGCCCCATGCAACTGCCACTCAAGGACGAAACGCGCCAGGCTTTACGCGACACACTACACTGGAGTCAGCTCCTGGTGATGCAGGCAGAAGGCCACGACCTTGAAGCGGAGGTCTACGTCGATGGCTCCTACTTCCCGGAGGGACAGCGTAGTGGATATGGCGTCGCGGTGCTGCTAAGATGTGCGGGATTCCTGGCCTTACTCGGAGTCTTTGGCGGCCCCATTCTCTGTGATGGAGGAGACGTATGGGACTTCCACGCCCCGCCGGCCCTGAAGGCGGAACAAGTCGCCACTGCGGCAGCATTACTTTGGTTGGCCCAGAGCAGATGGAGCATGCCCCTCACAGGGGCTAAAATCTATTACGACTGCCAGGCTGTTGGCATGAGCACAGCGGGCGACTGGAATCCTCCCAACGAGTTTGGCCAAAAGACCCGTCACCTTGCTGCTTATGTTCAGGGCCTCTTCGCCAACAACCTGACGTTCGAGTACACGCCTGCGCATGTTGGACAGGCATGGAATGAGCTTGTCGACACGGTTGCCAAAGCTGGCGCCCAGGGAGACGCCAGCTTACCGGAGGCTCCACATGCCAACATCGCGGCATTCTTTCGTGCCGACATCGGATGGCTCCATGTCGCACAACGCGGGCTTGCGCAGCACACGGCCCAGATCCGAGCGGGCCAATGGCTGGTCGTTCCTGGTGGAAGTGCCCAGGCTTGCAGTCCACTCCAGCCCAGCGACATCATCCCCACCACAGGGGGAAACCCAACGGGTCAAGACGGCTGCTTCGAGGTCAAGTGTGTAACAACGAACATCCAAGGCTTCAAGGGATGCCACGCCTACCTGGACGAGCAGTATGCGCTGGCTGGATACCAGATTCTGTTCTTCCAGGAGACCAAAGAGAGCGAGGGCAGCACAGCAAGCCGGCGCTACGTGCGGTTTGCCTCGCCGGGATGCAGCCATTGGGGCACGGCTATATGGATCAGCAAGGAGTATGGGATCGCGAATTTTCGTGGCAAGGCCATTTATGTCAACCATGAAGAGGTCAGTGTCTCGTACAGTGACCCCCGCCTCCTCATCCTGATGGTCGCCCAAGGCTCACTTCGTATCCTCTTGTTCTCTGCGCACGTCCCCCATGCCGCCAAGCCAAAGGAACGAAGTGAATTCCTTGTGAAGCTGAGAGAACACTTGCGAAATGCGGGCAACTGCGACCTTATCCTAGGTGGCTGTGATGCAAACGGGAGACCGCCCCCACTCTTTGCGGAAGTCACCGGCTCCCTGGAGTATGGGGACTCAGATGAAGCAGGCCGACAGTTTGCGGAATGCTTACAACAGACCGGCCTTTGGCTTCCCTCTACCTATGCTGAAAGCCACACTGGCCCGCAAGAAACATTCCGGCACGCCACCGGCAACCTCCACCGTATCGACTTTATCGCGATCGGGGGAAGCGCCTACACCCTTGGGGCCAGCAGCTGGACTGAAACCCAGATCGACCTCGCCGCGACCAAGGACGATCACTGGCCGGCAGCGGTACACATCTGGGGGCAGATCGCCGGGGTCCAACAACAGCCCCGGCTCAAAAAGCCCAAATATGACAGAGGCAAAATGATGACGCCGGAGGGGCGGGCCATCCTCCGTCAAGCTTGGGAGGCCTATGTGGCGCCCCCGTGGTGGAGCCACGTCGACGAACATTGCCGACATATGCAGGCCTACATCACGAAATGCCTCGACGAACACTTCGCGATCACCGCCGACGGCCCCAAGGCACATTACATCACCGAGGACATCTGGAGATGGAGGGCACAAAAGCTGCGACTCAAGAGTCTGGCCCAACACCGGCGAGGACTTTGGCGGCATCTACTGCGGCAGGCACTTCTGCACTGGCAGGGCCGCACCAAGGTTGCGATTGAGCCAGAGATCTGCAAAGAAGGCCTCCTGTACCAGCTCGCCTCTTGTGCCATCGGGGTTGTCACACAACGAATCAAGCGGGAGGTGCATACCAATATAAGGCTGAATATCTGCAGTCCTTTTTCAACGGCTGCCCTCAATCAGCAACACAACTCCTGCAACAGGCCAAACGACTGGGAGTCGGGGGGCGCAAGAAGCAAGGAGGCCGTCGACCACTACCTGCCCTTTATGACCACCAAGGCCGCCCCGCGAGGTCGGCAGCTGACCATGACGCCATTTGGCTCCGTCATTTCGGGCGACAGGAATGTGGTGTGACCATGGCTGTAGAGGAGTTCCTCCAGGAAAAAGACATCTCGGCCCGACTTGGCGACCAAGTCCAATGGACCCTCGATGACCTGCCGAGCCTCGTAGAAGTGGAGCAAGCTATGAGGGCGGCCCCGAGGGGGAAAGCCATGGGACTCGACATGATCCCCGGCGAGGCCCTCGCAGCGGCACCTGCAGCGGCTGCTGGAATGGTCCACTCATTGATGCTGAAATCAGCGGCGGGCTTACAACAACCGCTGCAGTGGAGAGGAGGCATCCTGTTCTCGGCGTACAAAGGCGCCGACGCAGTAAGTTGCCCCACCAACCACCGTTCGCTATTTGTGTCAAGCGTGGTGGGGAAGGCCTATCACCGCCTGCTGCGCAACAAAACGAGCCCCCAACTCCAACGTGAGCTTCACGAAATGCACCTTGGCAGCAGAGCTGGAGCACCGATCGCATATGCGACGCTGTATATCCTCAGCCACCTGCGCCGGTGCAAGGCGCTGTCGCGGGCAGCTGGAGTGCTCTTTCTGGACACGACCGCTGCTTATTATACAGTGATCCGTGAAGTCGCAATGGGCGACATCCGGCTGGACACAACGGTCGCCAGGATTATGCAAAGATTCAACTTGGATGGCGAAGAGATGGCCGAGCTCTGGAAGATCATCCGAAGTGGTGGCGTCATGAATGATGCGGGCACCACCCCCGCACTCCGAGCCATGGTGAAGGACCTACATCACCGCACCTGGTGCATTACGAAGCACACAGGCGGCAAATGGCTGGCGTCCACATATGCGGGAAGCCGCCCAGGCGAGTCATTCGCCGACGAAATCTTCGCCTTCATCTACGGCAGAGTCCTGGGGAGGATCTACGAGATCGCGGCTGGCGACGGGCTGCTCAGTGAGGTCGGCTATGATCCTGATACGGGTCCCTTCGCTCAGGCCCTTGAGGGTGACGAGGTTACCCTCAGGGACACGACCTGGGCAGACGACTCGGCGATACCCTTCGACGATGCGGACCCCGCAAGAATGCTCCGGAAGGCCCAGAGGATCGCAGCGATCACAATCACTGCCTGCCAGTCCTTCGGACTTCAGCCCAACCTCAAGAGGGGTAAAACCACAGCGGTCGTGGCCATTGTCGGCCGCGGAGCGAGCAAGGCCAAGGCTGAGTTCTTCGCCCATGGCCGCTCCACCCTTAAGCTGCCCGACATGGACATGGAACTGGCAATTGCCCCACAGTACTCACATCTCGGAGGATTGCTTGACATGGGGTGCACTTTGAAGCCAGAAATGCGCAAGCGACTGGCACTAGCTGGCAACGCATATGAAACTGGTAAAAGGCTTCTCTTTGGCAACAAGCACATCCCCCTCCGAACTCGAGCCCAGCTCTTCCACTCTGCCATCCTCTCGGTCTTCTACAATCTGGCGATATGGATACCGCTGGGGGAAGCCTGGAAACAACTCTCCGGAGGCTACACGAGAATCTTGCGACGCCTGCTGGTCGCAGATGTTGGCGGGCACCGAGGCTGTCGAGTTCCTGGTCCAATCGTCCACCTCGCCACCAACAGCTGGAGCCTGGAACTCCAGGCGCTCAAAAGCCGTATGAGCCTGCTGGTCTCGATGGCGTCCAGTGGGCCCACCGCCCTATGGGCAATCCTACAACAGGAGCAAGGATGGCTCCAAATCGTCCGGCAAGACCTCTGCCACCTTTCGGAGGCCTACGACGACCTCCCTCAGGCGACGGCGGCGGAATGGGCAAGCTGGCTCACCTACTTGAGGAACAATGGGGCCAGTTTCAAGCGGCGAGTCAAGCAGTTCCTACAGAACAAACACATGCAGCAGACCCAGGCCGATGCGGTTGTGGTCGGCATCTGGGGCCTCTACCGGCGAGCTTGTGAGGCGCTCCCGAGTGGGGAGGAGGTCACCAGACACTGGCGATGCAGAATGTGCGACCGCCAGTTCAAAACGAAAGGTGGGCTAGGGGCCCACTTCTTCAAAAGCCATGGCAGAGCGGCGGAGTTCAGAGCATGCGTCCAGGGGACACAATGCAAAGCTTGTGGCCGCGAGCTGTGGACTACGGCCCGCCTGGCAATCCATCTACGGGACAATGATCGCTGTGTCAAGACTCTTCGTGCGGGGGGCCACACAGTCGATCAGCTTCTTCCCGGACAGGGTAGCCGAGCGGCCCGACATCGCTTTGTCGAGGAGTTCAACCTGGCCCCCTCACGTACAGGACCAGTCACGGCCCAAGCTGCGGATTGGGAAGTTTGGGCGGAACCCCAAAAGGCAGCACACCGAGCCCTTTGCGATGTCCTTCAAGACCGCCGTGACTGGCAGAGGATTGAGCAGGTCCGACAGGCAGTGCGACACAGCCTGACGGGCTCTCCTCTCTACCTCCGGGAGGAGATCGAGGTCCTCGAGTTCATCGCGACGGAGGTGGACGAGCTGTGGGCAAGCGACCCTACGGAGCCGTGGACACCGTCCTCCTTTGCGATTATCCGCGAGGCCCTACGTCAGCCGGACGATTGGTTGGCACCGACCGCAGCGAGCGTGTTTGAAGAGGCTGACATTGAAGCGTCCCTGACGGAGTACAGACAAGGCCAGCGGCATTCCTGGGCTACTTTGCTTCAGGTCGGCCGCCACAAATGCGGGACCCCGTCGTCGCAGCTGTACCAACTGAGCTGGCCTAGGGAAGCAGGAAAGGGCCCGCTAAGTAGCATAGACGACGTTCCTGCCGCGTTTGACGAGCCAACAACTTTTATCCCCAGAAAGATCCTAGAGCTTTGGGAGCTGGCCAGTACAGGCAAGGTCGGTTATATCAGAGCTGATCCGAGTTTCTGGAAGAGCCCGTACGGACCCATTTTCGTGAGTCTCAGGGCTGATGTGCATCTGTAAATTAGTGCCGCGTACTCCTCTGAATGCCTCGAAATGAATATATATATATATAAGTTATATGTATATCAGACGCGATACTTGAGGGTGGTAGAAGCTTGCTCGGACGAATTTGGTTGGAAAGGGATGTCTCCTGGCCCCATTCGAGGCACTCTCGTCAGAGCCTGCCAAGGAGTTTGCCTGCACTCGTAGCACTATCGAAGCATTGAAGTTGAAAAGCTGAGCTGGTGTAGCCACGTGAGCTTTTGGGATTTCTACCTGCATGGTCGGGTTGCAGACGCTTTGCTGCCTTTAAGCGGCGCTTCGGGCAGGAGCGGTGCCTCGAGGACTTTGCCTCCTGTACAGCCCGCCCCTTAACATGAAAGGCTGCGAAGCGTAGCACCGCCTTTCAGTGCTGAACAAAGAGCCATGCGGCCATGCAGACTTGCTCCTTCGAGAGCACGCGGTCCCTCACCAGCCTGCAAGTCAGCACATGTCAGCATGCTAGCAAGGCTGGCCTCGCAGTTCTGCAGCTAGAGCAGTGGATGGCCATGTTGCACATCAACAGGTCCACCCCGGTCTCAGCTGCTCTGGGCACCACAGCTTGCCTATGACTGTCAGATTCTTCGTCTCCTTGGTGGTGATGGCCGTGGGTACAGGGCTGCTTCTCCTCCCGGCTCGGGCGCAGGCTGCTGCGCGTTCCATCCCAGCTCCCAACTTGAGAACGAGCCCATTGTAGCTGCTCCCTTCTGGCAGGCAGCATCTTTTGCCGTCTGCGCTCTCGTCGTTCTTCCAGTTCTTTTGGCCGGAGCATTTCGGGACCTGCTTGCTTGGGCATCACTGTCTGCTGCGTGTTTCTACGAGAGCAGGAATGCTTTCATGTGCAAGTGGTAGGTAGGTTTGCGGATCAGATACTAGCTATGCCAGCTATGCTTTGCAGCAGAAATCATCATCGAAAGGGATGTGCCCTTTCCACAAAGTTTGGTGTCCCCAATGGGCTCAGCGGGGTTCGGACATGTCCAGAATACCAGTCATTTTGGGTGCCCTCGGTGCACTACCGCAAAGAGAAGGATCCGTCGTGCCCGTATCAGTCAAGAGCACCTTTCCTCGCAAGTCTTGAACTCGCCCAGGTTAGTAGCCCTCTGCGTGTGCTATATACTTCTGGGCTGAATCCGGAACACAGCACTAACTTTGCTTTTGCTGTTCGAACAGATCCTGTTCACAGCTTCCTGCACTCCCTCGAGGTAAGTGGCTGATCCACTAAAACCAGTGCTGATTGGAGTGCCGGCAGGAATTCCTGCGATTTGTTGCCAGTTCGCCTCCGTCAGAGCTGCTCGGATCATTTGCAGGCCTGTCGTCAGCCCTGCTGAAACTAATCACCATTAATTTTGTGACTACTGGCCGCACCGGTGCTTTGTTGAGACCACCGTGCGATGGAGGCTTGCTGACTGCAGTGCTTGCCTTTGCCTTTCTTTGGCAAGGGTCCACGCCTGAGTGGTGAAGGTGCAGGGCGCATGTGCCATGTGTGTGTGCCCTGCCATGTCGAAGGGCAGACGGCCTTCGGTTGCTCCTCGGTGCCGCGCATGGCTGGCGAGTTGGTAGCTTCGGAATGTCTCCGTGAATCGGCGCAGCTTCAAAGCCAGGCTTGCCGTTCTACTCGGGGACTTGGTGTTGGTGCGAACCCCTTCGCAGAGCCTAGCATTGAAGGACAGCTTTCAGCCTTTCAGCCACTGCGAGGTGGCCAGCTGGTTGCCGCTGCCGGAGGCCTTAGCGGCTCTGGCCGCCATGGCTCTTGGCTACGCCGGCGCCGCGGCGGGTGCGGAGCTGAGAGCAAGCCGCAAGTCGCAAGCCAGCCAAAGCTGTTCCGTGACAGCACGAGCAGCCGATGCTTTCAGGGTTTCTGGAAGAGCCAGGTACGGCTTCTGCTTTGGAACCACTGCCCTCGTCCGACAGCAGAGGGAGGTAACCAGTAACCCGTGGACCACCACGATGGCCTGACGGCCTGACGGCCTGACTGCAATGTTCTCGTCTGTCTGCCATGTTGTGATGAGATTCCTGATGCAGTTTCATTGAAGATGAATTCAGGGACCAGGCCCCACATGCATGTCGTGAGGTTCGAGATTCAGCATGGGTGCCTTATTCTCTTATGTGCGTGAGGCAGATCTCTTGCCAGCCGAATCTCGCGCAGTTCACAGGAAAACCTAGCGATGAGTGAAAGCGTATCAAGGATGATGCAAGTGGGAGTGCCACAAATCAGCACCGCATTCGAAAAGCAGCGCCATGTTACAGGGGAAATCGGACTCCAGCTTCTCTGGGGTGTTGGCTGGGCTGAGGGTGGAAACCCATATTTCGAAACAAGAAAGGAGGAACGAAAGAGCCAGCTGGACATCTTGAAGGGAGTCTGACGACTAGAACAGAAGGATGTTAGAGTCACTTCTCGATGGTTTCCCTCCGTCGAGGAATGTGCTGGAAGTGCCGGAGCAAAGGCTGCATCGGCTAGGTTAGTTTTCCATCGCAGAAGCGAATTTCAGGGATGATTTGGAGTACTCTCCAACTCTGCACCCACCCGACGCTGTTAGGGTTTGGGTCAAAAAAAACACTTTCGATAAAAGCGGAAAGGCCCTTGTCTCAGAGTCGCGCAGTAGTCTGGCTCAGCTCTGTACGTGCAAGTGCTGTAGCAGATTCGGACATGCACAGAAGCATCTGACATCACCCTGGGCGACCAATTACAAACGTGCTCCCGGCCCATTTTCCATTTGTGCCGACAAAGGTCTGTACCGGCGCCGGGCCACCCAGGCCTTCGCGGCCGGAAGCTCGGAAGTCGGATGACGAAGTCCGCGGACAAGCAATGCTTTCACTTAGATGGCGGTGCCAGCAGCCTTGTTGCTGCCTGCCGGTTTTCTTCTCTTCTTGGAAGCCCTCGGCCGGTCGGAGGCCTGCCGGGTGCCAGGGTGCCAGGCCTCCCCAGGCCTCTCAGACGCTCAGCCGCTGCCTGCGAGGCGTACTTAGACGACATTGTGTCGGCCTTGCTGAGCGACCCTCGGGTTTTCATCACGCTGCATCAGACACCTGGAGACCACCGAGGCCTTGGGCAGACAAGCACAGCGAGAAGGCGAGTGGGTAGATCGGAGAGTGAAAGTGAGCTCACGCACCGACTTGCAGGTTGTGGGCAGCACCTTCTGCGAGTATGGGCGCCTCGCGTGGCAACGGACCCACCTTTTGGCGGGGTCTCAACTGGTACGCTGCCGTTGTTGCAGTTGCGTGGTGAGGCTTCTGCTTCAGCTGCCAGCGCTAGTGCATCTCCTTACGGCACCAGGAATGGACGTGCGCTCCCAGTTAACGCACGGCAGCGTTCACTGCTAATTAGGCTTTAAGGAGTCACCCGAAGGTGGCCCCGTTCCCATGGGAGAGCGAAGAGCCGGCGAAAACCCGCGCTGTGGCAACGCGGCTTTTCAAGCGATCGGCTTGGGTGGGTCCGGGAGCTGCGGGCCGAGCTTCTGAGGTGCCGGCAGCAAGCCCGCCCGAGGAGCCTGAGGAGACAGAGACCAACGCCGACAAGGTGAAAGTGAAAGATGCATGGACCGCAGGGAAGGCACCAGCTATGCTCTGGTGCATACTCTTGAGGCTGCCGAAGCTGCGGAGGCACAGCCAGAAGTGGCAGAAGCAGCCTCGGACCCTTCATCGGTGACTGTTGGTGTGAGCTGAAGCTTGTAGGCCTTGTAGGCCTGGTCAGAAAAGGTGACGCCCGTCCCTTCGATGCCTTCACAGCCGGTAGGGGGCTTGACCTCTGCACAGCAAGCTGCCACTAGCAGCCTCCTTGTGCATGTCCGCAACGTGTCGCTTCCCCCAGGCTGTTCCCGAGCCTGAGCTGGAGAAGCTGGAGCTCTCGCCTGAGAGCCCCGCACAGCTCCGCATAGCTCCGCCATGCCCCGCCCAAGTCCTTTCGTGCGCTGAGTCCTGTGGCTACCACGGAGCTCCTGCAGAAAACGGCGTGAGCCCCAAGCCGGACAGCAGGTGATTTTCAGGAGTCCACCATGCACGACACTTGGTTGCCTAAGCTGAGTTATTGCTCACAGGTTGCAGCGCTTCAGGTGGGATCGGAACCGTTGTTACTTGGCGCTTCTGTGTGAACAAAAGCAGGGCATGTTCCTGGCAGGCCTTGGAGACCGCTCTTTCTCCAAAGAGCTCGCAGGACCGAAAGCTGAGTCTGAATGGATAAAGCAGGTGCGGCAAAGCAGCAAAGCATGCTCACCTCGAACAGGCTCGTGCTTCTGAGGCTCCACCGGCCACGATCCTAGCGGCCCCTTGGACTGAGCCCGTGCTTTCCCAGAAACGACACGGCGTTTGCCCAGCTGCGAATGTTCTCGCTGCAAGGCTGCCAATGCAGCCTCTGCAGCCTCTGCGGCCCTTGCCGCCTCTGCGGCTCACGGTGCCGAGGGCGAGGCAAGCAACGAGCAGCCTGCAGCCTACTTTCTTTGCAGATGCCCAGAAAGACATGTTCCAGCCTCGCGATTCCTGCTCCCAGGTGAGCTGTGGCAGCCGGAGCGTTGGAGTGCTTCCGCTGCCATCGTTTAAAAGCTGCGCTGTGAAGATCTTGAATTGACTTTTGGGAGTCGTGCCTCTGCTTGGATGCTTGTGTGCAGTTCTTTCTCACACAGCGGTTGCTAGGCGAAGCAGAGCTCGATGATCGCTTATCCTGCAAAAGACGAAGACTGCGAAAGAGCGAGAGCGAGAGAAAATAATCAAAAAGGGAGTCGAAGCGCAGTCGTCAACAACATTGAACAAACTGTGGTTCTGAGCATTCAGAGCGTTTCTTCCCAGTGTTTCCATTCAATTCGATTCAAGTTCGATGTCTGCATGGCATCGTCGAGCAGAGGCAGGGGTAACTGGACGAATAGTGCTGTGATTGCAGGGCATGGGATGAAATGGCTTAAAACATATTATGCCGGCGTAGACCCCAAACAGTGAGGAGGGCCGGAAGAGGCCAAAGGAGGCCAGAAGAGGCCGACCAAAAATCACCGGCACTCCCGGGGACCAAAAACAAACATGCAAGGAAATTCGCGCGAAAACACAGCGAGAGCATCGAAACGAAGGTCGCGCATCACCGCGTGCGCCGTTGCGGCCCGCAACCTCAGCGGGCCCCCAGAAGAGGCCGGAGCGGAAGAGGCCGGAAGTCGCGCGAAACCACAGCGGGAGCATTGAAACGCGAGGGAATTCGCGCGAAACCACAGTGGGAGAGTCGAAACGAAGGTCGCACCCCACCACCGCGTGCGCCGTTGCGGCCCGCAACCTTTTTCCTTTACCCTGAACGTAAGACCCCCATCGTGCAAGCACTGTCTGGGGAACATGAGACATGTTGTAGGCAGTCGACAGTATCACCAGCTTATATTGCTGCACACAGGCCTTCATGATTGCAGCTTAGCTTGTACCTGACTTATACGTGACTATATGTCTACCTACCTATCTATCTACCGATGTATCTATCTGTCCACCTATCTTTCTATTTCTCTACGTATATCAGTCTTTTGGGATGAGATGTTGGTCTGGATTTGGTCCAAGTCGCGTCTGTCTTTTGATTCTGTTGGGGCTTGTTTGAGGTAGTGTGTATGGTGCTACAGAAACAAGTCGGCACAGCTCGCATCCCAGTGCAGAGCAGTCCTGTAGGAGGAGAGACTTGTTCTGCCTGGCCATTGCGTTCAACCTGAGCAAGAAGCTTTCAGCGTTTCCTCCAGAGGATGTGTTGGTCGTTGGCTTCGGGTTGGTCATGATAAGTCAGTTTTTCGCCGAGATGCATCGGACTGTTTCAACGCCAAATGTTGCAGGTTAGCTCCGCGTACCTCAGGAGGCTGTGTGGGCAGTGTGCAGCGGCCGATGTGTCCCAAGCAGCCCCTTTGTTGTCTATGCAGAGTCATTTCAAGCACAACGTTTTCAATGATCACCTGCATAGCAAGCTCGATGCAGACAGGACTCTCAAATTGACGGAGTGCTGTGCTGCAAGACCTGTCCTGTTTCGTTGCCCCCTGTTGAAGACGGCATGTGGGTTTCACAAGTAGGGGGTGATTGCTGGGCGTCGGCTTGTGCTGCTGCTTGTCGAAAATGCTCCCTTGGACCGCGTGGTTCAGCAAAGTAGGGCCAAAGATAGGGACACAGCCCCGAGCACCTGCTATGCTTGCGCTTGGCCAGCAGCACAGCCTCGCCGGGGATCCCAGTCAGGAAGCCGTCGAGTGCCGTTAAGTTTGGATCGTAGGATTATAGCGTTGAGCTTGAGAGAAACGGATCAGATCCATCCTTGAGGCTTGTGCAGATGGGGATCTTGTGGTGGCATGGGGAGACAACCATCGCGGGCAGTTTGGAGATGGCACGAGAACATCTCGGCTAACTCCTGAAAAGGCACGGTAGCCGGAAGCCTTCAATTTTAGGAGGCCTGGCCTCGAGTCGAGTAGAGCCTTCCAGTGCGTCTGGGTCTTTTCACATCGAAGTTATCGTGCGGCAGGTTTTTGATGCAGACTTCGTCGCGCTAGTTGCAGGAATGCAGTCGGAGGCTTACGCACGGCTACAGGTTTGCGAGCTGCACCTTGCATGGCTCAAGCTTGATGTTCCGTGGCAGGCACAGCATGGGTCTCACCCAAACTGGGCGGCTCCTGTGCTGGGGAGGCCCTTGGCCAGCGCAATATCGACTGCAGTCTTTAGCTTGCAGCTACTGTGTGGGATCGTCTGCCAATCACCAGCTGGCTTCAGGCAATGAATTCGGGCAGATTGGTGATGGTACGTTGCCTTGGCGAATTTCATCAAAGAGCTTCCAAGCAGATTCCATCCACATGACGGGTCACGAGTCATCATTCCAGCAGGGGGCAGACCTTCCAACACGTGTGTTGTGTGTAAGCATGATAGTTGGAAGCCAGGATCCAGCCGCGTCTGGAGCCCGTGGAGATTCCGCTGCCCGGTGTCAAGCACATCTCTGCAGGCTGGTACGTGGTGGAAGCGAAAGGAGTACTGGGAAAAGATGCAGCCGGTTTTGACTTTTGCGAGGTGTGTAGCCTTCAGCATGCTTCGTGATGTCGCAAACCGGCGAATAATCGCAAAAGAAACAGTGTAGCCTTGCACGGCTCATCCGTTCGTCGCTTCGCCCTTTGCCAGGTTGGTTCCACAGTCTGGCTGTGACCAGCATGGGTGAGGTCTGGGCTTGGGGCCAAAATAAACAAGGCCAGGCTTTACAGACCAATGTTTCGAATTGTCGACGGCTGCAGAGTGTTGCATCTGCATCGAAGTTCTCTTCATGTTGGGAAATCTGTGCATGGAGTTGGAAGAGCGAGACAGACAAAACAGAGAGCCCAGAGGCAAAAGGACACCGTTCGGATGCCGATGAACGATAAACATGATGTTTGATGATGAGGATATAATGATGAATCACCAAACTCATGTACAATCACTCTCATCATCATTACATCAGCGCCCCTCTCCATCGCCACCATCGCCACCATCATCACCATCATCACCATGACCACCATCACCACCATCATCGCCATCATCGCCAACTTCAAATAACTCCACCACCACCACCACCACCACCACCACCACCACCACCACCACCACCACCACCACCACCACCACCACCACCACCACCACCACCACCACCACCACCCCACCACCACCACCACCACCACCACCACCACCACCACCACCACCACCACCACCACCACCACCACCACCACCACCACCACCACCACCACCACCACCACCACCACCACCACCACCACCACCACCACCACCACCACCACCACCACCACCACCACCACCACCACCACCACCACCACCACCACCACCACCACCACCACCACCACCACCCACCACCACCACCACCCACCACCACCACCACCCACCACCACCACCACCACCACCACCACCACCACCACCACCACAACCACACCACCACCACCACCACAACACCACCACCCACCACCACCACCACACCACCACCACCACCACCACCACCACCACCACCACCACCACCACCACCACCACCACCACCACCACCACCACCACCACCACCACCACCACCACCACCACCACCACCACCACCACCACCACCACCACCACCACCACCACCACCACCACCACCACCCACCACCACCACCACCACCACCACCACCACCACCACCACCACCACCACCACCACCACCACCACCACCACCACCACCACCACCACCACCACCATCACATTCGTCACCGACATCAGTGTCGGGCTTCTCATCTGATGTCTTCATCGTCATGATCGACAGGGTCATCATCACGACTGCACCATCAGTAGTGGTCGCCACCATGATTGCCGATCGGTTCAGGTGATGGAGTGACCGAATGTGCTCGCTTGCGTTGAGCCGCAGCCGGTCTAGCTCTGCCCGGTGAGCAGGCCAGCTTGGAGACGGCTCACGGGAGACGAGGCAAGCGCCGGTGCGGGTGTTGGCCTCCGGTGTGCGACAGGCCGACCCGATTCGGAAATCTACCAGCAAGCAGGATTCAGCTCTGTGGCGTCAACCTGCCCCAAGCTGACTGAACTCCCCGGCTGAGATTGAATCTTCAGCTTCTAGAGCCGAAGACTGTCTCATCACGTAAACAGAACAACGATAGAAGGGAAGCATTCCAAACCAAGTGTGCGCAAGTGCAAGGGCACCAGGACATGGGAGTTTCCGGAGACCCAGCCGTTTTGGGCTCTTGCGTCAGGCTGCTGCTGGTTGGTTGCACAGTTGTGCCGTGATGGAGTCTGGTCAGGCGGCCGTCATGTATTTTGATATTCGTCCCAGGACCTGTGAGAAGCGTGCGATTCGTAGGCTCGTTGTAGTGACGGCAATTGCAGCAGCCAGCAATGCAACTTACACCCTCCGCCAGAGTCATCGCTGTAAGACCTCGGCTCAAGGCGTTTTCCGTGCTAAGCACCGCCGGGAAAGCCAGAGGTCACGCTTCGTTGATCTCAGTAGCATGCAGAAATGATCCCGAGGGGCTTCTCGGGAGAGCTTCCCACAGCCCTCGAACCAGACCTGTTGCAAGGAGTTCCGTTGAGCACTTGCCTGGGTGGCTGGGGCCAGCACTGGTCTTCGTCCCTAACGGCTCGGAATCAAGAGAGTCTCAGTCAAAAGACGACCAAAATCGATGCATTCCTGAGCCATGATTGGGGTACCAGAAACTTGGCTGCTCTTGGCCTTCTTGTGCTATCGCGACAGTTGATAGACTGATAGACAAGCATGCGGACACAGCCCAGGCCGGTGGCTGAAGTTCCTCTCGTTGACGTTTATCTTCAATGCTAACGGAGCAGTTTCATGGACGGTTGTGATCTGCATCCTCCTCGGCATCTTGACGGGCTTGAAAATTCTGCCCGACAGCGACTCGCTGCTGATCTTGCTGGGCTACGCTGCTCTTTTCTTCTTCCTCTTCTTCTGGCAGCGAGTTCGCGACCCCTTCCTGGGCTCTCCGCTGGTCTTCCTCGACAAGCTTTGCATCTCCCAAACGGATCCTGCGAAGAAAGAGCAGGGGATCCTGGGCCTCGGAGGCTTTCTCAGGGTGTCCCAGCGCCTCGTCGTCCTGTGGTCCCCCCGCTACTTCAGCCGCGCGGAGCCCCAGAGCTTTCCGGACCAGAGCCTACCAAGAGAGTCACGAAGAGAGCAGAGAGCAGTTTTTGTTCCCGCTGTCCCTGTCTCCTTTTCAGGTCTTTGGTGCACTTACGAACTAGTGACGTACTTGCGTCTGAACGGTGGGATGCGCAAAGTCTACGTCATGCCGGTGAAGATGGCCGTGCTTCTCCTGATCATGTCCATTGTCTGGCAGGCGGTTCGCATCAGCAACCTGGTTTGGACATACACTGCGGAGGACCCCTACTGGAGGTCAGTGGCGCTCGCAGGGATGGCTTTTACGTTTCTTGCTACGGTTCCTCTGTACAACTCCATTGGCTTGGAGCTCTTCTCAGATATCGAGGAGTTGCCGAGGCAACTCCGCGCTTTCCAGATTCAGCAAGCGGCTTGCACCTGTTGTCTGAAGGGCCATCGACACCCGGAGACTGGCGAGGAGATGGCCTGTGACCGACAGCTGGTATTTTCCACACTGCGCACGTGGCACGGCCCGAGTGTCGAGGATCCCAACAACGATGACTACCTGGAGCGGTTCAACGAGCTTGTTCAAACACAGCTTTCGAAATCTCTCTTGGGTTCGGTAGGCGGCGATGTGCTGGTCTTATCGGACTACATAAAGTTCACAGTAGGCTGCAATGCCCCGTGGATTGCGATATGGGTCTCGTCTCTTATGGAGGGACCCACAGAAGACCTGGAAGGGTTTTTGTGGTTCTCGTGGCTTTTGCGACAGGCGGGACCGGCATCTGGGTGCTCCTCTCGTAGACTGAGGTTCTCCGCGCTTTTAACTTATCTGCTCGTGAACCCACCTCGCAACTATTAAGCTTCGCGCAGGTTCGGTACAAGGCTTGAGATTCAGAAGAGAGGCTGGCTGTAAGTCCTAAATTGAGGAGAAGACTGTTTGAGGGGGTGTTTGCCGTAACGGGAACAAGCTGTCCGTAGTCCCAACTGGTAAAAAGAGACAAGCCCAAAGGCAGCAACAAGAACCACCTGGTTCCCGTAACACGTTGAGAGCGGCAGCTGCGAACCCTCCTGTCCTGTCCTGACCGTTGTGTCGGCTCCTAAACTCAGGGACCGCTTTACGGTCCTTGAGTTCTAGGGGTTCAGACCTCCAAACCCAGCATGTCTACCCGTCAATGTTGTCAAAAGCGGGACATTCCACCACTTGTTCGGCTGGCCGTGTGGACAGACGGAGCATTTACAGAGTCAAATGGGCCAGAATAGCATAAAATCATTATGTACGGTGTCCGTAGCGATGTTGAGCCTTGGCTGGGAATGCCAGAGCCGGACAGTAAAGCAGAGTTGTGCCTAACCTTGCTTTGACCCCAACTACCTGCCCTTTCAAGGAAGATGGAAATCATAAGAAACTCAGCAAGAGAGTCTCACCCCCAGCTTGTCAGGCTTTAGCAGGATTTGGGTTTAGGGTTTAGGGGGCGCGCAGCTGATCGGCAGAGTCTGGGTTCAAAACACGGGGGCACACATGAAGATAAAAGAAACTATTTGTTTGCAACGAGTATAAAGTCTTTGATGCACCACCTTGAACCTATGAAACTACAGCGACAGCGCCGGTTAAGAAACAGTTATTTTTTCGTGACGGGGGGCTCGATTTCTCATTTTTGAAGCGCAGTTTTTTAGGAAAAAGCCGTTTCGGGCACCCTGGATTTCTTAACCAAGATATCTTAATTTGTAACGGCAGCAAATAAAAAACAAAAAGACGAAATGAGAGCGCAGCAGAATTCGAGCCCGCAGCACTTTCCATTCCAGCTCATGTGTTTATCCACGGGCGTGGCAGCCGCCAGACTTCTGAAACGCCACTATATTTATCACATGTTTTACCCAGCTTGTAAGCAGCTGCAAAATATAAGAAATCGAGCCCCTCAATTTCGTAAATTTAAGAAATCGAGCTCCTCAATGTCTTATCACGAAAGCTCCTCGTGAAAGAGCTTCGTTCATTACCTCGCAGAGTGGGGGGCGGTTTTTAGACGTCCAAAGGCAAAACAGGCCTCCTCTGATGCTGCTGATGCTGGCCCGGGCGTGTCGGCCGATGCTGCTAATGCTGGTCGTATCGTGGCCACGTTGTGCGTGTGTCTCTAAGGGCTCGATTTCTTATTTTGGTGGGTTCTGGGCTTGCCTAGTAAGGGCTTAATAGGGGCTTAATACGGCCTTAATAATAACAGCTTTGGAGGGATTTCGAGGCTTTGCTTCCTTACATTAAGCTTTGCCACATAGGAAAATACAAAAATAAGAAATTAAGGGGTTCGATTTCTCAAAATTTAAGAAATCGAGGGGCTCGATTCTTATTTTGGTGGGTTCTGGGCTTGTCTAATGAGGGCTTGATTTTTTGCATATATTTGTTTTTCGCACGGCTGTCCGAGGGGCTCAATTTCTTAAAGCAGTGATTTCTTAAGCAGTGCTGTTGCTGTATACCAAATGAATGGACATGCTCTTATGACGATCTGTCCCAATGCATCGATATTGCATCGATATCTTATTTTCTGTCTTCTCGCTTCAGGCCTGCCCGTGGGGGACCGGATTTCGGCCCTCGAATTTACGAACATAACAGCTTCCTGCCCGGCCTTACTGGTTGCTGTTGGCAGGTCCTGTGCCGGTGGTGTTCGTGTTACGCCGGCCACAGGGTTTCTGTTACCACGGCCGCGGGTTTCGATTACAATGATTACAATGTGCCGGAACGGTTTCCGTTACTGAACCAAAAGTGGTCCCCGTTACTCCTCGCACCCACGCCTCATGGCTAAAGGATCTCTTGCAGCAAGCTCCCAAGACTCTGGAAGAACAGCATGTGACGAACAAGCTTGGTGAATAAAGCTCATGTTTAAGGACCAGAGTTGAGGATGCATCTTGCACATCTTTCGGCGAGTGAAGGGGGAGTGGATTTTCACGTGTCTACATGAAGTTAAGTCGCCACAATGTTTATTGGATGAGCTTGATCTCGCAGGTGGTGGACCAGCTCATGATTTATTTGCTCATGTTTTACCTGATGAGAGTCAGCATGCTCCTGTGGAAAGCTGGGCTTCCGCTGTTAGCCGCAGCCCAAGTATTTCAGGAGCACACACACACGAATTTAGAGAATGTTTTCAATCTATTTAAGTAGCAGCAAGGCTGCTCTTAAGAGCCAAGGAGCGCATGACGAGGAAAACCTTGGCCTTGGTCATGGTCGTCCCTCTCACTCTCCTCACTGCAGCAGCCTGGCAGAGTGCTGAGCCCGTCCCGCGTGCACTTTGGGAGTATCGTTTTCGGCGGAGGCAAGCTTGCGAAGTCTCGCATGTTTGAGTACGGTTTGGAATCATGCCAGTGTGCCAAAGCGCCCTCCGACAGTTGCAAGCTGAGCCCCCCGTAAGGTGCAGGTAGAGAAGGGGGCATTTGGACAGCACTGCCCAGCAGCACAGCAGCACGCAGCACTCAAGCTGAGGCAGCCTGGCTCCCTTGGTGGCTCTCCGAAAATCTGAGCCCGGGGGAAAGTTCAGTTCCGATTATGCCCCTCATGATTCTGGTCCTCATTGATGCCGTCCTTTTCGTGAACTTCAGACCCTTTCAGCCAAGAAGTGCTGCTGAGCCAGCACAGCCGGCCATCCCGAGAGATTCAAGCGCCGGGCCAAGATCACGTGAGGCTCAGGATGACGCCTCCGTTTCGGAATATGACCAGTCGGCTAGCGAGGGCATCCAAGAGAGGTTCACTGAGGAGTTCAGTGAAGGGGAGGAGACGGAAGAGCCGGAAGAGGCTACCGAAACCACAGCGGTGTCTGATCCTGTGCAGGCAGAGTCTTCCGAGGACTCGGGCTTTTTCTCTGTTTGATGCAGAGATTGAATCGTAACCAAGGCTAGAGTGGCGAGAGCAAAGCATGCTCCCGTTCAATCCTGATGGAGTTAGGCGACGTTTGTAGCATCTTCCAACATCTGCAACAGAGGTCTCCTTAGGAGTCCTTCCTTGCATCAGTGCTATGCTTTCTCAATACCCGGTTTGCCGCTAAGGCGCATGCTCGTCAGTGCAAAAAGAAGTTCTGCAGCCGTGCATGCCAATCCAGGGCGCTGGCTTGGAAGGGGCAGCCGGTCCGCGAAATTGCATGTTTTTGGCTGGCTCCTGTGTTCTAGGTGCTGGTCTGGGGAACTCTCGACGGGGTCGTCTACTCGGACATGACAGAGGCGGGTATCATCATAAAGCCAACTTATGTGAACGGCGGGGAATTTCTCGTACTGTCTGGGATGATATGCAATTCAGGTGTCTCAGTAAATAAATGAATATAAATACAAGTATAAGTATAAGTAAGTACAAGTAGATAAAGAAACAAGAAAACATGTAGGTATGTAAGTGTGTCTGTATGTATGTATGTGTATGTATGTGTGTATGTATGTAGGTATGTATGTCTTACCAATGGACTTTTTCTGGCCAACTGTCCCTTGACTTCGGCTCTTTTGGATTTCTTTTCACCCTTTAATTAATGCACGCCGAATATCGGCTGCGTCCGACTGGACTCATTTCCTGGCAATGCGAAATGCGAAGGTATGTATGTATGTATGTATGTATGTATGTATGTATATCTTTATGTTTATATATACACCTTACAGACGTATGTACGTACGGACGTATGTAGCTATGTGTGTCTGTCTGTTTGTTTGTCCGTCCGTCGGTCAGTCGGTCTGTCTGTCTGTTTGTATGTCTGTATGTCTGTATGTCAGTACTGTATGTGCCTATCGGTGTCCCTTCGGTGGCATGCCATCTAAGCAAGCATCCTACCCTAAGCGCTTTTGATCTGTCGAAGCAGGTGGCTGATGCCAGCAGTGGAGCCGTGGCTGCAGACTGCGGCTATGCCCACGTAGCGTTCCGCACCGCCGACGGACAGGTTTGGGGCGTGGCGACGCAGCGACGCGTTGCATGGGCCTTGTTGTGGCGATTCGTTTGTTGGGGAGGTCTTCGCCCTGGGTGCCAACGACCGTGGCCAGCTTGGGGACGGCTCTGCTCAGGCCTCTCCGCTCCGGGCGGCGCCTCCGACTGTAGTGCTTATGTGTTCGTCCTTGGTCCCAAGAGTTCAACATAACGGTCCGTTTCCAGTCACCGACTCTGCAAGAAACTCATTACACCTTCCGGTCTACCCTACGACATCCATCCGAGGTGCCTGTGGAGACAGCCGCGATCACTGGTTCGCCTGTAGCTGCATTAGCCTGTGGCTACGCCCATACCGTGGCGCTCACTGAAGCAGGTGGCACTCTGGGGCTCTCCCAGAGTCTCTGAGGCTTTGAGACAAGAAATGAGTAATCACACCGATCACATAGTACAGGAGGCCCAACACTGGGGAAGAATCGATGTCAAAGGTATGGCAGTTGCGGTCCAAGACTCCGTTATGTGGGGATTCAGTGTTTGTGACATTTTGCAATGCAACAATGGTTTGCTATCGTTCACTCCCTGCACTTGTTTAGGGTTACCGATGATTGGCTTGAGGATCCAGGAATGTGGGCTTTCATTGCTGGTTGAGCTTCAGGGCTTGCTTGCTGCCCAGCCATGCATTTGGGGGCTTCATGGGCACTGCTGCTGGGTTGGGGCGTAGGCTTCGGCAATTCCTTGGGGCTGCCCCTCTTCAAGGCTTGTCGCCCAGGGTCCCTTGCAAGCAGCTCGAGCTTTTGCTGATGATTCCATACGTTGGTGGTCTTCGCGAGTGTACGTTTTGTTCCGACAGGCGCTCCAGTATCACAGGGCGGGTGCATGCTGTCGGTATTGGGTATGGCCGAGCGGAGCACGGAGGATATGTGTTTTCGGTAAAGCTGTTGTGTGACGGGGCATGTGCTTCATGTGGTCTTTGTTGAATTGGGCAGGTATGGAGGCTGAGTTTCTATTTGTCTGCAGGTGAGGTGATGACGTGGGGAGCTAATGATGTGGGCCAGCTGGGAGACGTCTCTTGGCAGCATACCACGCCCTGCTGATGAGAAGCAGCAAGGACAGGGCAAAAACTGAGCTTTTTCCTTCCAGCACTTCAACACGTCGGGGTAACAACACTTTGAGCCCAAGGCAAGCGCAGAAGACCGCAGAACTCCTCAACGAGTCTTCCAGCAGGCTCGACATGATGTTTCCAGGCATTCTCGGGGGCTTCGGCTTCTCCAGTTTCCTCTTCCTGGCAGAACGATTGCGTTGGGGTCGCTGCTGGCTGGCATCACACTGCATGCTGGGACTGTGAGCGAGGCTCCGGTTTCGTCTGCTGCAGCTTAGATCACGCCGAACGTGCTCTCCTGTCTTCTGGAGGTGAGGTGTGGGTCTGGGGCAGCAACCTTTTCGGACAGGTGGGTGACGGCACCAAGGACGACATAGCAACGTGTTTCCCAAAGCGTCAAAAACTGCAGGCAGGATAGACGGCACAAGCCTGAGAGCACCAATCTGCGAGGAGTGCGCCCTGGCGCCACACCGCGTTCTTCGCCAGTATCCTCTGGTGATGCATCCCTCACGTCTGGCAGCATAGCTGCAACTTGGGGAGGGCACGGAGACGGAGAACTGAAGTCGTGACTCTGTTTTTGCAAGAGAAGCCCAAGCCCAGGCCGTCAGCTTCTTGCAGTTGCTGGAATTCCAGGAACGGTCTTTGCTTCTTTACCTTTGCCGGTCGGACAAAAGTCGTTGCTTTAGCGCTTGGTTGACTAAGCTGCCAGGAAAAGGTGCAAGAGGAGTCCAGGACCGACGGAGAGGTTATCTATGGCCTGTGTCTTGCCCGTTCGGTTGTTGAGGTCGACAGGCCCACGGAAGGTCCTAGTCTCTCTGCCGCTTGTCTCCGGACACAGGATCACTTATCCTGTGATGACCGTGCGCTGCGCAGCTGCAACTCGAGGGTGAAGGGTGGAATGCCAGAACGGTTTTGTCCGAGAGTCAGCGTGCAAACATGAGGAGAGGTTGTCCACCAGGTTGTTTGCCCAGTCCGCGCCCAAGATGTACAGAGCTGAATTTCCCTTGCAGTGCGGGATTTGCTTGTAGCGACCCCTCAGGCGACGGCTTCCCAGCCCAATCTTGGATATGCGCGACTCTTGAACTCCGAGCGGCCCCTGCGCCCCAGATCAACCAAGCGCACTTCCTTGATGCGCCGTGCACGCAGCACTTTCTTTGTGAAGCGTGGCCTCACGTTGCAGGTTGGGCGAGGCCTTCATCTCTCACAGCTGGGACGGGCCCTTCGTGGCCTTTGCAGAGGCCGTCGTGGAGGCGCTGGGACTCTGGCAACAACAGGGCACACATCATGGTTTTTGCTGGGCCGTGAGAGGTCTTCTCCTCTTGGAAGAGGCCTCCCAACTTGTGGATCTCCTTTCTGGAAGCTTGGCACAGAGAGACTCGCGCTTGTGTGTCACGTGTGATATTATATCAACCCGACTGTGCTGCGCCGCTGCGCTTTTGTTTTCAAGGCTCTCTCCGTGCACAGCGTTGTGCCAGTGCGCCTCCGTGCGGCTCCGCAGGAGGCGCCCTGGGCTCTGGCCCTGCAGCGGGCGAAGACGGTGCGGGGGCCCGGGGGAAGTCCTGCAAGTCCTGGGCCCGGCCGTGCCTCTTGGGTGCCTCTTGCCCTGAGGTGCTTCTGGTCCGGAACCTTAGGCGCCCTGGGCTGGCTGCTTGTCCGATATCGTTTGGGTCCCTTAAGAGGGAGAGCATTTTAGGTGTGACGTCTACAAGCGGTTGTGGTGCGCCTCCAGGCTGCATTCACATCTCGCTGCGAGTGCCTGCTAGTTGTAGCCTACGCGAAGGAGTGCAGCGATTATGATTAGTGGCTCGAGCCTCGCTGAAACCCTCAACAGACGAGGTCTTCGAGCTGTACATAGCCTCCCGCTACTTGGACACCTTCTCCGGTTCCGCTAGCATCGTCATCTTCGCTTGGCAGCGCCCTTCTCCCAGGCTTGGGCTTCCTGAGCCGCCCGGGAGGGCTCCTGGTGCACGGGGCGAACCACCCGGCCACGGAGCGCAACTCCATTTTTCTCGCCATGTGCGGATCTCTGTGGCAGCTGAGCACCAGGAGCGCACTGTGCGCATCTCCGGCTGTGAGACCTCACTACCAGAAGACAAGGACTGATCCACCTTTGCCATCTGGGCTTCCTCATGGACGCACGTCATCTGATATCGGCGGAAATGCTTCGATTCCACCTGCACTGTAGTGCCTGTATTCGTACTCGGTTAATGTTAAGCACGAGTACGAGTACCACAGTGATTACTGTAAGTTCCGAGATTTGTGCACAGGTGTGACATGTGTTACGTTTCTGTTGACGCATGGGAGGAGTGGCTGCTGTCTTACTTCGATCTTCAGCCGGGCTCCATAGAGAGCCTTGGAACGCAAGCCTTGACTGTCGCGGTCTTTGTGCTCCCATTGAGGGTCCGCGTGACATGAAGACCCTTTCGTGCGCAATCACCTGGATACTAGCAGGATGCTCTTGCTTGAACAAGCCATGAGCAAGAGCATGTGCCTGCACTGGAGGCAAGCGGAGCGTGTGGCCAGCCATGTACATAAGACATACTATCGTTGACGGCAGGCGTCATGGACCCTATACCAGTCGCTTCAATGTAGCGTTTCAGAAAGCCCTAGGAAGACTAATTAACTGTCTGATACCCTGCCGGCAGGGAGAGGGCGCAGGTCTGAAACCCAAAGCGGTGGTCCCTGCCAAGTCTCTCCTATTGGTTTCCTCAGCATGCGGCAGCCTGGTGAAACTCGGTTTGCGAGTGGCGAATCAGTGCAAAGATGGGCACTCGGCCTCTTCGTAGTATTGTGAACAACTGTGGCTCGTTGCAGTCTCAGATAACCGCACCAAGCAACGGAACACAATGACCGGAAGGTGTGCACAATAGCCGTGGTCACTCGTACACATTGACGGTCGGGGGCTCAATGTGCAGACTCACTTTTTGGTGTCCATCTGCTTGCAGCGCACGGGTGCTGTGCAGACCCGAAGAGCCTGGACTGTGGCTCTGCATTGCGAGGACGTGCTGAATGTGCTGCCCAGCATCGAGTGAGGACAGCGAAGGGACTTCCAGAACGCCGTGCGAAGCGGGTCAAGGAGAAAACGTCTTATGCAGGCATGTATACATGAGTGAGCCAGTCGTAATCAACGCCTCTTACAGTGCTTTCGATTCAACCGGCGTGCCTTGGCTTTGCAGCTTAAGTCTCGAACATGTGCGATGCCGATCTATGCTAATTCCAGAAAGTGTAGCGCAGACCATCCAGCTTTCCATGACGGTAGCACCGTCAAGAACCACCTGAAGAGTATTCACGATCACCGATAGCGTTCACGCCGAAGAGGCAGAGGCCAAAGCCGCCCGGAGCCCGGAACACTGAAGCATGCCTTGATGCTCACGTGTAAAGCTGCAAGGCCAGCCATGCCAATCACAGCCGCCGAGCTCACATCCAAGGCCCGTCACGGAAAGCGTGCAGCCTTTCTAGTTGAGCGGTGTGCAGTGAAGCAAGCCATTGACTTCCACCTCCATGTTCAAGTTTGTATAAATGAGTATAGTTTTCGCCGCCCCGTGAAAGTGAGTCAAGCTCTTTCGGCGACATTTCGTCCACCACCCAGCGGGAATCTGTGTCAGGCTGCCATGCTGAACAGCGTCGAGTGGCTTGGCCAGCAAGACAAGTGACAAGGGACGAGTTGTGTGACAAAGAAGGTCTGTCACAGTACGCCGGCGCCGAAAATCTCATCTAAATCTAACCTCTGTGACATTTGCGGTGCTATGCCCAGGGCGCAAGATCGAAGAGCTGGACCCGACACACGATTGCTGCAGGCTTCAGTTGCCGCGTTCACAAGCTCTCTAGGTTTTGCTGCATTGCCGTGCAAGCAGGCCATTGGCCATCTTTGTCTTCACTTGGAGTGCGATGCAGCCAAAGTCGCCACTGTCATGGGGCTCAGCCGCGTGCTCGGTCAGGCGGAGCACTGCTCTTGGACATGTCGACATTCTATGTAGAGTCCTGAGGCCTCCAGCGACTCACCACAGCTCCCCCGCGCGACCTGGAGGACAGCGGCTTCAAGCTTGTCTGATAAGTTGGCATGACCGTCCTGCGTGAGGACTTTGCATACAAGGCCGGCAAGAACATGCGTTCCGCCAGAACCAGCTGATTCGCTCGCTCCGCTCACTCAGCTGCCGCGCTCATTTTTCAAAGGTGCTGGCCGGCTTCTATTCGGACGACTGAAGCTTGGCATCATGCCACGGGAAATTAATAATTCGTGCATTCGGGGAGCGCCTGAAGACTTTGATGTCCCGGCACCTGGCCTGGACAAGCTGCCAATTTGTGTTGCCTGAGCTTTTCGATGCCAAGCATATACTCTGACCTTGCAGCACATGTGTTTCGAGCGCAATGGGTTGGCATCGAGCATCAGCATTGGGTGATCAAAAAGAGCATGTTGGTGAATGAACGATGGCTCGTTGAACGGCGGTTGGACATTGACCTCTTGCGAGCCAGGCTCAACGATAGAACATGCTAGGCCCGCTGGGCCCTGCGCATCAGCTCAAAGTCTTCAGGCGGTGGCCGGCAGCAGGCAAACACCGTACAACTTCGCCGGCCTCACCGGCGGTAGCAGCTTGCGCAACAGTGACAAGACTCTAAAACGCCGCGGGTTCGCCGCAATGCCTGGGCAGCGGGGAGCAGAGCCTCCAGGACCCGCGCCAGCTGCCGGCAAGGAGCTGAGCTGCCTCGGCAAATGGCAAAGATCAGAGATGTCATCACTAGGACGGGGACGAGGACTAGGACACTGGGAGCTTCAACTCAAATGTCCCGCCCTTCTCAGGCGGCTCCGGCCGATACTTTCCAGGACAAGCAGTCCTGGTCTACAGCAACTCAGTCGGAACTTGGGTACCTCGGCAAAGCATCGATGTAGCTCCCATCGGTTCTTGACCATCAGAGTCTTTGCCAATGTCTTCACCAGGTTCGTGGCACCGTGGCAGAGACTCTTGGCAGCAAGGGCACCTTGTACATGCTCTTTGCATGTACCGCATCTGTTCGGAGGATCTTCGAGCAAGCCTGCGTGGCTGATGGCTACTCCATGCCCGCGGGGTGCATCAAGGTGGCCCTGGAGAACGACAGCGTGAAATACGCCCCTGGGACTGGGACCGGGGACCTCCGCCGCCGAACGCAGCTGGCCGTTGATCGCAGCTCAAGAGCTGAGGTTCAGCCCGAGCAGGCGGCCACGGTGCTTCGCCCAGCTTTGGACGAGCCGCGGACGGAGCCGCAGCCGGCGGCGGCGCCGGCGGCGAAAGAGCGAGAGCCGCCTCAGCCGCCTCTCCCTCGGCCCGGGCCCCGGCCTCGGCGGCCTCGATTCCTCGATGCTTGCCCGGTTCGCCGGGGGGGCCCTGCCCGTGACGAGATGTGACGCGCGTGAGGTCCGCTCAGGATCGCAGCAATCCTGCACCAACAGGCGGAGAGACAAGCCGGAGACAGTCCGTCGGGGTCCAGCTCGCGAACTCATCTCAGGCCGTGCGGACGCGGGCGCTGCACGACTTGAGGCCCGCGATCGCCCAGAGCCCAGACTTGGCTTCAGCCTTCCAAACGGGAGATGTCTGGCTTTTCAGCAAAGGTTGGAACACCTACGAAATTCGCCTGCAGGACGCAGAGAAATGAGATTCCTTCGCGAGCTTTTGAGTTGTCGCCTTCACCTTTGGCTTGCTTGAAGGAGATTTTCATGGAGTACGACAGGGACAACTCGGGAGTCTAAGTCTCGGCACTTGTGGCAGAAGCTGAAAGACCTCTAACTCGGATGTCCACGTGAGGCACTCGAGGTCGAAGAGTTCCGTGCATTGCTGCGGGACTTTAACGAAGGTAGAGGGCCGTGAGCGACCAGAGAGAACGCTTTGCAAGCAGTCCCAGCGCCGTCGCAGGCCGTGAGCCCACAGAAGAGGAGCCGGGCCCATAGCCGCCAGCCGCCCTCCGCCTAAGCTGCCTAAGCTGCAAGCTCGAGCAGGCACGCCTTCATGATGAAGCTCTCTGACAAGGCAGAGTTGGCAGCGTGTGAAAGACCGCTCTGCTCGTGCTCCCTCCCGAGTCTAAAAGGATGGCGATGGCCGCATCAGCCTGGGGGAGTTGCACAGCTGCATGGATCTCCGGAGAGAGCTTCAGCGCTTCAACGGCTCCCGTTGCGCTGCTATGCTGCTATGCACTGCATGCCATGCTATGCCTACTGTTTTGGGATCGGCATTCCCGAGCTCTCAGTCATAATAACTCTTACATAAGTGCTCTGAGAAAAGCTCCTTCCCCACCACAGTGCTAGCATGTTCAGGTTTTGTGCAGTCTTGCTGCCAGAGGTTGCACTATGCCCTCCGTGCCTGGCACAGCTATCGTCACATGGACGCCCGGCGCTCGCATGGATCGTGCTCGGAAGCGCTCGGACCATCGACTTTTGGGATGTCCTCCGCCCGATTTGTTCAAGCACTCGTCTGCAGCGTGTACTGGCTCTGCAAGGAACGGCTCTTGCTAGGCCGCTAGGCACAGCCCGAAGTGAACTCAAAATGATCCGTGCCGCCATCTCTGAGTCGGAGTCAAAGTGGGTGACGCCTGGTTTGCAATCTGAGGGCCACGGAAGCTTAGTCGCTTAGCCGTCGTGCTTGAGTTTGCCTGGAAAGCTTGGCCCTGCTGTGAGGATGTGCTTGATCCTCTTCATGGCCCTTTGCTATGCGGCCAGAGTTTGTGTGCAGGCGGGCTGAGGGAGGAAGGTTGTGTGGAGCCACATTGGATGTCGGGTCTTTCGCTGTCGGTGTTCAGGTGCTTCCGTCCTCCATTTGGTTTATCCTGGTAGCTCGCCCGGATCGTTGGTGGTGCTTCAAACACGAACGTCTCAGTGGCATCCTGAGGCCAGCCAAGCAGTCGCGTGGACGCTGAAGGCTATCGTTTCAATGTGCTGCGAAACTCACTGGGAATGAACTGGTAGCGCATCTATCATCCGTGCAAAACAGTTCCCTCGCGCTGACTATGTAGATCGTCCAGACTCCTTCATACTTGGAAGAAGCTTCTTTTGAAAGAGGCCAAAGTCGACCGAAAAATGGCAGCCCTTGCCCAAGCTGAGCCGGTGTTGCAAACGGTTTATGTGCGAGTGTGTCTCCGTCTGCGCAAGAACCTGAGCTCAGGGCTGGCAGAAGGCAAGCAGAGCCTCGAAGCGGAGCACGAGGCACCGCCATGCACGGCCGTGCACGGCCGTGCACCTGCCCCTGGCCTGCCCCTGGCATTTCCCTTGCCCCTTTCTGCCTTGAGGCTCCAGGCTTAAGCGTGGAGCGGCTCTCGCAAGTCCTGGGCTGAGCCTGTAACATCTCCGAAAAGGCTACACGCCGCACGCGCCGGTCTTGCTAAGGATCTTCCGAATTCCAGCAGAAGAAGCCAATTCAGAATTCGATACAGTAGTGCACGTGCCTGTGACCGGAAGACTTCGTGTAGATCACTAGGACAATCGGCGGCTATCATGGTACAGTGGTTTCGGATGGAAGCCGTTGTTTTGCAGTTGAAGGCTGGTGTGTTTCCAGGACACGGGCGAACAGCTGTGGCGTTTAGTCACCCCGTCGGGTTTTCGCTCCCAATGTGGAATTTTCTGCTTTGCAGCACTGGCAGAGGTCCCTCTGAAGCTTGCGGTCGAGAAAACCTAGATGTAGACTTCTTTGAGGGAACCTGTTGCACGTAGTCGTGCATGTGAGGGGCTCCCGAGCATTCTTCTCACTTTTGCAGTGGGAGTATGCTCTTGTTGCCCTGCTGGCGACGCCAAAAAGTAGACTGCTCCTATTAATAGGCCGGGCCCCCGACAAAGCGCATGTCGGAGCTTTGGAGCTTTGCATGCTGGTGGGCACCGCCCCGTGAATCCCGGTGTACAGAACTCCAGGACGGCAAGATCCTGATCCGCATAAAGCAAGAAGCGCTTCGTGGGTCAAATCACGCTGGGACATTTGGATGAGGTGTACAGCAGGCTTCTCGCTTTTTGCATGACTTTGCTTCAGCGTTGGTTGGACGCATTCCGACACTCGTCAGTGATACAGCGTGTAGCTGACATGGCTTTGTCTTTGAAGTCTCTGTAGCCTGCACAGCTCCGGAGAAGAACTCGGGTCAGGCTTCGACCAAGCTGCATTTGCTGTTTTACAGAGCGAACTGTGCAGAGCGGATTGTGCTTGGTGTGCGGAAGTCTCAAGACTGCACAAGCCGGTGTATATGGTAGGACCATTGACGACCTTCATTGTGGTGGCCGTGCCGATCACCTCATCTAGCTTTAGGGGCAGGCGCCGGCACGTGACAGCAGACACCGGCATCGACAGTTGCCGTATGTCGGAGTATCTCTTGCTGCGCCTGTCCTGTTGGCAATTCGGTTCCCGCTCTTGCACAGATTGGCAGGGAGCGGAAAAGCTGGCATCTGCAGGGATTGACAAACGTAAGCAGCTGGAGATTCTTCGACATGCTTCCCAGGATTCGCTTCTCCGTCTCTTTGCTGAGTTCGACTTCGACGAGCCTGGGCCCTGGAGGTTACCCGCCCAAGGAACCCTAGGCCGGAGGCGAGGAGTTTCACCCGTCAGCAGGAGCGTTCTCGCTTCCAACCCCCTGCCGAATTCGGACTCGTGCTGCTTTGGTTTGTGCCCGTTGCAACATCATGCGGCGGCACCCTCGACATCTTCGTCATTGCTGAAGTCTCGGGCAGCTGCATCCCAGTCGTCGAAGTCTCGATGTACCGTATGCACAGTCGCCTGAAGGATCCTGTCACACAGGGATTGGAGCTGTCATCACAGCTTCTCCTGGTTGAGCTGCGGCCTTCGCCGGCATTCTGCTCTCTGCTGGAGGCTGTGACACTGCGAGACGCCGATGTGCGAAGCGAAGCGGTGCAAATAAAGACGCCGCACCTTTCTTCCTAGCATTTCCTTGCAGTGCGGCCCCTCACAGCACGGCCCCCCTGAGCCCCGGCATGCTTGCAAGTGTGGAATGTGCCGCACACATGCAGAGGGCCAAGGGTTGCAGTCTGTCGTTGTAGGTGTGTCTATGACCCTATGCTGTGGGGTGTGTTTGCTTCCTACCGGCTTCTGGTTCGTCCGGACAGGATAAGGGTTTCCAGTTCAGAGGGCGTTCGAAATGTTCGTGCTTTTCGAGAACGACTTGTAAAACCGGCACGGTTGCTGTCACTACTTGGAATCAACACCACCTGTCCAGCCTAGCATTCTTCTCGAGGTCGGGACACCTTTCCGTGGCGGAACTGGAACGCTTGCTGACGGCGATGAATGGCAACAAGCCAGCAGGAAACTGAGCCTGACGGCCTTCGAAAGCCGGAGTGACCATACCGCGATCACGGAGAGTCTTTCAGCTGAGCGGCTGGGCTTGGCCGCCGAGGTCCCCCGGCACGAAGTGTTCCGTGTCATGCAGGAGGCGGATACACTCGGTGGCCAGGCCGCAAGTGCTGTGCAAGTGCAGCCTGAGAGTGCAGAAAGACAGAGACAGAAGTGCTGTTCGCTGCGAAGCCGAGGTGACCACGTGATCCACCGCGCGGAGCTTCTGGGAGCCATCTCCGCCTGGCCCGCGGCCCCGAGAGACACCGAGACCCTGTCGCCTCAGAGGGCTGGGCTCAGAGACGCTCCGGGCACCAGACAATTTGTGTTGTTTCGCCGCCAGGTACGGGAATGTGGACCGCAAGGCTGGAAGAGGGGAGAACTTTCAGATGCAACGCATGCAATGCAGGATGCACACACTCAGCTCGAAGCCAGGACACGGACTTGCCTAGCCTGCTGCGAGAGGCCCTCGCCCGGACCATTCAGGAAAGCGACGGGTTGTTTCCTGTGGTCATGAGTCCGCAGTCAGCACTTCAGCTGCCACAATGTGTCTGCGGCTCGAAGGGCAGAGCTGCCTCGAACAGAAGAACGACACACCTTCCAACGGTTTTGTGAAGAGTTGTTTTTCGCCAAGACGTTCTGATAGCCCACTCGGTAGTTTGCCTCTTTGCTATTCATCTCTGCCAGCTCTGACTCTGTGATCATGCCGGGTCTTCAATCTCGGCGATGCCTGGCGCTGGGAAACCTCTCAGTGGCCAAGAGGCTCAAGCTTGCGGGGGACAGTGCTAGTGTTGGGGGCATCAAAGGGATCTTGGCTGGGTCTCTGGCAGGAGCTTCACCTTTCCAGGAACCTCCATGCGCGACTACGACATCCAGGATTTAAGAGGGGCTCACCAGCCGACCCGACCGAAAAACCTCCCTTCCCGGCATACCAGAGCCCCGAGTGTCTGACCAGGAACTACTCGGCTTCGGTTCTGCTGGAAAGGTTTTCAAGGCGAAGCAGAAGCAAGACAACAAAGAAGTGGCACTGAAGGTGATGCAGTGCTTGGACGAGGCGCGGTGAGGATTGCCGAGGGGGCCGGAGAGGCGACGAGCCGCATCCTTGTCAGGAGATGCTGCGCATCCGATGCGGTGAGTTCAATGTGCTCCGTACTCTGCGGCATCCGCACATCGTCAATGTGCTGAACTTCTGGACCCACGAAAACGAGGCAGTCCTGGCTATGGAACTTCACAGCCAAAGTAATCTGCAGCAAGTAGTACGGAAAGCATCCACCATGGACGAGATGACATCCAAGCATCTCTTCAAGATGCTTGTCCATAATGGAGGGGTCTTCTTTGAGGTTTGGCCGGGAGGCCAACCGGCTAACCTTGATTGAAACTCGGTCCGAGGATGCTGCTTGAGGCAGTCGATTTCTTGCACCAGCAGAGCGCCTCCTCCTACGACTCAGAACCGTCCTGCTTTGTTGATTCGATTCCGGAGATGTGTGGACACGTTAAGCTTGAGAGCAGCCAGTGCTCATCAGGAATAATTCACCGTGATGTGAAGCCAGAGAACATCCTGGTTTCCGATGACTTGAAGAATCTTTGGCTCGCTGACTTCAATGCTGCACACTCCCTGCTCGAAGGCCGCTGGGGCGTGGCAAGAACACGAAAGGAAAGGGCACAGCTGCGAGTTGCGAGCTCGCTGTCAGGTGGAGCCTTGAGCATGACATTCACTGCCGAGTTCGCCTCTCCTGAGGCTCTGTGCTCTGTGATCTGTGAGGCGCACGATAACTCTGACGCTGCAGTGGATGCTTGCAGGTTCTTGCTGGCAAGAGCCATGCTGAGCCTGCAGATGTCTGGAGCTGCGGCCTGCTGCGTGACTGAAACCTGCCACAGAAACATACATTCTTTTGCTGAGATAAACACAGCCTGCGTCTTGTTGTAGTGACAATTGCGAGCGTGGATGGTGGGTTATTTTAACGTAAAGTATCGTTCGTGGCCATTTTGGTCTCAAGGACGATACCCATCTTTTGTCTATGGACCTTGCGGTCGTTCCTTATAGCTCGCCTTTGATCTTCGCCTCTGGCGGGTCACTGGTGGGCTGGGAGGACACCCAAGGGGTACCTGGACTTCTCCTTAGCCTGTGCTTTTGCGTCTGGGTTTTCGGATTCTGCTGCGGTAGCTGCTGGGCACGGCCGAGCTCAGCACCCGTGGTAGGCCGGGCCCCGCCGACGCCTGCGCATACCCCTTTGGACCGGTGGGCACGGATTTCCCAGAGGGCTGTGAACTTCGTTCGGAGCCGGAGGCGGCTCTCCCTGGCCTTTGCCAACCTCGGGAACTACAGCCTCCGCAACACCACCGAGTCCCGCCCGAATCTCCGGAGGAGGGCTGCACGGAGGGCCTCGACGCCTGGGCCCATACTTCACGAAGGCCCTGCTCTTCAAAATGGACCCGACCGACTCGGAGCTGGCGGCGATAGCAGACCTACCGGGAGTGTTCACTTGGGCAGGAGTGACAGGGGCCTTGGAGCGAGCACTGCGGGCGGCATTGGGCGACCCAGCTCGCGTGCGAGAGCTAGCCCTCGTCCCTAGAGCTGCCTGGGACACCATGGTGAGCACCTTGCGAGTGGCAGGACCAGCCGACGCCGACGGCAATCCAGGCCCGCCCCGGGACTTGACCTTGGTAGAAAGAGCCCGGGTCGAGTCGAGCCGCCGAGTGGCTTTGCTGCGCATGGGCATCCCCCCAGACGTCCCAGGGGGAACAAGCCCGCCAGCACCAGCTCCGACAACAGGGCCAGCACCCACGGGGAGCACACCGGCGACAGGAGCGAGGAGGCTGAAGTTGTCGTCCATCCTCGACCCCACCTTGGACGCCGAGGTCTCGCCGCTGGGCGCCGCCGAGCTGCAACAACTCTACAAGGACTACAAGGCCAAGTTCGGCGATTACCCCAGCCCGGATGCCGATCCCTCCTCGGATCAAGTGGCGTCGCTGCGCCAGGTGGTGGCCGCGGGAGCTGCACCTTACGCAGATTTCTCGCTGTTCGGGCCTCACGGCCTGCGCCTCCTTCGCAAGCAGACGTTCACGAGCTACACCCTGAACGTTGCCACGGGCGAGTGGTCCAAGAAGGAGCAGCCGGGCCCCTCGAGCTACCACACGTGGATGGAAGCTTGGAAGGTGTTCCGCACCACGCTCCTCTTGCTGGAGATCGCCGACGCGGAGCGGCTTGACGCCTACGCGGAGCACGTCAGGTCATATGTCACCCAGTTTTCCGACAACTGCTGGTGGCTTATCTACAGGGCGGAGAACCGCCTTCGCTGTGAACACCTCGAACGCATCCGGCGGACCTTGACGGACCGCCCGGAGTTCGGGTTCACTAGCGCACGGCCCTGGAACGCGTGCTTTGCTGCGGCCGTCCGTGACAGCGACTTCTGGACGAGAGAGCTGATCACGCCCGCGACCCTCTGGTTGTCTCAGAGGCAGCCAGGAAGCGGGAGCGACGGCAGCGGCGGCGGCGGCGCGGGCACGGGGCAGCTCAAAGGTCGAGTTGGGCAAGGAAGTGGAGCCGATGATGGCTCCCCTAAGAAGAAGCAAAAGAAGGGGCGCTATGATGGGGAGGACAAGAGCGAGAAGAAGGACGGGGTGTATGTCCTCAACAGGCGTGGCGCCAAAATATGTGGTGGATATAATAAGGGGAAGTGTGGCAGCAAGAAGCCACAAGGCAAATGCCGAGATGGCTGCAGCCATCAATGCAACATGTGCCTCGGCCCCCACCCCGCTACGGACTGCAACCGCTCCTGACTCCCCGCCGACCTCGCTGATTCAACGCCCTCTTCGGCGGCAGCCGGGGGTGAGACAGCGGCGGCTCCGCCTGGCACTTCTCATGGGGGGCGGTACGTCAAGCCGACGCCTAAGCGGAAAGCAGGGCCGGCAGACGACGCGAACCAGCAGCTTGTGGACAAGACGGCGCAGTCCAAGGCATCGGGCACCCGACCCTCCGAGCCGCGTCAGCCTCCAGCGCAGAAGCCACCGACGCCGCCACGGGCCAGGCCGGCGATCAAGCGCAAGAGGCCCGATGCCACTCAGCCGGCCACTTCCTCCACAGCCGACGGGAGCCCGAAGGCCAAGGTGAAGAAGCACGCAGCGGCGGCAGCCACGGGCAACAGAACGAAGGGTGCGAGCGGCAAGCTGGCCAGCACCCAAAGCCTCCTGCTGTTCCCCCGCTGGAGACGGCGTGGCCCGACTACCAGCCGCTTGTCAGGGGCCCACGGCCGTATGGGATGTGGATGGAGCAGCCCGCCGACACCTTTGTGGAGAGGCCTTGGGCACTCATCCTTTTCAGTGGCCGGCGCCGCAAAGGAGACCTCCCCAACTGGCTGGTGCACTATGGCTTCATGGTGTGCTGTGTCGACAGGGACTCCTCGCCGTCATGCGACGTCCTCGACGAAAGTCAGTGGAACTTAGTCGAACGAGACATCATTGACGGGCACTTCTCGGTGGTGTGGGCTGGCACACCTTGCGGCACCTTCAGCCCTCTGAGGGAGGTCCGCCCTGGACCCCGCCCGCTCCGCACGGTTGAGCACATAGAGGGCAAGCCGGACCTCAGCCCGTCGGAGAAGACACAGGTCAAAGAGGCCAACGTGCTGGTGGAACGCACGCATGATGCACTGGTGGCGGCCTGGGACCAAAAGCTCACCTGGGGCTTGGAGAACCCGGCCCACGGCGAGAACAAACCGGAACTTTGGCAGATGCCGCTTATCCGCCAACTCGCGGGCCTCGATCGGGTCGCCATCGCAGCGTTTGACCAGTGCAAGCTCGGCCTGGACACGGTGAAGCCCACCAAGATCCTCTACAGCAGCAACGCCAGTGGCTTTGAAGTTCTGGACGGGCTTCGGTGTGATCACCCTCCAGGGTCCCATGGCAGCACCGCCGGGAAGAAGGAGAGGGGCCCGGCCGGCTCCAAGCAGTGGGCCTCCAAGCGCCAAGGTGAATACACGCCCCACCTCTCCCAGATCATCGCTCATTCTCTGTACCAGGGCTTCCGCGTCAGGGCCCTGGAAACGGAGTCCCTATGAGCGGCTGACCCCACCTCGGAGTTCCAGGCCCTGGCGGCGAAGGGCCCGAGGACGGAGAGGGACAGGGAGAACAGCCAGGCCTTGGGCGGCATGCGAAACCCCCGCCGTTCACTCCGCAGGCTGCCCAAGTCGAGAAGGGTGGGTCGGGCCATCCACAAGCTGCTTCGAAGCTCCATGCAGCAGTGGCCCGAGCTGGTCGAACCTGCGCTCGCCATCCTGGAGGGGAGGAAGCCGGAGGAGTTCGACATGGATGTGATCGGCAAGATCCGGGCAGCCGTGCTCACAACATTGGGGGCCGACGCGCGGGCCACGACACGCGAACGCACGGCCCCAGCGAGCACGCCACTTCGGGCCGAGATCTTTGAGGCCTGGGGCAAAGCCACAGACGACCCGGACTCGGCAACACTGGCCGGCTGGCTCGACCACGGGGCG